CTATTATTCTATTAAACTATAGACCTATTATATTAGCCTTTCTACTATATTAGGTTACACCTAGTTATTCTAAATATCTAGCGTGTCTATCTCTTATTACTATTATAGTATATTTAGAAGAAGATACTAAAATATTATAGACTAGCCTTAAGGGAGAATGCAATAAGCGTTAATAATAGTATTTAGTATCTTAAAGGAGAGATAAGCCCTCTACGCCTTTTTATAGGTGTCTAGTGTGTTTGCTTAGTAGTGGTGTTAGACTTGGTCTATCTTGTGTTAGACCTAGGCTTAGGCATAAGCCTAAGTCCTTTACATAGTTAACCTACCTATAAAAGATAATAGCAAACCTTAGTTCCTATTAGTTATTACTAATAGATTATCTAAATATATTTAGCTTAAAGTAATAGTCTCTATAGTAGCTAATTATTATATAAGGATCTTCTAGGATAACTAGTAGTAGTTCTAGGGCTTCCTATCCTCTATTATTACTAACTAAGGCTCTAACTAGTTAGGATCCTTCTAGATAACGTTATACTAGATAATAAAGATAAACTAGTTACTGTCTACTATATATCACCCCTAGATAGATAGCAGGACAGAGTAGGTAAACTAAGAGGTGTAGGTAGTGCTGCGTATAATAGTATGCTTTAAGCAGACTAACTAGCCTAACTACCTACTAGCCTACTAACTTACACTTAATAACAGGGACTCTAGTATAACTAGTATTAGCCTAAATCTACTTTTAAATAGGTATACTATAGATACGCTATAAAAGATAATATTACTACTAGTAAAGCCTATAAATCCTTATAGAGAGGCTATAGTATTCTTATCACACCTATAGAGGGGTGTAGAGCTAGTATAAGCTACTATTATATTCTAATAGTAATAATAATAGGAAGTAATAAACTAGTTCTAATACCTAGCTAAAAAGTTCCTAAAAGGTAATATAGTTTAGTTTATAATATATAATATAAAGATAAACTAACTAAGTAAAAAGTTTAACTAGCTATAGGTAAAGTATAGAGTAATAGAAGTCCCTACTCTACTTATAGTAGTATTAGATTTACTAGAGAACTTGTATAAGACTATGTATATAGATCTACTAGATAGAGCTACTAATAACCTACTACTAAGCTAGAGGCTTTAGGACTTATAACTAGGTCTAATAGTTACTCTAGAAAATAAAGATATAATACTAGATAAATAGGAAGTAAAAGAGATCCTTTATATAAAGAATACAAGAAGAAAAGGAAAGTATTAAGTCCTAGTAAAATAGAAGGGGTATATTAATCTAATATAGCACCTACTAGAGGTAGTATAGGATACTAAGGCTCTAGATAGGTTTAAGGAATAGTATAGGGATACTACGTATAATAATAGCCTAATACGTATAAAAGCTAGGAGGTAAGGGTAAAAGGAAACTAGAATAATAACTTAGACCTTTATTATAATTAAGAAGTAGAAAGGTATTAGAGATATCTTTTATTTATCCTAATAATACTCTAAGTAAGTGCCCTACTACTAAAGTTTTATAATATAGCTAATAATTAGGTAGTAGTATCTATACTATTACTATCTATAACTAACCCCCCTTTAGCCCCCCCTAAACTATTATTTATATTATTCTAACGCCTCTATATCTCTTAGTAATAGTAGTAACGCTTACGCGTGTTATAGGTAGGGGAAGACTTAGTTAATAAGTATAAGTAGTAGTAGTAGTAGTAGCAGGAGGAGGGTAGTACTTTAACAGCTTGCTAACGCGTAGTACCCTAGGCCTAAAGGAAGTAAATATTAGAATAGATATAAAGGGAACAAGGGAAAATTAATACTAATAATAAGGGTCTTAATACTATAGGTAGTGCGCTTAGTAGCGCTCTTAAGCTTATTAATATAAAGGTTAGTTTAGGCCTAGGTCTTATTTATACGCTAATTAATACGCTAGAAGGTAATACTAGTAGTAGTAGTAAGCTATATAATATTATTATTACTATAACTACTATATAAAGGCGTAATAGTAGACTAAAGTAGAAACACTAGAGTACTAGTAGTAGATAGAATAATAGCACTAAGCTAATACTAATTATAGGCGCGCAAGTAGGTAGTAGGGGCAAGTAAAGTAATAGCGTTATTAGTTTAAGCCCTTAATATAAGATCCTTAAAATAATAGTAGAGCTAGTAGAACTATAGTATAAACTAGTAATAGGTGCCTTTAGTAGGTTTCCCTATAAAGGTGCTAAAGGTCCCCTTCTTTATAATATAGAGGTAATCCTCCTAGTAACTATAATAAAACTAAAGCTAGTTATAAAGGGCTTAGCAAATATTAGGATTATTAGTAAGGATAGCTTCTAATTAAGTATAGGTCTTATAGCTATAATAGTAGGACTTATATAAGTGCCCTAGATATAGTTAGAACTTACTATAGAGAAAATAAAAATTAAGGGGAACTTACTACTACCTTCCTAATAGTTATACTTACTAAAGAGATAAAGCTAGTTAATATACTAATTATAGGGAAGCAGCTTTATAAAGCTACTATTATACTCCTTATTATCTAAGTTACTAGAAATAATAAAGCTACTAAGTAGCTATATTTAGGGAGGCGTGTGCTAAGCAAAAGTTAGTATAGGAAATATAGGGAGAATACTAGAAGTACGCACCTTATCTTAGTAGGCCTAGCGTAGGGTCTAACTACCTTATAGTAGATCCCTACTACTAGCACTAGTAGCTATAGATAAAGATATAATAGGAACTAGATAGGCAGGATTAATAGAAAAAGATTAGAAAAAGGGCTAATTAGTAGGGAAAATCTGTTATATAACAAAGTAAGTTTAGGAAATTTATAGTAGGGTAGGATAGCTATATTAGAACTTTTATAGTAGGGTACTAAAATAAGTACATAGACGCTACGCGTGCGTACTACTTAATATATAGGCCTGTTATAAATTAGGAAGGAATATAAAGATATAATAATAAAACCTAAGAATATATAGAAATAAAGCCTAAAATAGATTATAGGGTATAAAGATATAACCCTAGACCCCTAGAAAGATAATTTTATAATAGTTTATAGGGAAGGTTAGGGGTATATAAAGGGCTTAGGCTTATGCCTAAGCCTAGGTCTAATATAAGATAGACTAAGTCTAACACTACTACTAAGCAAACACATTGCACACCTATAAAAAGGCGCTAAGGGCTTACCTCTCCTTTAAGATACTAAATACTATTATTAACGCTTATTGCATTCTCCCCTAAGGCTAGTCCATAACAAAGCTAGAGTCCTTATCTTCTAATAAGGAGCTCTAGGCACCCTTAGCTATAGTAGTAGCCTTACGCGCAAGCTTAGTAGTAGTAGTAGTAGCTTTTACTAGCTCCTACTACTTAGCCTTACTCTCCTTAAGGAGTACTAAGACCCTCTACTTCTTATTCTTAAGAAGGTCTTAGCTCTTACTTACTTACTTCCTTACTAGAAAGGATAGTATAAAGTATTAGGTAAGCTTAGGGCTATTAGTTTATTAGTATAGATTTTACTAAGTATTATAAAGGAAAAATTCTTATATAGATTATATATATTAGGATATAGCTATACTTAAAGAAGTACTACTAGTACTAAGTCCTCTTACTAGAAGAGTTATAGTACTTACTATTAAACTTATTAAAGAGTATAAAGTGTAGATAATTTAGATAAGTTTTAGTATAATAAATACTAGGCTCTCTATAGTAGGAGGATCTTAGGGTCTCCTTAGGAGCTAGAGAGGGAGTAGAAGAAGGAGTAGAGGTATTAGGAGGGGTCTAGGGAGGAGTAGGAGTTAGAGCTAGAGGGGTAAGAGCTAAGGCAGGAGCGCCCTTCCTTAGCTTCTTAATCTTAGCTATAGTAGTAGTAGCTATATACTTAGCTACTACACGCTTTATAATAGCTTTATACTTAATAGTAGCACGCTTTTCTTTAGTAGTAGTAGCTTTAGTAATAATAGCTTTAGTAGTATAAGAGGTAATAAAGGTAGTATAGGTAGAGTAAGTATAAGTAGTAGATTTTAACTTTAACTAAGATATAGGTTAGTAGAGATATAAGTATAGTTTAGATCTTTAGAGTTATATAATCTTATAATTTAAGCTATAGTAAAAATTATAGTTAGGTAGATAGAGTTATAAAGCTTAGTTTAGATAATATTTAAGTATATAAATATAAGCTAAATAAGGAAGGCACGCTAGTTAGTATCTAAAGGGTAAGCTAATTTAACCCTTTAGATATATAATACTCTAATTAGCTATACTACCTACTAACTATAAGTATAACTATAATAATAAAAGATCTACCTATACCTAGGGGGTGTGTTATAAAGGGATATTAACTAGATTATAAAGTATCTTAATCTAATTAATCCTAGTTAATACCCTTATATAACCTACTATCTAATAAACTACTAGCTTACTACTAAGTACCTAATAAAAAGCAGGAGCTCTAGTAAGGAAGGTTTACTAATTATTCACCTTCTAGTAAGGGTAGCTAAAGCTCTATATATATAAGTCTGATTATAGTAGATATAATCTAATAATCTATCTCCTAAATTATTCCTAACCTTAGTGATCCAGATTTCCACAATTATTCATATATCTTCGCCCCATTTATTCATCTTTCAGTCCCTACCTCTCATAATCTCTTACTACTACGAACCTGTCTCAAATTTATAGATACTAGGCCTATAAATTATAACCAATCTATCTTCCCTAAGTTGATTAAACTTACCTTTCGTGATCCACTTTAACCCTGGTAATCCGGCTTACCTTCTAATTTTACCTGACCTAGCTGCTAAGGATTGAGCGATTTTAATTTCTCTTTATAGACATAGTCTTATAGATTGCATGAATACTTAGTAGATTAGAGACTGCCTTCTTCTTACTTAACTGCGCTAACTGCTACACACATTCAATACCTTATTGTCTAACCAACGCCTTCGATCAAATCACAGCTTCTCTCGATTGATCAACTTACTTCCAACATGCGCTTGCCACTTTCCCTTACCTTGATCTCACTGCTCTCAGCAGTCACTTTAGTCGCCTTGCCCCTCGACCACCAAGATCAAGCAATCTCGATTCGCCATGTCAACGAATTATCACCCATCGAATCGCCACCTATCAAATCTGTACAGTAGGTCATGTTCACTCCATTACATGACGCCTTGTCCTAAAAGTAGATGCATTACGGCCAAATTGTCTTTGCACCATGTTCAAGCTTTGCTTGGGTTTATATTCCCCTGTGGCACCTACCCCAGGACTTCCAGCACCCTCTTAAGCAATCCCAAACGCTGACTAGGTAAAAATAGACCTCGTTCCAACAATCCAGACTCCGTTGCGCAGTCTTCGCCGCAGTACGTGCCCTCAAGTAACGCTCAGAACTCATTATACTCACCACGCTTAGCAAACTCCAACGACGTGCACACTATCAGATGCCCCGTTTCAAGTTTGGCCCTAATAGCAAACTTGTAATTGATGGCCTCTCAATCTTCTGGACATTTGTCGGTGAAACTAAGTTCGTCGACGTAGTCACGTTCGTAAACCATTTCGCTGGGAACGTTATCGTAAACCTCTATTCCATGAATGAGCATGCCCTACCAGATAAAATGCTTCATACTTGGAATATTGGTGCCGAAGGTGTCGTGCAATTCAAGGAAATGGTTCAGTATCAAAAGTTTGGTCAATTTGTAATAGAGCTTTTTACTATCGAATGATGGTAGAAATTTAAGCATCTAATCACGTTTCACAAGTAGGCTAGCAATGGGGTCGGGGAACACCAAGAGGGGTATTGGGGTCGATTGGGGTCGGACGCACCTCCAGCATTGTTGTGTTTGGTTAGGATTCTGTAGGCGTCTATCTTGGCTTTTGTTGCAGTCTCACAGGCCAAGAGCTTAGCATAGTGTACGTGTGTGAAAGGGGTAAAAGGTGCGAGCTCACGATACGTTGAGCTTTGAAAACAGAATGGGGCCAGACAAAAACTGTGTAGTACCTGTAGCACTACCTATAGTCAATACTAGAGGGAATTTTTTATCTAGATCTAAGAGACAGTATATAACAGTATAATTTCATGGTTATATTTCTAAAGATGACAATTGATCATACTACTACTTTGTACGCATAGGCTGAATTATAGCCGATTTAGCTATCTATTGGATCTGCTCTAGTTAGCACTGATATTTGCCGCAACCATTTCGTTTATACGGTAAGGTGCAGAACCAGGATGCACGTTTGCTGTAGGCTAGATGAAGATCTCATGGTCCACCGCATCGGATGACGCAACACACAGACGCCTCTCCCGTCCCTTGCATGCACTCGAGCGCCAGGCCCCTCAGACTGCAACACCAATGAGCCATTTTTTGAATTATCGTGGTTCAGTGGCACAAAACGAAGTTGCATGCTGTGTCTGTAGCACTCGGCGCACGCCGTCAATCTATTGGGCAACCAACGGTCTCACATGTGCAGTCTCCCCATCTGCCACACTCTAAGCCTTGCCGTCCTACCTGATCATGCACCTGCGCCGCAACACAGCTTGAGATGGTCTCGCGTAGTACAGTGATTTTGGCTTGATGCTACAAATACACTGCAACTATGGCATCCCCCGGCCTCTTTCTCTGTAACTCTCTTTGTACATGCAATTCATACCATGTCGCCGCTCCAAGATTTTTCGCCGTTTCATACATCTGATACATCCAACACAACATCGTCGATGGCTCAAGACAAGCAGGGGACACTACCCGGATTGAAGCGCGGAGTTGCAATCGGCATTACCTGTTCCGCTGCTATCATACTCATCCTTCTTGTAGTTCTCTTTGTGATCACGCGACAGAAGAGGCTAGGAAAGCGGAAGCAGCAGAAGCAAGACAAGTTTGCCAACAAAATAGTCTTTGAGGAAGTGTGGTGGCAAGAGAAGACAACAAAGTTGACCCAGTCACCAACACATCCACCGAAAGGGATGGAAACGTCCGATATCCAAGGACATAATGGTTCTAGAGAGGCCGAACGACATCCCAGCCGAATAAGCACCCAAATAGCACCACACGAAAACTGTTATCCCTTGAGCCAAACGCCTGACCACCCACGAAAACCAGCCTCCAGCCTGTCGTTCTTCAAAGTATCCTCGTACAAACACTACCCTAGGACTGCGGCATAGAATCTATCTAGCCACCAAGATACCTACAGGAAGGCTTACTGGCGATACTCGCACCTGCTTGGCTCTCTGGGACCGTCCAAATTCTCCTTTGAGCATCACAGCCACTCATCCATGCCCATAGAGCTCACACATCTCAGCACTACGGCTTACATTGAATCACCAGAAGACTTGCCGGGAACCCGGGTGCAGGCTTACCTTACTAACAATCCGTCTCCACATCCACCCGCTTTCTCCCATCCTTTCCCGTCACTTCTTAACGAAAGACTGGTATGGACTGTGAGTCACACTGGATCATCAAGCAACGTTCTCCCATCATCAAACCTAGCACTATCCGGACCATCAGCAGGTGTCAAGGCGGGAAGTATGGTCAAGGGCGTGGCTGTGTCAGGACCCGTCATGGTGTTCAGCGCTGCGCTTGTACTGAAGAGGAAAGGGGACAAAGAACTGCTGGGCGAGTATGCGGGAATAAAGCAGAGGGACGCAATTGTGGTTCCGGCATAGTGAGACGGTGTCCGAGACATGAAAGGGATTAGTGATATGTATCGAGAATTAGGGTGCAGATCCAGCAAAGCTGGGAAGACGGGATCATGTACAGTCGCTTGTTGAGTTCAGAGGGTGGGAGATGACACATCACGACGTAAAAGAAACGTAATGAGGATTTACATAGTGTATAGTGTATAGTTACCGAAGATAGTGAAATGTAAAAACCTTGAATCCAAAACATGGGAAAATCATGGATGTGCGCTGGTATTTACACCGTGGCGCTATCATGAGATTGAGACAGGGAGATTCAAGATGATGTATAGGTGCGAAGCAAGTAACAGTAAAGTAGATTGGTGAGACGAGACAAAACGCCGCTCTACAGAATGTGTATGTGTGCATAATCTAGTTTCGGTCCAGCCCATGCGTCCACAAATGTCAAAAATCATGCAAGAAACCGATGACCAAGAACGGAGAGACATTGGTGAAACGACCTTGTTCGCCATGTTCGCCCACGTAATATTGAAGCCGAAGTGCACCAGAAGCCTGGCGGAAAAAAGAGATGACCACCTTTCAAGTCCTCCTTTTATTTGGTTGAAACATGCTGTATTCAGTCCGCTTTCTCTTGGGAGCTGGGACAAGCGCCGAGGCTCTGACATCGGAGGCGGCGGGACCTGTCCTCTGCCTCTCCGCGTGATAGTTTTGTGGCAATGAAACCCGCTCCGGTAGCGCGCTCTTCTGAGGCACAGGTCGTTGAATGATCTGAGGTTTAGTCGAAGACGGTCTGCTCGCAGGTGTTTGTGGTTCGTGCCTCTTCGCTGCTGCGTCCGCTGCTTCCCTTGCGTCCGCTATCCGTCGTTGGGGGGCTTCATTCACAGCCATGCGTACCATGTGAGCCGGCGCCTTCACGAGCTGAGTCCTTCTCCGGGCTTGGATCTGCGGCGGTGCCTGGTGCAGCGTTGGGCGATCGCGCTTGTAGTCGAACATTCCCCTCTTCAGCTTGTCCAGCACTGCCTTACCAGTCTTTGCAGGCGCACCCGTAGACGGTCCCCAGCTGGCGTTAGCTGAAGATCCTGATCCACGGCTAGAGAACATTCTGGCGGCACCTAAAGCCGTCCTGCTGTCGACAATCTGGGTCTTGGTCTGGGTCCGGTCCACAGCCTTCATCTTGTTCCTCAACATCTCTGCCTGCGCAAGCTTCTCGTTCTCTGCATCCTTCTTGAGTTTTCGATAGACCTTAGCCCAGTTCTTAGGATTCTGTGGCTCGAATCTCCTCGTCTCCCAGCTTGGAATGTCGCGCTTGATGAACCGTAGCCAGATCTCGCCCGTCTCACCCCTTAACTGTTCACAGTTCTCTTCAAGCAGCTGTAATTGTTCGGGGTTCTGAATGTAGCGGATTATTGGCTCGACGAAGTGGAATGGTAGATCGGCGACACTGTCGAGCAAGTGGATGTTCTTCACCAGGCGCCGCCTGGCCATCTCGTATAGGGAGGCGGCCGGCATCGTGGATATAATGCGGCGAGAAGGGTGGTAGTGTAGAACAAAGCGGTATAGGCTTGTTTATAATTTTGAATTACTCTTGAATATAATGGTTGTTTGGTGGAGGAAACGGTGACGAGTTCGAGGACAAGTTCAAGTCGAGGTGTCTGTAAATCGTGGATAAAGCGTAACGTGGTCCAAGAGCAACCTGGACTAAGGCACCAGTCACATTGTGCGCGTGCATGCGTTCGCCGTCAAATAAAGAGCTATTGTTCGAATAGGCTCCGGTGAAAAACGGTGAAAGTGAAGGTCATCGAGGTCGGCGCACCCCGAAGCGCGGTGAAGGAGACATGGTTGGGAATGATCTGACGTATTGTTAGGTTACTGCGGGAAAGCTAACCACCTGGGAGGCTGCATGGGGCTCATTTAGCGCCACAAGCTTTCGCGTGAGGTTCAAGACCCAAGACCGTTCAAGACAGCGACAAGCCACATCTCGCACTTTTGAAGGACAAAAGAATCCACCATATTCCCCCTCCCCCACAAGCTGGAAGGAAGAAGTGTCAGTTAGTGTCAGTTATCATGGCGCCCAAAGACTGGGGCCTGTTGTCCCAAGCAGACGAGGGTAAGGTCTCTGCTTCACTCTGCCCGCGCAGCTTCTCACTAAGCTTCGCCAGATGCGCTCCACAACGTCTCAAGACTCCTCGCTGTCGAAGCGCGACCCTACACGCATGCTGCCGGTCGCATACTCAAGCCCGACTTCTTTGAACAGGCGCGACCAAAACAGCTTCCTTCCCCACCACCAGATGCCTCGGCGGCCGATGAGGAGGCTGCTGCGGCAGCAGTAGAACGTAAGCAGCAAATACACAACATCGAGATATGGCGCAAAGACATCATGAACGAACTGTCACTCATCGATTTTGCCATTCTACGAGCCGAGTTCACCACAAACAGCAATCACGAGGAGCGCCAGCGATATGCAGTGGAGAAGATCGGTATCGAGGCAAAGCAAGCGCATGTAAAAACGGCGATTGAGGAACTTCGCGTACAGCTAGTGGAGGCGAAGGAAACTTTGGCAGTGCGCAAGACGTACGACGAGTTGACGGAAAAGATCACCAGTAGCAAAATGTTGAAACCTCGAGATGAGCAAGCACTTGCGCATGCAAAATTGGATGAAGAGATTGCAGAGCTTGAGCACGAGGTGCAGTCAGCAAAGGACACATGGAGCGAACGGTGCACGCAGTTTGGACGTATCGAGGAAGAGGCTCGGGGCATGCTGCGTATGATCAAGGACGAGAAAGAGGAGGCAGAGCGCAAGGAAGGCATGATGAAGGATGGTGATGAAGACGGTGAGCACGAGGGTAGCGTTTCTAGGGGTGATGCCAGCCACGTGGGTACGCCACGACCAGATGGCGGCGTAACACCGATTCATGCAAGCCAGAGTGGGGAGGGCTCGTCTAGTCTCAGAGTGCCCCCACAAGACAGGTTGAAGCCCTTGTCAAGAGAAGCCAGCGTGGTAGCATCGGCAGGCAGATCAGGAGCAGTTGAAGATACTGACATGGCCGACTCTGGAGCCAATTTCGAGGAAACCAACGAGGACGACTCTTCGGGTATTGAAGAAGGCGAGGATCTCGAAGATGGTGAGGATGATGGAGAGGATCGAGTAACCGGCAAAATGGATGAGTCGTAAAGATGGGAGATCGTCTCGTTCAATGTATATTGCATAGCGCGGCGTTCAGGTTTGCTCAGGGTGCTGATTCGCACATGTATATATTGATTGGGGTATCATATTTTTCGACATGTGGCAGATGCAAGATTATGAGGCCTCTTTAATTGCATCTTTTCCTACTGCAATGGCCTCCTTTGCCTTAGTAACCTCCGCTTCTGATGCTTCTCCATTCTCCTATTTACAGTCAGCATAAGTAGATCTTCATCGCTGCATAGAGCTGGACTTACAAGCTCATCCTCCAGCTTCTCTAAGGCAGCTTGAATTTTCGTCTTCATGCCTGACAGGACATTCTTGGTTTCTTGCAGTGCTTGACGCTGTCTAGCAATCAGCTTTGTTCAGTCCAATCGATCTGGGTAGTATGCCCCACCTCTTGCCTCAGTGTATACTCGGCATTCTCATCGCCCTCACTCGTCTCGTGCTTCTGGATGCGTGTCTCTTGTTGCGCAAGCTCCTTGTGGTAGCTGGCTTCTTCCTTGACAAGGCGGTTCACAACGCTAGTCGCAATGGCAAGTCTTGAAGGAGGTGCCATGGTGATTCAGTTGGGATATGAAAGTTCTCGATGCAGTTGAGTGGATGGCGGGGCCAACAACTACCCAGCTAGGTCCATCTCAAGCTGCAAGAGCTAAGCCCAATCGACGCCGTTTATTAGTGCAAAACGCGTCGCGTAGAAACAGGAGGACGCGCTACCGCCCACTTCACCCCAGCAACCCCTCTCTACAACAACGATCACGGATGACTCCACTGCGACGCTGTGTATAGACAGAGACACAGACAGAGAGAGAGAGAGAGCATCGCCACAATGTCTTCTCCGACCAAACGTCGCTCTCAGCGCACGTCCGCATCTGTGACTCCTCGACGAAGCGCTCCTGCAGCTGTCACCTCTAGTCCACCGCCAGCTGGACCAGAGGAACAATTACAAACGGAAGCCTCTCAAGCATCGCAACGTGGATCACAGGCGACACCTCGAAACCAGAGATTTCAGACCACATCAACACAATCGCCCTTGTTCTTCCGTTCGTCGCCCGCACAACCATCGGGCGCAGACCCAGCAAATGGCGAAGAAAGTGATGGTGGCGCGACCCCAAAGGCCAGCGCCATGACTGTGGGAGGTATGGTTGAGATAGACTCTGAATTGTGGTTGCACTACTTACCATCAGCCAGATTCCTCGCCTATCCATTATGACTCCAGTTCCAGCCCTGGTCGAGCTCGCAATGCTCAAAATACAGACCTCCGTAGCAGCAGTAGTGCTCTCTTCGTGCGTGGTTCCGAGTCTGCTGCCCGTGCTCGTCGCAGCGATATCCACTCCGATGTATTTGGCACGGGTCCCTCGAACCGTCGCCGCACACTATTCGTTGGTGAGGATGGTGTACCTGTTCAAGAAGCATCAGACGCACCGACCTTCTCCAACTTGAACCCAGATACGTCAGATGCCGATGTGCTGGGCGGAAACTCCTCGCGGGTCATTTGGGGTACCAATGTGTCTCTTGTGGATGCAAGGCACGCCATGAAGGACTTTCTAATGAACTTTCAAAGGAAATACCGAATGATTCAAGATGGCGAACTTGAAGAGGGCATGAATCTTCCTGCAGACCATCCAGCCATGGCTCGAGAATATGTCGATATCATGAAGATGATGCTCGAACTCGGTGTCACACCTCTCAACTTGGATGCACGCAATTTGAAGGCTTACCCGCCAACAAGAAAACTTTGGCACCAGTTGCAGGCTTATCCCAACGAAATCATCCCCATCATGGACGTTGCGATCAAGGACACAATGCTCGAACTTGCTGAGAAGCGCATGGCTGAGATGAGGGTTCAATTGTCCCAACAACAGCGTGCTGCGCAACCGAGGACTCGCGATTCGAGCTCCCTGCCTCCTATGCTCAGTTCTGATGCTCCTACTCCAGGCGCTCCCTCTCCTGCTCCATTCGCCGATATTCCTAACCTAGTGAGCGAAGTCGACCAGAAGACATACAACGTTCGGCCGTTTGGTTTGGACAAGACGATCAATCTGCGTGAATTAAACCCCGGCGATATGGACAAACTGGTCAGTGTGAAAGGCCTCGTCATTAGGACTACACCCATTATCCCAGATATGAAAGATGGTATGTGTAGCGCCCCGAAATCTCCCTGTATTTTGACTAATCTGATCAGCCTTCTTCCGTTGCTCCGTCTGCCAGCATACCGTCAGGGTAGACATCGACCGTGGCAAGATCACCGAACCCACCAAATGCCCGCGTGCTGTCTGTGAATCTCCCAACTCCATGCAAATCGTCCACAACCGCTCTGGTTTTGCCAACAAGCAGGTCATCAAGCTACAAGAAACACCAGACGACATGCCGGATGGTCAGACACCACATTCAGTCTCCTTGTGCGCATACGATGAGCTTGTTGATGTTTGCAAGGCTGGTGACCGAGTCGAAATTACTGGAATCTTCAAATGCAACCAAGTGCGTACCAACCCTCGCCAGCGCTCCGTCAAGAACATCTTCAAAACCTACGTCGACGTACTACATATTCAGAAGGTTGACAAGAAACGCATGGGTATTGATGTCTCTACCATTGAGGAGGAGCTTGCTGAGCACGCTGCTGGCGATTTGGAGCAGACTCGCAAAGTCTCGGAAGAGGAGGAAGCAAAGATCAAGGAAGTTGGCGCTCGTCCCGACGTCTACGAGCTTCTGTCTCGATCTCTTGCGCCTAGTATCTATGAGATGGACGACGTCAAGAAGGGCATCATGTTACAACTCTTTGGAGGTACCAACAAGTCTTTTGAGAAGGGTGGGAGTCCCAAGTACAGAGGCGATATTAACGTTCTGCTTTGTGGTGACCCTTCGACGGCGAAGTCGCAGATTTTGCAGTACGTGCACAGAATCGCACCTCGTGGTGTTTACACCTCCGGAAAAGGCTCCTCGGCTGTCGGTCTTACTGCCTATGTTACACGCGATCCTGAAACTAGGCAACTGGTGCTTGAGTCTGGAGCGTTGGTCCTTTCTGATGGCGGTGTATGCTGCATTGACGAGTTCGACAAGATGTCGGAATCTACACGGTCGGTCTTGCACGAAGTTATGGAACAACAGACCGTCTCGATCGCAAAGGCAGGTATCATCACCACCCTCAACGCTCGTACTTCTATCCTCGCATCTGCCAATCCCATCGGTTCAAAGTACAATGTCAACCTTCCCGTACCGCAAAACATTGATCTGCCGCCAACCCTTCTTTCGCGTTTCGATCTCGTCTACCTCGTCCTCGATCGCATCGACGAGCAAAACGATCGCCGCCTAGCTCGCCACTTGGTCGGGATGTATCTCGAGGATGTACCCGAAAACGCATCCAAGAATGAGATTCTACCCATAGAATTCCTCACATCCTACATCTCCTATGCCCGCACCAATATCCACCCCAAAATCACAGAACCGGCCTCCAAAGCGCTTGTTGATGCCTATGTGGCCATGCGCGCCCTCGGCGCCGACATTCGCTCCCAGGAACGCCGCATCACGGCTACAACGCGCCAGCTGGAATCCATGATTCGCCTCTCGGAAGCGCACGCCAAGATGCGTCTCTCACAGGAAGTCACGGCAGATGATGTGCACGAAGCCGTGCGGCTGATCAAATCCGCGCTCAAGCAAGCTGCAACGGATGCGCGCACCGGCCTCATCGACATGTCGCTGCTCACCGAGGGCACCTCGAGCGGCGACCGCAGGAGGAAGGATGATCTCAAGCGTGCGGTGCTTGCGGCGCTGGATGAGCTGGGTGGTGCGGGGCAGAGTGTGCGTGTGGGGGAGCTGGTGAAGAAGGTGAGGGAGGGGGCGAGTGAGCAGGTGGACAACGCAGAGTTTCAGGAGGTATTGAGGAGTGCGGAGTTGGAGGGGGTGGTGCAGGTTAGTGGGGAGGGGATGCGGAGGACGGTTAAGAGGGTTGTTGGGACGTTTTAGTGAGAAAGAAGGAATTTAAGAAGGAAGCTTATGTGGCATGAGATATGACGAGAAAGAAATAGATAGACATATTTCGTTCAACCCGTCTGCTGGTGTAATGACAATATCAATCATGTCTAAACTACGGGTTACATTCTTCTCGTCATAGCAAATCCTCACATTTGCAATCTCTCTAATCCCTCGGCCAATCCCCCCTCTTCGTTATCCACCACATTCCCTTTCCCCTCTCCTGGACCCGGACAGTACCCAACACCCTCACACCCCCCATCCTCCTCTCCCTCTCCCTCTACCCCTAATATCTCCTTCGCAACCCACCGCGCAGTTTTCAAATGCAAACTCGGCTCCCGCCCCCCTCCCGCCACCGTACTCCTTCCCCGCGCCAACGCCTGAAACACAAGCAGCTGGTCCCTCAGATGACTATCCACACAGGCACCTGTAGCGATTTCTTCGAGCAGCTGGGCGGAGACTTGTTCCACCATGGTAGTGGCGGTTAGTTTTTCAGATGTGGTTTTGGACGGACGGGTGGTGGAGAGGAGGTCGCGGCCGAGAGTGTGGGCGGTGGTGGTGTGGGCGGTTAGGAGGAGGTAGTAGTGTTTTGGGGAGGGGGAGGGGTGGAAAGTTATCGTGAGGGTCGGGGTGGGTGTGGTAGGTGTGGAAAGGGGGGAGAAGCGGTGTTGAAAGATGTGGGCTAGGTGGTTGCGGAAGTGGAGTTCGGAGGCTTGGGGAGCGATGATGGTGGCTTTTATACCGGTGATGGGGCCGCGGTTGGTGAGGTTGAATGCGGGAAGGGGGCCGCTGAGCGGGCGGATGGTGTAGGTTATACTGCCTAGTTGTGGGGGATTGCCGGGTGGAGACCAGCCGCGGGAGTGTAGGGTGCTGGTGATGGGGGGGATGCCGATGAGTTGGAGGGTGGGGAGGAGGACTTGTGCTATGTAGTCTATGGATGGCGAGTTGGAGACATTGGTACCGCCTGTGATGTGCACTTGGACTGGGAGTGGGGAGGAGGAAGAGGAAGAGCCTGAGAAGAGAATGTAGGGCAGTATGGCTTGGAAGACGAGGGTGACGCTTCCAGGTGTGGTTTGGTTGATGTGGATTTCTCTGCTGGTGAGTATGTTGCTGGGTGTTGTCCGTACAGTGTCTGGAATAAAAGTGATTGCCCTGCTCTTCAGGGTTGCGCCGCTGACTTGGGCGGAGCAGGCTTGAGCGAGCCATTGGACGCAGGCTAGGTGTTGTGATTTTAGACCGCCGCCTCCATGCCGTTTACCGCGGATGTTAGTGATGGTGATGGGCTTTGAAGTTAGGCTGGAGAGACCAAGGGCGAGACGCAGAAGTTGGCCGCCGCCTTCGAGGGTTGTGCCATCGAGTTGGATGGGTAGAGGAGGTGACATGGATGGAATTTGGCAAGTGGTGTGGCATTTGAGGTAAGACGGATGTGGCCATGCGACGAGTGAAGGGGTATCCGTCCATCTACTTTCCACGTGCTTTTTTTATTCATCAAGTACTTGAAGCATATGGTATACGGGAGTGTGGTTGGTGATGAGGCAAGATGAGTCGAACAGTGAACTAGAGCCAGCTAGTTAACGGGGAGTCATGTACGGTTCGCTGTGCATTGCTGCCTGCCGGATTGCACATTAGATCTGCCATATATGCTGTTTATGTTTGAATAGGATGCCAACATATTGCGTGCTTTTCTTGGGTAAGTTGGAAGCATGAGGCCTGGGTAGTACTCTAGGTGTAGGTGTTGTTCTGGTCTGGCTACTATGGCATGCTAAGTCAGCAAGCCCGTTGGTCCGGGCGCCGATCAATTTCATCATCCAGGGCGTCATTAACTCTAGGTACCGTTACCGCGGCCGAACTTTTGTCAGAAGCTCGTCAACGCTTTCTCTTGCTTTTGCTGGAGCCCGCTCTTGCTCGCCCGCATAACCAGCCCATCCATGACCATGTCGAATGTTCTTTTGGACCGCCAATTCATCACACAATCCCGGTAGGTGGACAGTACAGTCTTCCCCTCCCGAGTTATGCGCGGCCCGTTGGGCTTGTCGGCAGCAAAGGCCTGTCATGGTCCGGCAAACGGAGCCCTCTTTGCGCTCATACAATCCCCTCGTTTGCACTCCACAACGGCCCCAATCGTGTCGAGAGCATTCACGACAAACCCATGCCCGATATCATTCGTCGCCTCTCGAGCACCGAGCTGGAATGGTTGCCTACCACGTTCAACTTCAACGTCAACTTCGTCAACTCCGACGTCATCGCCATTCCTTGTACGCTTCGCAACCGCAGGCACCACGCGTCGCAATGGCCTCACACAGTCCCCCATCCGCATGTTCACGACGTCCCAACTACTCGCAGAGGCTACGAGTAATGCCAAGCCGGTGAAGCAGCGGCTGTCCTACCGACAGGAGATCAAGGAAAGGGGCATCATGGACCTCGAGGAGAATGACGGTGACGCAGAAGAGCAAGGCTTTGCAAAGTCGGAAAAGGCGACGCAGGCAAAGCAGGTCAACATGAGTGCCAAGCTCAGCAAAGATGGAAGCGGATCCGGAGGCGCTCCAGGCGGCATGCGTGAGATTGTGAGGCTGATCAAGATCGCCCGCCCGGAGCTGGGAACGCTATCGTGGGCCTTCCTCTTCCTCATCTTTGGCTCCGCTATCTCTCTGTCTGTCCCCTTCTCCATTGGCCGAATCCTCGACGCTGCAACACAAACGGAAAACACCGACGGCCTACTCTTTGGACTCCATCCCTCGGCCTTTTACTTTGCCTTGGCTGGCGTGCTGACAGCGGGTGCGAGTTTCAACTTTGGTCGTATCATCATTCTACGTATTGTGGGAGAACGCATCGTGGCCCGCCTGCGCTCGCAATTGTACCGCAAGACCTTTGTGCAAAACGCAGAGTTCTTCGATGCCAACCGGGTTGGAGACCTCATCTCCCGTCTGGGTTCGGACACCATCATCGTCGGCAAGAGCATCACACAAAACCTGTCGGATGGGCTCAGAGCGCTCGTCAGCGGTGCTGCTGGTTTTGCCATGATGGGATTCGTCAGTCTGAAGCTCACCGGTATCCTCGCTCTGATTGCCCCACCAGTGGCTCTGGTCGCCTTCTTCTCAGGTCGTGCACTACGAAACCTCAGTCGTAAGATTCAGAAGAACTTGGGAACATTGACCAAGATTGCGGAGGAGCGACTGGGCAACGTACGAACAAGTCAGGCCTTTGCTGGCGAGGTTCAGGAGGCTGCTCGATACAACCGCCAAGTCAAGAGAATATTTGCATTGGGAAAGAAAGAGGCCATCATAGCGGCAACCTTCTACGGTAGTACCGGACTGATGGGCAATCTGACCATTATTGGGATGCTGTACGTTGGAGGTAACATGGTGAAGACCGGCGTCATCTCCATCGGTGAACTCTCGTCGTTCCTCATGTACACCGTCTATGCTGGTTCCAGCATGGTTGGTCTATCTGGGTTCTATGGTGAGATGATGAAAGGAGTGGGAGCTGCCAGTCGTCTCTTCGAGCTTCAAGATCGCAATCCAACCATTTCGCCCACAAAGGGTCTGCCGGTCAAGTCTGCGCGCGGCCCAATCGAGTTCCACAACGTCTCCTTTAGCTACCCGACGCGACCAGCAGTGACCATCTTCAAAGATCTCAACTTCAGGATCGAACAGGGAACGAATGTTGCCATCGTGGCGCCTAGTGGAGCTGGCAAGTCCACCGTAGCAAGCTTGCTCCTGCGCTTCTACAACCCTACCAGCGGTACAATTACCATTGATGGAAAGGACGTTACGAAGATGAATGCAAAACAGTTAAGAAGGAAAATTGGTTTCGTCGGCCAGGAGCCTGTGCTGTTCTCGGGGACCATTGCGGAGAATATTGCCTATGGGGTGCCAGACGCGACCCGTGCTGAGATTGTTGCAGCAGCGCGCAAAGCTAATTGCCAATTCATCAGCGACTTTGTACGCCATGTGCACTCTAATTGATGACTATTTACTGACAAATTATAGCCTGATGGTCTCGAAACACATGTCGGTGCCAGAGGTACCCAGCTATCTGGTGGTCAGAAGCAGCGCATTGCAATTGCACGCGCACTCATCAAGAAGCCTGATATTCTTATTCTTGATGAGGCTACGAGCGCTTTGGACGCAGAATCAGAAACCTTGGTCAACCAGGCATTGAGCAAGCTTCTCCAAGAGAACAATACCACAATCAGCATCGCTCATCGACTGTCTACAATCAAGCGCTCTGATCGCATAATTTGCATTGATGCCGACGGCAAGGTTGCTGAAGAAGGCACATATGAAGAGCTCACAAAGAACCCCGACGGTGCCTTCAATAAGCTCATGGAATGGCAGTTGAATGGAGGCGAGGTAGACACAAAGGCTGCCACAAAGCCACGGCCTGGCGACACAGAGCAGGTGGAGAGGGAGACTGAGCACGACCAAGAACAAGAAGCAAGTCGTAACCGCATCTGAAGGAGACTCGCAAAAAACTTGCGATGGAGAAGAACGAGTCTTGGGTCGGGAGTCCATGGTCCGGCATACCCGGACGAACCATCTGTGGCGGGCAACTGCATCCGGGCAACCGAGTTGTCCAACCACACGACACAACGACGCAACATCCTCGACGATGGCGTTTCCAAAAACATCTCGAGATCATCTTGCCTGAAGGTTTCAATCGCTGCCCCCGCCCTATGGCAGGGGACCTAACAGGATGGTCCTAGCCCATCGATGCAGCGGAACAAGTGGTCCTCACGTGTGACCAATCTTTCCGGGAATCCATCGACCCGTTTCCGAACACCTCACGATACCTTTTCTAGATGGACCGGCCGCAAGCATCACATCACCTTTTGTTTAGGCAAGTTTGGTTTGCAAATTTCAACCGCAACGGAAAAAATAATTGTATATATATTTATAAACCCCTCTCAATACCTATCTCGTGACGCCGACTAGTCTCCAAAACAAAATCATTCTTCATTTCAAAGAATTTTCTCGACAGCCCAACTCACCATTATCATGTCTTCCATCGGCTCCTTTGCACTCAGTAGTACCTATGGCAGCAATTCCCTGCTCGTGAACAATACTCATTCCTCTTCCTACAACTCCTCCCTTCCAAGATCCTCTAAATCCAAAAATTCCCTCTGGCTACACTTCCCCCTCGCCTTCGCCCGCACCCACCCCAAAAACCCAGATTACCAACTCCTCCAAGAGAAACAACGGCGCGCAAGTACAAGTACCGCATCGTCGTCCTCGTCTTGCACGCTGCGCTAGTGCACGAGTCGTTTTTGCATGGGGCTTTTGTGGGCGGTATGCATGCACTTGTTTGTCTGTAGGGAGATGCAGGTGGTTGCGGTAGGGTACCCTGTCGCGCATGGATGTCAGGTGGCTGGAGTGTCTTGGGCGTTGTTGTATGGCGAAGCTAACACTGTGCAGTGCTCGCTCTGACATGCATGCCTGGCTTTGTATCCTGGGTTCCAAATTCATGGTGGCCGCGATGGCGATGGCGATGGCGATGGCGATGGCGATGGCGATGGCGATGTGTGAAGGCACGTCAATCACGTGTATACCGCAAACACGCGCATAAATTCCTCGCTTCCTTTCTGTCTGCTATCGAGTAACGCATCCATGGATGTGTTATCATTTCGCGCGCCTTTCCCGGACTCGCTGTTCCGAGTTGGGAGTCTCGGGTTGCAGGTTTGCTGATACCGATGGGGAGCTGTTGGGAAGGTTGAGAAAGGGGGGAGTGTGGGAGGAGTAGATGGTGGTGGAGGAAGGGGAGGGGATTGGTGTTGGAGAGAGAAGATGAAATTCGAGCATTGGAAGACGAGGGAATGCCGCGGGTCAGTGAGACTGGTGGGTTACCAAGATCGAATTGAATTCCGGGGCAGATTTGGAGTCTGAAGGAGGACATGGACTGGATTAAAATGACCAAATGATCCTGTTTTGATTATTTTGGTGTCGAGCGTGGTTGGTGGGGGTATAGGTCTGATCCTGCGGAATCCTATGGTGGTCTCGAGGTGAAGAGCGGACCTGACACTCAACCTGAGGGAATCCACAGCGATAACAACTACGATACTAGAATGACTTGCAAACCCATTCCAGACCAAAGCACAAACAATCGAATTCATATCCAATCAAAGAAGAAGAAAGTATGAATCCCATTAAACGCAATAGCCACACACCAAATGCTTCCGTACAGTCCCGAGGGCCTTTGCGACTTACTCATATTCCTTTGACAAAAAAAAACCCCCTCACAACGCATACCTAAAATACCGCGCCCGCCCATCCGTAACATCCTCAAACCCATCCCTCACCGCGTCCTCCCCCTCCCCAGCCCCAAACCTGCAATCCCTGCTCCGATTCACCCACCGCATATACACGCCCAGCGTCAGCGCCACCCCGACCATAGCCACATAACACACGACGAGGGCGGTGAGGGCGGAGAAATAGCGGGGCGCTTCGTCGGCGAAGAAGATGTTCGCACCGGCAATGTTACCGGCGGCGTAGAAGCAAAACCAGAGGCCGTTGGCGGTGCTGCGCTTGGTGTGGCCTGCAATGTTGGTTGTCAGGAGGTTCCAGCTGAGGATTACGGGGGCGCCGATGATGTATTGTAGCCAGGTGCAGCCGACGAGGGACCAGCGGTGGGACAGGGGGGTGAGGCGGATGCCCAAGAGGCCGGCGAGAGGGGGAAGACAGATGAGGGCTAGGATGATGCAGCGCGTGTTTTTGAAGTAGCCGGCTGCGAGGCCGCAGAGTGGGACGATGAGGAATTCGATGGCGCCGGTGGGGAGTTGGAGGAGGGTGGCGTAGATTCCTGAGAAGCCGAAGCCTTTGAGTAGGGAGGAGGAGAAGTTGGAGACGCCGCCGTTGACGACGCCGCAGGCTAGGCCGATGAGGACGAGGCAGTGGACTTTGAAGTCGAGGAGTGCTTCTACAGCTTGATTTTTGTCAAAAGCCGTGGTTTTGACACCAATCATATTGCGCGCGATGCGATCGATGGCTACGATGCGCTGTTTGTGGGTTAGGAATTTGGCCGTCGAGGGCGAGTCGGGCATCACGCAGAGGAAGACCCATGCCCATGCAAAGTTCAAGAGTCCGATGACGAGAAAGATGAGCTGCCAGGTCTTGAGGTGGGGACTGTGTGCGTGGCCGAGACCGTAGCCTAACAGTGCGCCGACCATGGTGGCCATGCCGTTAAAAGCGAGGAAGACGCACATGCGGAGTGGTTGCTCGGTGCGAGTGTAGAACATGGAGACGATGTTCATGATGGCAGGGGAGATGGAGGCCTCGAACATGCCGAGTAGGAAGCGCAGGGCGAGCATGCCGGCGTAGTCTTTCGCGGCAACATGGCAGCATAGGAGGATTGACCAAAGGAGAATCATAGAGCCCGTGTACTTTGATACGGGCAGTCGTTGGATCAGATAGTTTGCAGGTAAAGCCCAGAAAAGGTATCCGAAGTTGAATATGGCTGCAACCCACCCATACCGTGCGCCCTCAAGACCCAGATCTGGAGTCAGCGTGTAGGCATTTGCATAGTTCAAGGAAAGCTTGTCAAGGAACTGTATGGTGTAGGTTATACAGATCTAAGACGCTGCTTAGTCTACTTGTGGTATAAATGTAAAAGTGTAGTATACATACCATTGGCATAATGACCCAGTCAATCTTTCTCAATACAATTTTGCGTTCTGCGTCAAGCTCTTCTCTAGAGCACTGTTGAACTTCGAGGTATAAATCTGCGCCAATATCGCGCATCTGCTTCTCCGCTGCGAGCTGTCCATTGTCAACGCTAGGTTCCCTGACGAGAGATATCTCATGCTTTTTCTCAATCATTCTTTCAAAAGAGTGTATGAGGCCGTTGCTGAGGCAGAACAGCACAATAATCAGTGACCACCGGTTGTACGTAGAGCAGTGACGTCTGAAGGGAGCACTGCACGAGGGGCGCGTACTGCTCCTAAATCCGTTATCATGGAAAGCCTTCCACTCTAAGCAGTCTACATATCTATCATGGCTCAGTGCTGTGCGGACTGCTTATCGGTACTTGTTAAGCGTTGCCTATCACATTCCATGCTGCCCAATAGTCCGACTGCAGCTTCATGCAATCTACCATGGCCGTGGTAATCCTCCGGCACGCCTAATCAAGTAACTCTCGGTTGCACTTGCCCTGGGTGACGTAGTCTTAGTCCAAACCCACTATTCGTGCAGGTGATTTGAGCTCCTTATGTTGCAGATGCTCATCATGATGCTTGCCAAGTGATTGTGAATTGGATTCGTATAGTAGGTGTACACGGAGCTGTTGAGGCATTTGGGTATCTTTGTATTGTGTACAGCGTAATAATAGGAGCAAAGTGGCAACCGAAGTGACGAGCCAGCTTGAAGTTGGGCCTCACGCCCAGTCGCAGGACTCGTTGCTGCCCCCTATTTCCAAAGACCGTAAGGGCCATTAGTGAATTTCCATAGCTTCACTGTGCCGTCTTCGCTACCAGTGGCGTAGATCTTGCCATCTGGAGAGAAACTCGCGGACCAGATCGGGCCATGATGACCCTTGTTAGTCTCTAGCTCTTTCTCTTCGTCGAAATCCCATAGTCGGACCCAAGTGTCGTTCTGGTTGCTACCACCAGTAACAAACCTCCTTTGCCCATTGTGTAAAGCTACGCTGGCGATTTCGTAAGGTGTTTTGATACTTTTGATGAGCGATCCAGGCGATAGACTGTTGAAGAAGTAAACGCTGTTTCCAGCAGCCACGCTCAAGACACCGTCAGAGGAGGTGTTATCCAACTCGCAAGTGCCCACTGCGCCTTCAACCACATGTTCACCAATGGTGGATTCTTGTCTTAGATCCCACCAACGCACCTTCTTGTCCTCGGCTGCCGTGATTACAACATTTGGGTCCGAGGTCCATACAATAGACTTGATCGTACCGCCGTGAACCCCCGCGCCAATCTCATAGCTTGTTGCCGAGTCACTTCTTGAAAGATCGTATATCCGCAACTTCTTCTCCATTCCACCTGTGGCAAGGATTTGCGGGTGTGGCTGGTTAGGAAATGCGACGGCGCGAACAATGTGATTGTGCGAGAGTGTATGGAGAGCTTCGCCCGTATGCGTATCCCATACTTTTCTGATTCCTATTAGTAAGATTCCATAAAAAAGCTTGCGCGACCCACGCAGAGAAATCGGCTGATGCTGTAGCAGCCAAGGAGGCATCAGAGGAGAGTCGCGCTTGCCAGACAGCACCCTTATGCCCCAAGAACGTGCCAATCCAGTCTCCAGTGATGCCATCGCGGAGCATAGGATTGTTGTCTTTACATGCGGATATGATGTAATACTGGTCTTCGTCTAACATGGAGGAAAAGTGTATATGCGGGACAGGCCGAGAGTGTCCATGGCAAGTGAGTGGCACCACCTTGGTCGTTTCAGGCATGGCGAATGCAAGAGACGGGCTACTAGTCCCGGGATGAAGAATATGGATTGAAAGCCGGTGATTTAGGGCGAACAAGCTCGATATCTATAATCTTGAGAGCGGTGAAGCTCGAATATGGGAAGCGTCGTCACCAAGTCTAGAGGATTACTTTGAGGTAAGCGGAGGCGCAGAAGATCCTCGAATCCGGTGACCGTAGATACAATCAACAGGAGACAAATGAGGGCGGGGAATGCAAAATATTCGTCAATGGGTCGTAAAATCGTGAAAGTTTGTCGATGGCTGTCGCGTCTTCCTCCACAGCCCCTCGAGGGGCAAGTTGAAACGGGCTCAAGGTTAGCGCCGGAATAACTCCGGAGCCGAGGCCTAGCTTACAGCGATCCAATCTCACACTCGCCGCTCAGCACCATCGAGGGCCACCCTTGCATTCGCTACTTCCGGAGTGGCCTACACTTTGGAGGCTACATTTTGGGTTTGGATATTCTCCATAGAGCAGGGCCGCCACGAATTTGGGCTATCCCCTTGAGGCCCAGCTCCGAGTGATATTGTCACTTCATCAGCCTGAAGCTCAAACACATATGCCAACAATAGCAGTTTTCAACAAATAGCGTGCGAGAACTTTTTCGAGGTAGTTGAAAAATAGTTGGAACGGGTCATGAGGAGTATTTGATGATTCTAAAAGAGGTTTCTTTATTAGAACCGTAGATAATCCTGACGTGCAAGAAAGTCTCAGAGTCGTATCAACTGCAGAAAGGCAAGTTGTTAGGAAGAGCTTCCCGCATATAGCCCAGGGGGTAGAGTAGACTTTCCACTACGATGGATACATGGATATGGTTTCATAATGTGGTCTCGATGATTATGAATTCAATGTCTTCTGAAATATCATCACAGGAAGAACCAGTCGCCCCTTAAAAGTTTAGATTTTTAATTGTCCATCAATAGCCGACAACTTGTTCTGAAGGTAAAGCTGACATGAAATAGCATGGGCCGCATAGCTAAAAGAAATACAAGAGCTATTTGCACCCATCGTTCGAGTAACATCGTCTCATTCGCGTATCGCTACGTCAAACCACCACTTCCTCCCCCAGAAGACGCAAGTATAAGAATTAAACAGATATCAATACAGCGCAATCAGCTCATCAACTGTTGCATCAAGTGACCCCCTTATGAACCCAGTCCCGTGTCCATTCATATACAAAGAAAAAGTTTCAACCAAAGCGCGCCATAGATACTAGAACCCAACCCAAGCTGATCTAACCCGACCCACATAATTGATGGGAGAGAAGTAGCTTAGGAAGCGTATGCCTCACCAAGGGGAGAGAGGCCACCATTGGTGTTCAGCTGGTTCTCGCCCTCGCCGACCTTGAACCAGGAGTAACCTTGTACATAGATGGCGCCGTCGAGGTACTCCATGGCACCCTTGAGGAAGATCGTGGCTTGCTCGGACGAGGCGGAGCCGGGGTTGAGACCAAACTCGGTAACCCAGACAGGCTTTCCGTAGATCTCGTTAGCCTTCTTGACCTGGGCCTTGAAGCGCTCAAGGGTCAGGCCCTCCTCGTAGATGTCGTAGAAGTGAATGTTAGTGGCGTCAACAATGGCCTCAGGGCAGCAGTCGTGGAAGCGGCTGAGCCAGGCTAAATTATCGTATTAGCGCTACTCGGTCAGGATGGTTGGAGAGGGACGTACTGAGACCCATGTTGGGCTGGCCTGAGTTTGTTACGGAGGGACCGATGATGGTGATATCAGCGTGAGCAGATTTGACGGGGTTCATGTACTGCTTCCACGAGGCGCAAGCAACCTCGGGGCTCATGTTGCACTGTTCAGCGTGGTCACACTCGTTGAAACCCATAACGGCAGTGGTGCCCTTCTTGACGGCCTTGTCGACGTTGCCGAGCCACTCTTCTACGCTGGAATCGGAAGGCTTGTGCATCATAGGGATGAACTGAGTACCAATGTCGTCTTTCTCGACCTGGCCCCAGTTGTAACCGAAACCAAACTTGCCGGCAAGAGTCTTGCATAGATGGGCAGCATTGTAAGCAAGACCACGCTTGTGACCGGTGTAGCCGTTGCCAGAAGGTGGAGATGGAGATGGAGACGGAGACGGGGTGGCACTGCTGGAGCTCACGACGGGCTTGTTCGGAGGGTGGGAGGGAACAGCGTACTCGGACATGGATGAAGTTGTCTGGGCAGCCTCAGGAGTCTTCGCGGGGTAATCTGGAGCAGGAGAGGAGGTAGTAGCCTCGGGTGTTGCAGCAGGGTAGTCCGCGGGGGGCTTGGAAGAGGCGACATGTTCATTGTCTGGCTTAGACGGGACAGGCGACTGGGACGGGACAGGCGCAGCAGATGACTGGGGAGCAGGAGTGTAGCCCGCACCACCGCCAATAACCGTGATAGTGACCTTCTCCTTCGCGGTGACGGTGACGGTAGCAGGGCCGCACTGATCACTAGAGACGCTGGCAACGGCGACAGCAGGCGTAGACGGCTTGACGTAAACGGTGGTGTACAGAGTCTGGGTAGAGGTCGTGGTCTCGTCAATGGTGGTTGTCTTGTCGTCGGGGTAGGATGCAGTTGGGTTGGGCATGACAGCCGTGTTGTTGGACGCTCCTGACCAGCCATTGGCAGGATATGGCTTGACATGGCCGCGAGCAGCCTTTGCGCCGTGGAATTTGGCGTGGGGGTTGGCACCAAAGTGAGGAACGGCAGCGGCGGTGGAGACAAGAGCCAAAAGGCTCAACTTTATGGTGTAAGACATGATGTGATTGTAGAGACCGGATTGGTCGATGCGTCGACGGCTGGAAGAGTATGCAGTTTCAGTAGTAGACGGATTGCGGCTTCCTGAGCGCTCGTAACTGTTGTTGCGATAGATCGGTAATGAAAGTGGTAGTCTACACAGACCGGGAGTGAGTGACAAGAGCGCAACGACTCCAAAATGAAAATGTACGGCAACAACAGCGCAAGAGTCAGGGAAGGTAGAGAAGAGTCTCAAGGGGGCATGGGGGGCGATCAGTTACTACATATACGGAGGCGGGGCGGGCTAATTCGACCTGTCCACGGCTAAGACATGAGAGAGAGAGAGAGAGAGAGAGAGTGTGTGTGTGTGTGTGGGGGGGGGGGAGGGAATACAGTAAGGCTCCATCCAAAGTTGGTGGCGGCCCGGCCGAGAGCACTTGGAAGAGTCGCCCGTTGTGGACTAGCGGCACACCTAATCAGGGGTAAGCGCCAGGAGGCACACTGGCCCCCTGTGGAGACAGCCGACGACCACTTGGAACTCCAGCTTTTTCTTTCTCCATCGCACAACAATCTGCAATCAAGCTTTGTCTTTTGGCGGCCTCTGCTCGCAATTTACAGCCGCCGACTAGGGTTCCACCGCTTACCCCGGCGCCTCTCAGCTGCGAACGAGAAGGCAAGGAAGGCCTGGCAGTCCTTGGGAGGCTGCCCAAGCCTCTCTCTCTCTGTCTCCCTGATCAATTGTTCTTGACCACAGGTCCTAGGTACCGGTACAGTAGGTGCCGCACCTATGCAGAGAATCAGTTGTAGTTGTCAACCCATACTGAACTTTCAATCTCAACCGTGTGCAGCCGGCGCATCTCTCCAATGCAGTCCACTTTGCCACACCACAGGGCATACACAGTAGCGCTGCGTCTCTTTTTTTTTGCGCCGATGCAGGATGCGCCTCGGCGGTGGAGCGTCCGACGTGGCTGACAGTGCCGTCTTGTGGGTCCCAGAAAGCCAGTTATCATCTTCCCGGTATATAGGTAGGTGTAGGTAACCCATCCCATTTCTTTGAGTCGATTTTCCATATCTTGGAGGTCGGGTTCACCTTTGCGCTTTGTTCATCGCCGAGCAAAGCTTGGTTCCAGGTGGGAGGGGGGGGGTGCTCTGTTCTTGTCTCAGGCCTGACAACGCAACGGTTACCTGCCTTGATGGGAAGCTTCGCCGACAAAGCACAGAAAATGTCCAACAGTGCTGACGACGACCCGAAAGATCGTCGAATCGAAAATTGGCCTGCTACTCCATGCCGTCTTCTACGTGCGTAGCACTTGCGCAGGCACACTGCCTGTGCAACCGCATCAAACGTACGTTGATGTGTTGCACGCATGCGAGCTGAATGCGACTTGCAATACCTACTCGTAATGTTTTGTACCGGCCCACGGGACTGCTAGGCGAAGTCTACACCGATGCACTACTCTACGCTTGTGTAAGACAACCGCAGATGACATGGCGAAGGCGTCGACAATCTTGAAAGCCCCTATTACAACAGTTCACCCTAGGCCTCGATAAACTCTATCGTATCCTCAAACACGCGATAATCATGACGTGGAACTTTTCCAAGGGCACGACGCAACTTTGAGAAATAGGTACGCAAATCGCAACTCCAGTCGAGGCAGCTGGGCTGGGTAGGTATTTGACGCCCGACAAAGACTCAGTCTGGGGCTCCTCGCACAGTAGACCAGATCGCACACATCGTCGCGCCAGGTGCTGATGCTCGTACGTCTCGCCACGCCATTCTGCAATCCTTTGCTGCGTCGTCTAGGGGGTCGTCTTCGATTTTGCGCTCCAGAATTGTCTCCCCGTTCTTTCTTCGGGCGACCCACTTGGGCCGAACATGATTTTCTCATGATTTACATGACATGCCTCCTCATTCGATGTCTCTTTTTTGCCGTTTGACCTACCAAAACGCTGTGCCTTTCTCTGACGGGCCATCATACCACGATCTTCCGCGAAAATTGCATCTCAGGCTCAATCCGCGAGTCGTGTATTGTGGAAATTGGACATTTTAAAGGCGTTTGCTGTCGCTGATCGATTGGTGCTTGCGCCAATGAGGACTGTCGTAAAGTTCAACGCAACGAATCGCTACACGACAATGCAGCCTAATTGGCGATCCGGTCGTCTTTTTGGAAATTGCTGATCTCATTTTGAAGGCGTCACAAACGCTGTTCTTCTGACAACGATAGTATGCCTTCCAAGACAGCAGACTCGATCGCGTAACTCTAAGCACAAATGTAGGTTCCGGGCGGATAGATTGGTTTGTACCTGAGAGCGATCCAAGCAGGATAGTGTGGGTGGGTGTGAGATACTCACAGAATTGTGGGCAGCGAAACCATGGAAAACTCTTGCGTTTGATCATTTTGTTGGAAATGATCGTGGCCGCGCCGCAAAAAGGTGAATAGAGGTAATCGAGCGGGGATATACCATCAATCGAGAGGAATAACTTCAACACCAGACCATTCAAGCAATTTAGGCGACTGAGATGCGTCGAGTTCCAAGTATAAAGTGGCCAAGTTGTTCACTTTGCAGATTTTCAGGGCCCAGCGACTTACTCAACGAGATCGTGGTCGCGCCTCCTTACACCGTAGCAAATTCGCTTATTCATGGCTACCAAGTCTCACAGAGCTCTTGCCATTCGAGTCCTCATAACAATGGCCACTGACTAGCATTGAGTGTCTGATATGATACAGGTATGTTACCAAGGGTAGACATGTCTGTCAACAGAAGAATGTGCTGCTGTCGCTATCGCTATCATGTAACTTGTAACCATTACAACTTGCCCCATTACGAGAATTCCGCTGCTCATCACAATCTGCTTTCTACACGTTCGCTTTCTGCAATTCTCCGCCCTCGTCTGTCCTCTTTTTGTCGAGAGATTCCAAATAAGAGATGTCTTCATCCAAAAACTTCAAATTCACCAAGAAGCGTGTTGCCGAGTCAGTCAGGTGTCCTACCGATGTAGTCAAGGAGACTCTTTTTTTCTCGGACAAGTCGGTCGTTGTGACTGGTAATGGTGATAGTGGATATGGAGACAAGGATGATTTCTACAGTGATGATGTCGATGAAATCAAACCCATGCTTCCTGTCCTGTCCAAAACGGTATGCGGTTTCTTTGAAATGCCCTTTTTATTACCAATACATTTAGAGTAGACCAACGCTAGTATGATTACTTGAACTCTAGCAGAACGGGCAAAGGACATCGTTAGACAGAAACCAAGAAGTCTGGACATACTATTGAAATGCGACGACTTTCACTTTGTTTCCAGTCTTGATACCGAATTCATTGGGTCCGTTCCAAGCCTTGCTGTTGCATCACTCTTTCCCCTCTTTACAAGATCACTTCGTTATATTTGCGCAGGGCTTACTTTTGCTTCTCTCTTCTCTTCTGTGCTCTGTCAGCACTGCCGTACAGATCATGTATCTAAATTTTTCCCATGCCATTGGTAGGCTGGACTATGGGCCTTGATCTACACGTACTGATATCTAAAGAGGCTCTATCTACTTCAATTCCCATCAAGTTAATGTCCTTCTCTATCAGAACCGGGACCTCTTTCACAAACTGGGTTCCTCAAATGTATAACCGCGGTAGACTTCACCAGAGGCAGTCATGGGTTTACAAGCTACTCATCAATAAACGACTGGTATACAAGTTCACACAAACGCTCCCTTCCCTAACGCTCCCTGTATGCAGGTGGGCAAGCATGAAGTAGCAATGAGAATGCCATACTTGATACAAAACCTTCACATCATCTTTCTGCGCCTTCCCGATGGCGGTCATGCTGGTCAGGGACACAGTGCCTGCCATGGGGGATTCACTCAAAAACTTCGGAGCAGGGACATAGACAGCATCACTGGGAATATTCAGAGGTGAGTGCATCAGATATACCACTCTGATCTGCATAGACACGCCAAGTTCTCGGTGATCTATCTATGGCTCGAAGATCACCATAGGGATTCATTAGAATAGCATCGTAGCTACATGACCGAGATGGCACAATCCATCTCACTTCCAACCAGACCTTCGTTTTGCATCAAATTCAGACCTCTGCAAAGTCCTAGAAGACTGCGCCTCTGTACCATATTCGGTGTGTGAAACATCTCTCTCGATAGCGGCAAGATCCCCTGATGATCGCGGTGTCACACCAGTAGTATTTGATCTCCCCGCTCAAGGTGGACTGAACCAAATCAGCACACTACTCTGTACCTACAATACATCATCAGACCTATCATCATCCTCCTCAGGCTCCCACATCCTCCGTTTCGCCAACAGCGCCTGCAACTGGGCATCAACCTGCGGCTCCTCGGGTGACTCCAACGAGGTTCTCGGTCCCGCAGTACGCCGTGGTCCAGACCTTGCAGCAGTGCCCAAAGGTCCCTCTAGCCCTGGACGATGTGTTTGTCCCATAGCTGGGGGGATATTGGGTGTTATCTGACCACCAAGGCGGGCAAACGGTGCCGGTGCACTTGGTGATATGGGTGAGATGGGGCTTTTGGGTTCCTCACGTTCTTGAGACGGGTGAATGGGCTGGGAGCGCGTGCCGAGTTTGAAGCGGCCGATGTTTTGGGGGCCCATGGCTGGGATGCTGTAGTTTACTGGTTTGGGCTCTATGGAGTTTGGGGAGGGCTTCTTTGTTGGAGGGAGAGTGGGGGCTTTGAGGATTGTGGTTCGGGGTAGTGGTGGGGGGACTGGTATGGTTTGCTGCTTTGCAGGTGGGGGTGGGGGAGTAGATGTGAGAGTTTGAGTCGAGCTCGATAAAAGAAAAGGTGGATTTGGGATTGCGGGTGCCTTTCCTTTGTTCGTTGTCCATGTAGTTGTCTTAGTTTCAGTCCACTCTGCTGTCAGGCCACCACCGAGGTCTTCTGTCCAACTTCGAGGCTGGCATCATGTTAGTATACCGGTAGTTTTGCGCTTGGTACAGCATATTGAGCCTTGTGATGCATATTTGTCACTTACTGGTATATCTTGATTGTCCCGTTGTAGTCGATTTAACTGCATTGACTCTTGAAAGGCCCGCTGCATTGCCTCTATCTCCTGTTGCTGAGCAGCATGATCTGCTTCTTCCCTCGACTTTCTCAGCATGAACTCGTAATCAGCATCTTTCTGCTCTTGCAGTTTACGTGCATATTCCTCAGTACTTTGTCGCTCGAGTTCTGCAATGCGTGCGTCTTGGGCTTTCTCGTGCTCCACCGCCTGAGCAAGACTTTCTTCACAAGCTCGCTGCTCTGCACGCTGCATGTATTCTTCATGCGCTTTGGCCTCGATCAAACTGATCCTGCGGGCTTTTGCTAGATCAAGTTTCAGCGCGGTTGTCTCTGCGGCTTCGCGATGCGGGCGCAGACATGGCTCGCAGACACCGTTGCGGCCCTTCGTCTTGATCTTGACTCGTTTCTGTTTCTTATTTGCTGGATTGTCGCGATCACAGTGAACTCCTGTTCTCCGGAACTCAGGGCACTGGCTCGAGTCGACGTGGTCTTCGGCTTTGTGACCGCATTCGTAATTGTGGATGGTGTATTTGCACATTGTTGGAGATGAAGGCTCTGGGCGTCCGAGGATGGGAAATAGAGTATGTGCTGTTCAAAGAGAGAGATCGGTGATCTCTATAATGTCATTCTGAAATCTTATATATTAATGCAATCCTAGTCACATCTGTAAAGTGAATACTGGTGCACTTGGCCAAGTACTTGCTGTGGGTGGCCATGTGAAGTAGTCTCGCGTTTGTGAGGAATCCTCAACGGCGCTTGCGCGTTGGTCTCATCAAACAGATTGATTGTTTTTCACATCGTCCTTCACTTGAGTTGCTGTATATTATTGATGACCAATCGCTGCTTTACATATCAGGCTGCCGCCGACGTGATGCAGTAGTAAATGGTGAAGCCGGAGCTTGCTTCGTACATAAGCTGTAATGATACTCAGGATCAAGCATACTTGTCTCATTGTTTGCAATATGAAATTCGGATTAACACAGACGCACCTCTTGTCGTTGTAACCTAGACGGAACGTGATCTCATGAGGAAGTTGAGATGTAGTCATCAGCCAATCAGGGCCACTGGATTGGGATTAGTCCCTTAGTCCATTTTGATGTGCTTGGCACCTCGGACGAGCTCCATCATCGACGTCTTCGAACAACGCCACGCCTCCAGAACCGCAGTCACATATCACCATGGCCTCGAGACTGGTCCCATTTGCATACCGGAGTGCTCCGCGCGCCTTCCGCCAGATCCAGAGGACTCAATGGCGGCCGTTTAGTGTTTCGCGAACGGCGTGGAACGAGAGTGGCTCGCTCAATGTTGTATGTCAACTTGCATACCGGGAACCCAATTTAAGACCGGATAGTGTATCTGACTTGGAATATCATAGCATCGCGACACGCCCGAGAACAACCCGAACATTCCCTTCAAATTCACCGCTCAGAATGAGCAGCTCATCGACGAAATCGTCTCCCGGTACCCCTCGCAATACAAGAAGGCCGCGGTCATGCCTCTGCTGGATCTGGGACAGCGCCAGCATGGATTCTGCAGTATCAGTGTCATGAACGAGGTAGCGCGGCTGTTGGAGATGCCACCAATGCGCGTCTACGAGGTTGCGACTTTCTACACAATGTACAACCGGGATCCGGTCGGCAAGTTCCACGTCCAGGTCTGCACAACGGTAAGTTGGTGGTCCAAGGAGAAGTTACGAAGGCCGTCTCTCTAACAGTTCTAGACCCCATGTATGCTCCGTGATAGCGACGCAGTCATGAAGGCATGTGAGGACGAACTTGGCATCCACCACGGCGAAACCACAAAGGACGGCCTGTTCACCATGACCGAGGTGGAATGCCTCGGCGCCTGTGCCAATGCGCCCATGGTCCAGATCAACGATGACTACTACGAGGACCTCACATACGACTCGACCGTCGCTCTAATCAAGGCCCTAAGACATGCCGCACAAGCCACAGGTGCGCAACCAGGCGGCAAGGGTCTTGTCAGCGGTGCTGGAAACGGCAACGCATCAAACGAGGGTGCAGGCGATAAGTTGGTCAACCAACAAGGACGGGGCTATGACTTTGGCGGCGTCAAAGTGCCGACACCAGGCCCTTTGAGCGGGAGGAAGAGCTGCGAGCCCGCAGGAGGCTTGACCTGTCTGACAAGCGAGCCGTGGGGTAACGAGACGCTGAGGAAGGATGGTGCTCTATAGAGAATTTTCTGTAGATATGAGTACGAGCCTTGTTCTTGCGCATGGAGTAATAGCCATGTGTCCAACTTCTCTCAATACCAATTTTTTGTTCAAACACTACATATGAGTTTATCTGCTCAATGAAGACTTTTTCCCCCCTTTCAAGATATGAGGGACATGCTCATCTTCCATCAGAATCATCATGACATAAAAAGGGCAGCGCAGCACAAACAAGACGCATCCATTACCACAGCAAAAGTGTCCCACCTACACGACAAACACACCACAAGACTAACACAACACCCACACCATGAAATCATAAAAACCTTTATATTTTCCTCTAGTAACAGGCTCCAGCCCTCCAGACCCAGCCATAAACCCAGCCATCATGATCATACAGCCAGCCCAAAGCCCCTTCTCAATAAGTAAGTAAAACCCCCAGAAAAAAAAGAAAGAGTGAGAAAGAAAATAAATCTATACACGGGCTGCGCCATCCAGAATCCATGCCCGTATTTTGGCCAGGTCAGATGTGCTGTGTCTTTTGCCAGCCAGCTAAACGCCGTCGCTATAGTGTTGTGTAATCCAATCCGATGCCGTGACGCAGGGCGATTGGCTGTCCCGCCCTGAATGCAATGCTGATGCTCTCTAGTAGGAAATGGTTCCAGGTCCTGCTGTACAATGTGTCCGTGGTCGCTTTGTTTGCCTTGCTCGCGCGATGTGTGTCGGCTGTGTGAGGCTTTTTTTTTCCTTTTCGCCATCGATTGGGGAAGAGGGGGCTTATGAAGGGTTTGTGTGGGTGTGTGCATGTGTGGGAGAGAGAGAGGGGAGAAACGTGATCGTTACCGCAGTGCTGCTGAAAGAGGTCGAGAGGTTTTGGCTCTTTTATAAGAATCCAGAGTTCCAGCTGCCCATGAGCATGTCTCTTGTCATCTCGAAGCTGAGCCAGCTGCTAGCCATGCTGGGTGCGACTTTGAGCAGATTTGGCACGATGCCCTTATATAATCCCCTGAAGCCTTCATGCTTGATGATAGTGATGATGGCATCGCCGATGCCCGAGTATTGGTAGCCCATTCCACTCATGGTGTTGATTTGGAATCGCCGCCTGAGGACGTCGAATGGGTATGTAATGGTCTGGGCTACCGCTCCGGAGACCGCACCGGCTGCGAGTTTGCCAAGCGCAGTGGGGTCTTTCTCGCCCTCGGGTGTGAAGTGCGTACGTGCCATTTCGTAGACCATGAAATTCAGACCGACGTAGGGAGCCACCCCAGCCACGGTTGGGATAATCCCACGGTAGAGCGCTGACATTCCACCTTCTGTCTTGTACATGTTGACTAGTAGCGCCCCCATGCCCGGCAGCTTCTGGCCTTGCTCCTTCTTCAGACTCGAGAATGATGCGGACTGGATGGACAGACGTGTGCGGACGATATCGAGCGGATACGTAAAAGTGACGGAGGTAATACCGGCGAGTCCACCGCAGAGAAGTCGCTGGTAGGCGTCGAGTGGGCCGCCAGGTTCTCGCTCGAAGAACTAGACCAGGTCAGCAAGAAGTTGAATAGTTTCACAAGTCCGATTTCGAGTCTCCATGCGGATCGCTGCCCCTTCATGATGATCTTCCAATTACCATATGACTCCATACAAGCCTCGTGCCCGTTTCCATGTATCAAAAGCCGCCCAAGGACCACAGATACCAAGTCCACCCACGCCAGAATGGGAAAAAGCACATGGACAAAAAAAATGCCACTTACTCGCTTGTAGACGTTGTACGCACTGAACTGCACAGCCGAGTACGGGACAATGCGTATGCAGTTGGTGCCGTTGCCAGCCATGAACCCTCTCCATCCCTCCTCTCTCCACATTTTGGCCAGCGCCTTGGGCACTGACATCTTGTACTCTTCGCGACCCACGCTCTGGATCTGGAAGAGGATCTTGAGGCGCTCAAGGGGCGATACGACGGTGCGCGAGACAGCGCCGGCCACTCCACCGGCGATGAAAGAAGCAAGAACCGGCTGGGCAAGCATCTCGCGTGCGCGTTGGAGGCTGGTCATGTCTGGAGTCCCCAGAGGCTACAAAAAATCATGAGTTTGGCGCTTTCAGATGTATGCCTTGGTTTACTCACGTTTCCACCTTTCTCCGGCTCGGCGCTCATTGCGGGTACCGTTTGCGCCCGCGGCTGTTGTGATGTTTTTGACATGGAGCCAATGTGCAAAGGACAAGATACGGCAGGAAGGACAGAAGACACAGTCACCGAGGATTGGCGGGGCCAGGCTCTATCGGAGGTGAAAGGGAATCGTGGAGCGCGGTAACGAGATCATCGGTAACTATGGATGCGACACGGTAGGCAATTGGGCAACGAGTGGGATCCTGTAGGAGCTGGCGAGTCGGCAGATGATGGCTCTTCCATGCAAGGCGCATGTGGGACTGGCAGAGTGCAAGTGTTTGGGTCACGAGTCGAAGGGGACGTCGCGGCGCATTGGGGATGTGCTTGGTGGTGTCGTAGCTCGTGGAGATTTAAGGGAAGATCCGGCGGGAAGAGGATTTTAGGTCAGAAGCTGGGGAACCAACCAATGTCCACTTGTCACTTTGGGGGGGCAAACTTGTCAAGCGAAGCTTTTTCTACTCTACTCCTAACAGCGCAGGTCTTCTGCAATGTCATAATCTGCAAAACATGACATGGGCGACATGGCAGCTGGGCACGTTGCTCGCCAAGGTTGAGCAGCTGGCTCTGCGTGACTTTGGCAAAGCCCGTTACCATACTGGTTATGTGCCGGTATGGCGACATTTTCATGGACCGAATCTACTACCCCTCGATCCTCGACCGTCTCGACTCAATGCAGAACAGACTCAGCCCTTGTCTCAGACCTCAGCTGCCTGCCCAATGTCCACCAAAGTCAAGCTGCCACGAGCGCATAGGGGCCGAATGGGGCGTGTGCCGTTCGACCTGGAGCAGCACCCCTTTCTGAAGGCCTATCGTCAGCCTCCAGAGTACATTGTCCCCCTAGCCCCCTTGACCTGACTATAGCTACATGCATCACAAGAACAACCAAGGCATGACCCCATGTTCCGCGCGCCTCCCTTGTAGATCGTTGCTCGTGCTTCGTTGCTCGTTGTGTCTCAGCCATCAGGCAGAACAAACGCCGCGTGCCTCTGTCGGTTCCGATTGTACCGGTAACCGTTCCTGGAGAAGCGATTCCCTTTCACACAAATCCGCCCTATCTGAGCCAACACAGCCTCCGAAGCGGCAGTCGATAGTTCCAGGGAGGCCACTAAAATCACAGTCATCATTAGCACAAGCGGGGTGCACATAACGACGGCCGTGGAGAAAGAAGCCAAAGTTAGTGACCGAGGCCAAAGGCGATAATATCTCGGAATGTCTGGTAGTCAGCACATCACATAGGCACTACTTGACCCAGACTGTATTTTTACAATGTAGTGCTTTCCCCACTGCCCAAAGAAAGTGATGGGGAATGACAAGACTCCGCCGACGACAAGCTGGGTCCATAGAATGACACTGTGCCTGTACTCTACTCTAGAGTGTGTTGGATCCATTTCAAACCATTTGGAGGTTGGATGTAGGCGATCAGCGATGACGCCAATCTTGGGTGGTAGTAAATAACGTTACTCTAGTGGGCAAGGGCAAGTCCCTGTCTGTTATCGATAAGACCGAGCCGCAACTTCACAAAATCTTTGGAGTCTGGACGTCACCATCACGAGGCATGGACCTCGCCACGCCTGAATGCTCTCACGTCGCGTCTTCCAGCGGCTTACCGACAGCTTGCTGTTAGGACCTCAATACCGGCCAACAGCCTCTTTCTGCCTTGTGCAACAATGTTGCCATTGCCCTCCTCGTAGTCGTTCGCCTGCCGTCTCTGCTCAACGTGCGTCTTCCTCTTCGACAAGATGGAAGTCAAGGCAAGGCAAGGATTTCTTTGCAAGAGAAGCACGAGTCCAAGGGCTCAAGAGTCGTGCTGCATTCAAGTTGCTTGAAGTACATTTCACTGGACGACATGTACGCTAGGCTGGGCCACTAATGCTGGACAGCTTAACAAGAAACACAAGTTGTTCAAGCCTGGTCAGACGGTGGTCGATCTGGTATTTATATAGCCATGTGCCCTCTTGGAGCCTCACTGAAACTGCCCAGGGATATGCGCCAGGATCATGGTCGCAGGTATAAAGTGCTCGCCCTCGACTGTCAGCCAACGCTGACAACCCCCAGGTTGCGGTGAACTGTACAGACCCAAATGGACGTGTAATTGGCATCGATATTATACCTGCACAGCCTCCGCGAGGCGTCTCGACCATTCAGGGCAACTTTCTATCGGCTGAGATTCAGGAAGAAGTTCGGGCCTATGTGCGGGATCCCGAACTGGGTCGACCGCGAAGGACATTCGCATCCAACAACGAACAAGGACGAATAGAAGCTGAAGTGGACGAAATGGAGCGCGGCTATATCGACATCGAGCGACAGGCACATCTAGAGGGTGCGGATGCAAAGACAAGTGAGCAGCCAGTAGACGAGGGGAGAACGGAGGAGGCGTCAAAGGCGAAGATGTCTTTGAAGGAGCGGGATACACGACAAGGAAGAGTTGTGGATGTTGTACTCAGTGACATGTCAGAACCCTGGGACCAGACGACGGGCTTCTACAAGAAGAGTCTTAGTGACCCTTATTTTAGGATGATGAATACCAGCGGAAACGGCTTCAGAGATCACGCGGGCAGCATGGTATGCGACACGGGCTCTTTGCTTGCGTTTCGGAGATGGTCTCTAACGCGTGCAGGATCTGTGCATGGCTGCTCTAACGTTTGCTTTCGATACGCTCAAGACGGGCGGTCACTTCTTGTGCAAGTACTATCAGGGTGCGGAAGAGAAGGCTTTGGAGACGAAACTGAAGCGATTGTTCGCCCAGGTTTGTCGGGAAAAGCCAGACTCGTCGCGCAATGTAAGATGTTCAGTTTGAGCTTGATGGAATGTTGGCTAAAGTCGGGTTAGGAGTCCAAGGAGGCCTATTTTGTGGCCCTGCGGCGTAAGGAGGCACCGACCAAGGAGGATGTTTTTCGATAGATGGTGGCATGGATGGACGTGTCAGGTTCATGGCAGTGATTTGACATGGGGTTAGGTGTAGAGATACGGGGAGAGATTTTGATGTCTGTGTGCATGTAGCATGTATTACTATGTGTAGGAATAGCAAGCAGTGCGATGTGCTGTGAGTAGGTTACGGGTATACAATCTGGTGCGGATGCAGATGATGATTGTCAGCCAGACCAGCATTCAAAGCCAAGTGGTGGTTCTTTGGCCCCTTGCCCTGGTATCTGAATCTGGCGGTGCGGAGAATAATAGTGGAATGGGCCATGTGCTATGCAGGTATGTGTTGTGTTATGTAAGCAGATGCATGGCGCCAGGTACAGGGATCCAAGTGTGATCCGAGCTGGGTTAGTCAGGTATGCGTGTAGTAGAGTACCTAGGTACGATGCATACTCTACATGCGCACTGTGAGTTGAGAAGTAGGTAGGACAAAGAAAAGAGTATAGTACGATAGCCGTGTGTGTGTGTGTGTGTGTGTGTGCCCACTGCCGGGTAAGACGGGCAAGTGCATAGGTAGTTCGTGGTAGTATTGTACTACTGTAGCTGTACCGGTAGCTGTACTCTATGGAGCCGCCCGTGCTGGAACCTCTAGCCGATTCAATCGTACCGGTATGGCTGGTGCTGGTCTTGCATGAGCCACGAGTGTTGATGTAGACGAAGACGAAGACAAACATCGTCTTGCTTTCTGTAAAGTCTGCTGTCAACTAAACTGAACTGAACTGGGCTTGGCTTGACTTGACTTGGCTTGGCTTGACTCGACTTGGCTGGGCCAGACTAGACTGGGCTGGGCTGGGGAGTGCTCGGGTGAATGACGCGCTTCTCGGCTGTGGGCCGGCGGGGGGGCTTTGTGTGTGGGCACTGGTAGTGCTGGGTGTGTGGGTGTGGGTGTGGGTGTGGGTGGGTGAACAGGGCAGCAGGACAAGGGCGCGGCCGGGCAGAAAAGAATCAAGGCTTGGAAGGGGTTTTCGGAGAGCGGAGGGCTTGGGTAACGTTATCACACATCCACGTTATTCCTTTCTTTGATCAACCCCCCCATCTCCCCCCAATCAATCCAGATCGAGTTGTGCGACGCAGCCAATGAGTGGCAGCGACACGCCATGGATTACCAAACTTTCAATGGCCATAATAATCCCTCGTTGGGCGGGGGGCAGTTTAACAACTCGCCACAACACTCGCAGCAGTTCGACCCACAAGCCCGGCTGCAGCAATCAAACCCGTCGATTTCCTATGGCGGCCAGTTCCCAACCAACGGCCAAGCCACTGCCTTCCCGCCCATGGGGGGCGCCATGGGCGGTGGTAGTGTGATGCAGCCTGGAATGCCGCAGAACCCACGAGGTAAGCATTTGGGCGAGCCCAGTGCTCACTGCCTGCCCTTCTTCCATGTCCACCGCCAGACCGCCAGCCCGCCAGACCGCCCTGACCTTGGGACGCCCGGCCGCCGGAGGGGGAGAGACGGAGGGCTTCGAGGGGAACCAAGGCGTGGACTCGTCGTGTCGCCCTCGTGTACACCCACCCTGACGCCCCTCCCCTTTTTTGGCCTTTTTGCTGTTTGCCGTGTTGGTTTGCCGTTAGGGCGGCTGGGGAGGTTGTGTGGGTGTAGTCTGGTCGTGCATCTCTGTCATCCTTTGCGCGGTGGCTGGGCCTACCTACTACGATTTACATGTGTCCCTCGATGAGGATGGCTACTGACAGGATGGACCAGCAGCCGCCGCCTTGCATCAACAACAGCAACTGGCCCAGCAGCACCAGCACCAGCACCAGCACCAGTCAGGCGGGCCCTACTCGAGTGCGCCCTCGCCATTCACCGGCCAGACGGTCATGTCCCCTGCCCACCAACAACACTTTGCCCACAATCGCCAAACAGCCTCGCCTGCAAGCAACAACGGCCAGCAGCCATACGCGACTCCCCAGCCACAGCCATCCCCAGGCACTCTGCCTTCCAACGGTCACCCTCGCCACCACCAGTCACACTCGATGAACATCCAGACCCCGCTCAAGTCGGAGACCCCGCAGGTCCACACGCCCGTCAGGCAAGTGCCGCCTTCGCCCGTGTCGCCAGTCGCCCAGGCCCGCGCCCAGGATCGCATGGCCACGTTGCTGGAGATCAACAGCATTCTCATCAAGGAAGTATGCGACTTGCAGGCGCAGGGGAAAGCAGGCCAGGTAAATCCTGCGCCAGATGGCAAACCAGACGGCGACAAGCCTCAGCCTTCGAAGGAATATGTCGAGTACGTTCCTGCTCAATGCTCTCTACAGAATCGCTCACCTACTGATATCCCCTCTCTCCCGCAGATATATGCGCCGCCTGCAAGTCAACCTCGCCTACCTCGCGCAATCTGCCGAGAAAACCCAAAAGGCAGGCCAACCCATCCCGCCCGGTCCTGCCATCATGTCCGCTCCTTCCTCTCCCGTTGAACTCGTCAAACTCTACACCAAACTCCAGGACCTCTGTCCCGGCTGGAAAGGAGCACCGACGCAGATGAAGCAATCACCTGGCCCGCAACAGCGCATGCACTCGGCCACACCTCAAGGCGGACAGCAACTCCCACCCTCGCAACAATTATCCACGCCACAGCAGCAGCAGCATCAACAAAATCAACAACAACAGCAGCAGCAACAGCAACAGCCACCAAACAGTGCAGGCCTCCCACCGCAAAACTGGGCGCAAATGCCCATGGGCACACCGCAACAGGGCATGAACATGGGCATGGGCATGAACATGAACTTGACCATGATGAACACCCCCACCCAACCCAAGTCCGAACCCCCAATCTAACCCCAACCTTGCCGTCGACTTTGTTCACCAGAGGAAAGACAGACTGGTGGATGACTTGGAGGAAACAAAGGGCCCGTTGGCTGAATCGGCGGAGACGTGTGGCTTATTTTAACGCCCTCCCACGCCCTCTAGGTGACGCAATCTACTCGTGCATCGGGGACTGATGTGCTTGTGCGTGCGTGTATATTGCCATGTCTTTTGGGGAAAATACGAATATGTTTGTTGCATGTGCAAGCGGAGAGGGACAGATGAAGAACCCAGAGGGAAAAATGTCGGTAAGCGGACGGAAGGAGGGATATATGCACACGAGTGGGATTACTTGTCGGATACATCAGAATACAAAATATTGGGTTTTGTTTCCTTGGGGGTGGGGGTGGGTTTTCAAAGGCGTGCTTCTTTTTTTTTTCCTACAATATTTTTCTGTCTTTCTTTCTCTCTCTTTTTCTCTTTTGGTCGTATACATGGCAGTTCCTTTTTTTTCTTCATTTCTTGGTTTCTGTTTGGTTGGGAAGGGGGGGGGGTGTGGGCGTGGGGCGTGGTTGTCCATGGGGTTGAAAAAAAGTAAAAGAAATGTAAAGTCTGTTGTGTGGGATTGTTGACGTAGGCATGGGTATAGAGATGGTGGTGATGAGGAAGGTGATGATGCTAGTGATGGTGATGGTGAAGATTCGACTTCAAGATGCACGAACCTTGGGATACAAGGGTAGAGGAGGGATGTAGGATGCAAGACACAAGCAACACTACCACCACCACCACGGCGCCACAACCTAACCCCCCAACTGCCTAAACATCACACGCCCAACTTGCCAAGCTCGCATTCCAAGCGCATGGGGGGCAAAAAGCAAGAATAGAGAATAAAAAATGTACGACACCTAGTTACTAAACCAGCAGGTGAAGCGTTAAATTACTATCCCGTGTGCAAACTACCATCTTCTATATATGACAAGGGGAAATGATATTCATCATGGCATTCATGTCGAACCATGAAGAAAATCCCCTCCCGCAATCATCGTCAATGTTCCCGTCTCTCATCATATATCTCGTGTATGTGAAAAAGAAAAATCAATAAAGTACGTCACCAAATCATCCAAAGCAAGAGCAGCCAACCTCGCGAACCAGAATCAGAGAAAGACAAAGAGGAAAATTTTTAAAAAAAACGAGTTTCCAAAACATAAAAAGATTGGAGCAACAAGGAAAACTTCAAAGGAAAAAACATGACGATTACAACAAAACAATCAACACAACATCAGGACATTGGAACCGCACTACCGCAACAAGCCCAGCAACACACTCTCCAACTTATCCGCAAGCGGATCCTCTGGCCTTCGTCGCCCGTGCTCATCGAAGCGCGAGGGCAGTTCAATCGTCGTGTCGCTTCCCGCCTCCGAGTCTGGACTCGCGTGGCGATCATGTCTCTTGCGATCGCGGCCATCCTCTTTGCGCCGACGATGGCTGCGGTGAGCATCGCCGTCTCGGTGGCCATTTCCATCTCCATAATGACGAGCACGTTCGTCGTAGTCGTCATCGTCATCGTCGTAATCATGGTGGTTTCTGCGTTTGCTTCGCTCCCTGTCTCTTGCTGGCTCGGGTTCGGGCGATGGATCACGAGGAATAGTCTGCTCTTGCGGTTTCAAGTCAAATTGTACAGTCTTCTCACTTCTTGTCGATGGGCTTCCTGGCTCTACAATTTCGCTCGCGGCCGACTCATCGTCATCTATTACACGATCTGTCCTCGTGTCAGTAACGTTGCTCACACCGGGCTTAGACATCGACCTCGACGCACCACGCGCAGCAGGAGTAGAGTGCTCAGCCTTATTGGCATGTGTAGGTGCATGTGTGAAGCGGTCAGGAGCTGGTGCACTCACATTGTCATCTGGATGACCTCGGCGCGCATGGTTATAGTACGGATCATGGGGTGGTGCTGGGGGCGGGGCGTACGGGTTTCCATAGTTCATGTCGTGCGGTGGTGGTGGAGGGTGGTTGACAAAGTGCGAAGGGTGTTGGGGCTCATAGGCAGTCTGGGGCGGAGGAGGGTAGTCGGCGGGATTGTAGGGTGGGTATGGCGTCGTGGTGGCGTGGTCTACAGGAGCACTGGGGGGCGGGGGAAAGTAATTTGTCTCAGGGAAGAAACGCGAGTCGTTGGGGTGTACGGTGGAGGATCGGGGGCTATCATAGGAACCGGGACTATAAGTGCCTGTGGAGTAGGCCGAGTCGTCTTCGCCTGTAGTGGGTATGTTTGAGTATGGGTTCTAGTTGCGTCATGGGCGAAGGATAGACTCACGTCGTCGTTCGCGCTCCTTTTCTGCCTTCTTCTTATCGCGCCGCTTAGCCGCTTCGTGAGCTGCTAGACCGGCGACACCGGCGACTGCTGCTGTTTCCGCAACCGATCGTGCGCGGCTCTTACTTCGGCTTCGGCTTCGACTGCGGTCATGGCTGCTGTGTCGACCGCGCGAGGATGAGGAGGAACTTCGTCGCCGGTGGCGGTGTGCCCGACTTCTCGCGCGGTCCGTATAGATTGGATCACCTCCGTACTCTACTAACACAGGTTCACTATGAGTGCTTCTTGATCTACTGTGACTGCGGCCCCTGAGGCGGTCAATCACTGACCTGGATCTCGATCGCGATCTCGACCTCGACGCTGCCCTGATTTCCTTTTTAGCCTTGCGTTTCTCATACAGTCCAGCCACAGCAGCGCCAGTGACGCCAGCTGCCGCAATTGGCACGCCCTTTCGGATACGGCTTGGTGATCGTTTGCCCTCGCGCTTCCTCGATCTGCTCCGCCTATGTTCCACGAGACCGGCTACAGCCGCACTTGCAAGACCAACTTGTGCAGCACGGTTGTTGCGGTGCTCTGGGTCTGTGTGCTTACTTCGGCTGCGAGATCTTCCCTTCTCAGACTCAATCACAGTCACAGACTTGGACCGCTGCCGACCTCTCCTCGATCTGGACCGGCTCCTATGGGTCCTCTCGACGACAGTAGTGACTTGGTCATTCTTCTTCTTCTGCCTCTGTCCCACGGCGTAAGCAAGGGCCCCCACACCTGCCAGTGCAGCAAGAGTGCCAATCTCTTTTGTCCTCGATTTGCTGCGGTGACGAGACTTGCTGCGGTGGCGCTCTCGTCGTCCTCGGCCGCGTTCCGACGACAGGGAACGAGATCTATCACGGTTGTTGAATCGGTCAAGTGCTACAGCACTGACGGCACCAAGTGTGCCATATCCAAGTGCATTACCGATGCTGCCACCGGGCGCTTCGCCCTTTCGCTTGCGGTGGTGTCTAACAATCTGGCCAGCAGCGATGCCAGCAAGAGCACCTGCAGCCACGTCACGTTTGGCGTGGGTCTCGGAACCCCATGTATCCTTCTCTTTGTGGATATACACGTCGTCGTCACTATAGTAGTTCTTCTCTCCATAGCGATCACGGCCGTATTCTCGCTCGTCCATGTATCGCTCGTCTCGTCGGCCGCCCCGGTCGATTTCCTTCACCCTACGTTCGTAGTAGTAGTCTTCCTCTTGCCGTGGGCGAGCAACCTGTCTGTCTTCTGTTACCTCTTGACGCTCAACCACTTCATAAGCAGGTTCCGGAACACGCTCGCGAATGATGATGGTCTGGGGCTCATCCCGGATGATGATAGGCTGAGGTGCAGGGGGCACGACAGGGGCTTCATTGTGAATGTAGATGGGCTGGGGAGGAGGCAGTGGCTGGGGCTCAGGGCGAAAGTACTCGGTGGATCTAGAGTACCTCTCCAGATCGTAGGGATGCTCTCTGGGGCGCTCTAGCTGGACGTCGCGTTCGTAGTCTCGGGATATGCGGATTTCCTGGTGTCGCGAAGGAGAAGGCGAGCGCTCGATGTGACGTTCAATGCGATACTCGTGGACGTCTCGACCCCGCGGCGAGGGCGAGCGCTCCATGTAGCGGTACTCGGTGCGAACCTCGCTTCGAGGGGGTGGGGGCGCATCGCGCTCGATGATGTATTCATGGGTGGAGCGGCGCTCATCAAAGTCATTGCGGCCGCGGTGGACCATTTGCATTTCCGTCTCGTAAATGTCTTGCTCGAGGCTATGGTCGGGCACTTTATAGCGCTTGACGGTAGTGTAGCTGCCGCCGCCGCCTCCAGCGGTGCGTGACGAACCCGTCTCCCAGTCACGCTCACGCTCAGTCCGCTTGTAGAGGACAGACATGATGAGTGGTGGGGTAACGGTGGTGGTGATGGTGGTGCGAGAAGGTGGTGGGGAGTGGGGTTGGTTTGTGCACTTCTCCGTGGGATGTATGCGCAAACAAAGTAGGGGTATGGAATCTAACAAAATGTACGTATGCTGTATGTATGAATGGAGTCGTCGATAGGAATGGGGATGCTGCGATGCAGATCACAGGCGGGTAAATATGGTGGTGCAGCACTCGCCTACTCAGCCAGTCGCTCTGGATGAGTCTCCCGTGAGCGATGAGACGATGGACAATGACTGCACAGCTGACGGAGCGGCGGGATCGTGCAGCGGTGCCGATGGCACGTTCTCGATGATTCGCAACCTTATCACGGGCACGAAGTCCACTCACAGAACGGGTGGAACGGGGGTGGGGGGGGGGGGAGGTGGGCAACAAATGCGCACAACTCGCACAGGTTGGGATGGCGTGAAATGGGGAATGGAGAGTGTAGTAACAAGAAGATGGAAGATGGGTAGGATGATGAGATGGATTGGAGGGAGAGAGTGAGTCAGTCAGTCAGTCAGTCAGTCAGGCTGGCTGGACAAGTGTGGGTGGCATCAGGCGCATACAAGGAAATGGAAGAAGCGGTGCCAGATGCTACGTCATACTTGGGCAGGGCAGCAGCATGCACATACGGGTATATATTGATACCAACACCCATGGCAGCATGGAACGCACTTTACCAGGTACGGAACTCCGTCTGCGCATCAATAAGAAGAAAATAGAAAAGTATAAGAAAAAAGGCAGAGAAGTGCGCAATCCATGACCGGAATACATGTCTGTCCCATTCAGGCATTGTGTACCCGTTGTACGGCGTCCATGTGGAATACTAGTAGACGGCAAAGACGGCCGGCCATACCACCACGGTACTGTTCTGTTCTGTTCTGTTCTGTGCTGTATACCTTGTAGAGGACGTCGCCTTCTCCAGAAGACCACAAGCATGCTGACCAGGCCTAACCTTCAAAGATCTGCTCACCGCGCCCGCCGTTGCAGCCCTACTACCTCCTAGCGAATGAAGGTCGCACTGGCGCATCGGCTAGGATGCGAACGCCCAACTGAACCTCTCCCAAGACTGCACATCGCCCCTCTCGTTGTCGCGGGAGAGCAACAGAGCAACCCTCACCGGTCTGCCGCTTGACCTGCACGTCAACTTCCACGCTGTCCCAAGCATTACATACCCACCGTATACCGATCCATAGCCCCGCATGCGCATGCAGTGTGACGCCGTGTGAGAAGATCGAAGCATGCCGCAACCCACGGCGGACTCCGTCGCACCCGTGTGACGATGTGACGAATGCGCCGAGCCTTGGGCGGACTGCCTGATCCATGAAGTTTTGTTGGTCGTTGGTCGGTCACCTAATCTGGAATCTGGCCTTGCTTTGTCAGAGTCACATGATGTGTTTACAAACATGCTTATCCTGATCTTATCTCTCCCTACGTAAAGTACGGTAACGAAGACAATGGATACCTACCACCACACGAATACAATGCCATTGTCTTCGGAGCATCTTCCAATCTCTCTTGTTGCGTACGTAGAGCACACTTTGTGTGTAAGCGAAAAACTACCGTCTTTGTAAGGCCGAGCATGTGTCCGTTGTTGGCCTCACTCTTTTCTTTGACACATGAAAACTGCCAACTTGGACCCAACACGGCTCATGCCGATTCTTTTGCATTGCCGTACTAGGTAGCAAGATGTCCACGTAACGTGCAACATAAGTAAGCAAGCATAACAATGTCTGGGATGACCTTGCGCAGGGAGAAGCCACACACCGGAAACCGCCCCCTCCTTTGACGAGCACCTGGTGGCAGAGGAGACTATGTGTCAGATTCTGATGCCGTTTTACAACACTGGCTCATGGTGCCTACACAAATAACGGTTGTTAGGCGACTACCGAGGGTGCGAGGGAAAGTGCTTATTGTCCTCGCCATAACCACCAAGTTAGGTATAGTGTATTTCTAGTTGAAAGAATACATTAGTAAGCCCAAACACAAACACATGGAGTCAGGTTGTACTAGGTTAAGGGATACAGAAATATCTAAACAAGTGCTCCCCCTTTGCTACAAGAGTATTACCCTCTGCTACGTAGTTATCACCCTTCGCTGCCTGCGTAGATATGTTTTGCCTTGGCAAAACACGTTATGTACACCCGACTACGAAGACATATTACTACTAAGCCCTCATCTATACCTAAATAAAAAAGGCGAGGACGATTAATCATTAGTCTAATATGGCAAGGACAATGCGCAAATCCCGTTTGGAAGCATGCTTATGTAGATCTGTCAGATGGCCAAAAGACTCAACATGTAGCTCACCTATCTACAGCTAAGACAGTTCCCCTAGGAATCACTACGGCCAAACTTATCAATGAAAAAAAAAGTTATCATCCTACTAATCCGTCTCCCCAATTCATCAGACATTGAAGTTAACAGAACCTCTTATTGCCAATATGCCCGTCGACTTTTCAGGCTCAAGAGCCTGGGGGTACATACCCAACGGCACCAACAAAAACTATGCAAAATTCCAATTGCATGTCCTTGCCAAACTAGACAGTACCGTGGTACACAGGTACTACACTTCTTACTTTCAACCACAAGTAGGTCCTACACCATGGTCCCAGCGCAGCTTTTCACTACAACCGAACGTGCCCGACACGATAACGACGCACACTCTAGTAGACTGGATACGCAAGCAGAGGGGTCTGCAGTGACTCACTAGACAAAGTAGGTAGAAGCATGCGTTTGGAAAATTTTCATCTCTTTCTACAATCACATATCATACCGTATCCTTCCCTTGTTATCGACCCATCCCGCACCCGTAGCCTAGGATGGCACCTGGAAATCCCAGCAGTTTACATCATATCCATGTCTACAAAATACATGCCAGCAAGCTCTTCATAGCACTCCTACTCCCCTCCCTGTACTCCTCCCCATACCACCTACCCAAAAACCCCGACTCATTCACTAACAGGATCCTGGCAGACACATGGAGGCAATGCCGCTGCGGCACCAACGACGGCGGCGATTGCCAACTACCAGCCTGCTGGGCCTATTCAGACAACAAAGTCTTCTTCAACAAGCCCAAGCCCTGGAACCAGGAGGCTCATACGACTTGGAAAAACGGTGCCGAGAATGTACGTTTGGTTCTTGTCTTTGAATGTTTGTGGTCTTTGTAGTGGCATGTGGCTGGACTGTGGTAACATCCTGGTGCTGTAGAGATGCGTGGCGTACTTTTCCAAGGGGGGAAACCAGTTTAGGGGCTTTGGAGGTGTAGAGTATGAAGTTCAATGTCGGAAGTTTTGCACTTCCATGGCGATATCTGATTGAGATTGGGAGGAAAGGTTGTTGATGGGCTGATGTTGGTAGGAATGGTCTAGTAGTAGCCTAGGGGGGGTTTTGCATGAACCACCAACACTTTGTCACCATAGATTCGCACTTCCTTTTCAAACTATAAACTGAAGAGTTTGAATTTTGCAAGAGCATGCAACAATGTCATCAAGACTAGGTATATCCCTCAACCCTGCGCCTTTGTATCTACATGCATACCAGCCTGCCGCCCAACCACTACCATCGAGGTACACCGATTAATTCTACAGATGATGGTATCAGTCTAAACCAGAGGTTCAGAAAACTAAAGAAAACGAAAAGGAAAGGGACCGCGTTCTGCGTGGAAGAATCGGCGCTATGGTGCTACTTTTAAACGATGCCGTACACCCTCTTAGCAATAAAAAAGCACATGAGACCAAAGCCGATGAGGCCACCTGTAATGCACCAGAACCAGGTTAAAGTGGGAATGTCTTGGCCAGGAACGAGGCTGCGAGGGGAGTCAGCATGGGAAGGTGAGATGGTGCTCAAGGACAAGGACGTACCAATTCATACCCCAGACACCAGTAACGACATTCATGGGCAAAACAATCGTGCCCAGGACAGTGAGCTTGCCGAGAATGTCGGAAGTCTTTTCTTGGCGCTCATTCATCCTAATGTTAATCTGAGCGAGATAGTTGCTGTGCGCGCGCGAGAGGAGACTACGAAGGTCATGTCAGCATGTGGGTTGCAACGACGAACGACAAGGGGTCGCCCTACTTCTCGTAATGACTCAAATTACCCGTCATGGTCACAATATGATCCTGAATGTCTCCGAGGTACATGCCAATCTCGTTTCGTGGTGCAATGTCCCACTGCTCATTGCATCGCTTGGCAAAGCCTTTGATGACATCTGCCTTGTTGCCTAGCAGGCGGTACAGGCTCATGACCTTTTTTCGGCACTCGCCCACTCTTCGCAACATGTCTCGTCCACTATCTTGTTGTGATTTGGCTTCTGGCTTCTCGTAGTGGGGGTTGTTGTAATTGTACGCAACCTTCTCCTTCTCTGCATCACTCTCGTCATCACTTGAGTGGAGACGCAATATCGCTTCGTCAATATCGTCCACCTCCTCCTCGATTCTCTGAATCATGGGCGCGTACGCGTCGGTGATATCGTCGATGATTGCGTATGAGATCCAATCTGGTGACAGCACAAGGTAATCCGAAAGCTGACGAATTCGTCTTCGAACATTGGCCGGGTGCGGCGTCATGGAGAAATGGAAGCTAATGACTCCTTCCCGGAAGACAACAACGTACAGGTTGACAGGATCAAGGTAATCTTCGCTGTTCTCGTCTTGCTCAAAGGTCCGGTAATTGATGAAGTAATAATGCTTGAAGAGTTCCACCTTTTCGCGCTGCTCCTGCATGAGAATGTCTTCAGAGGTGAGGGGATGGATGCCAAATGTTTTCGAAATGACCTTCATCTCCGTCTCGGTTGGCGACATGACATCGAGCCACCAGGCCGGGCGCGGTCCATAATGTTTTTGCTTTTCCTCTTTGGCTTTTGGCGCCTCCATTGGACGTGGTGTCACCGAGCGAGTCTGTTCCCCAGATGAGCCCTTGCCTTCAGCCTTGGAGGGTGAGCGAGTAGTGGCTCGGGAGCTATATCCATTTCTAACCATATTTTGCATGTTTTCCTCTTCGTCAGTCTCCTCGTCGCTGGTATCTTCGACCAGAGGAGGATCTGGGATGAATAGATTCCTAAACGTCTGTCCCGGCTGTAGAAGCTCACTGATGCTCTGACTGTGGATGGTGTTTTCAAAAGTCTCGTTGAAGTAGGTGAAGCGGTATGGAGCGTCGCTTGCCTCGCGATGCCAGACACGCTGTCTTGGCCGCAGACGTCCTTCCACCATCAATGGCTCGCTGACCTTTCGCATGCGCATGCCCTCCATTGTCCTCTGCTCCTTTTCCTCGCGCGCCCACGATTCAAGGATTTCGAGATCTGGCCAACGGCGGCGTCTTCGTCGGCTTGTGGGCTCTCCCGTGGTGGGAGCGTTGAGGTAGTCTTCATGGCCCAGCTCAGACATGGTCTCATGTGGGAAACAGACGTCCTCGAGAGCAGAGGTGGTCATACGGCGCCTGAGGTCGGCGCCAGGTGTCGGAGGCGAACCATGGATGCTTTCCCCATCCATATCGATCAAGGCATCGCGAGATCTTTCTGGCTCAGACATGTTGTCCAAGTCTGTGGGAAGCATGACATCGTCGAAGCCAGACTCGGCCTCAAAGGCTGGGCTGGTTGGTACCGATGGAGGATTGTTGACATCGTAGTCGGCAAGATTGGTCTGCGAGCGATGGTGTTGGGCGAATATGGCAGCCCCCAGAGCGGCGCCTGATTGCGCGCTCGTTCCACCATAGCTGGAGCTGGTTCTGGTATCTCGCTGTGACGTGCCTATCAAAGGGGTACGGTCGTCGACGTCGTCTTCCTCATTCGCCTCACCATCACTGAAGTTGGCCTCTGGCGTGTGCGACAGTCGTGAGCGACCAAAGGCACTTTGGCCCTTGGGAGCAGAAAGCCGTTGAGGTGAGCTGATGTTGGCTTGGCTTGGGCGGGGCTGGTATATGGAGGTGACGGGCACGCTTGGACGTCGCGTTCGGATGGTGGGATGCTCCCGGTGATCTAACAGCGCCTCACTCTCGAGGCTGGTGGTGCTGAGGTTGTTCTGCGAGCGATAGAAGCTGGTGCTTCCACGCGAGTTGCCGTGGCCAGCGACGTCTGCCAGGCTGGGGCGCTCGTGGCTCATGTCGCCGGTGTTCAAGTCCCCAGAAGCGGCAAAGGACTGGCGACGATTGCGCCGCTTCTTGCCAGCGCGATGCTTCTTCTTCTTTGCGGGCATCGAGGACAAGCCTGCGGCTTCAGTGTGGGAGGGGCCGCCGGAAGCTGCGCCTGAAGCTGCGCCTGCGGGAGTGCCATTACTCGCCACAGGGCCAACAGGGCGCGCTGGACTCGGGGATGGCATTGACGATTGCCAACTATGCTAATCGTGGGGATTGCGAGGGGGGGGGGGGGCGGGGGGACACCCCATGATGGAACGAGAGAACCTGGATGAGTTGATCCTGGGAACGAGAAGCAGCGGTGAGTTGCGAGAAGCCGAGGGAGTTTTGCTGGCTAAGAAGCGCACACGTTGGAAGGCCAGGGGAAGGTGTCGACAACGTGGACGAGACAGGGCGAGACAGGGCGAGACAGGGCGAGACAGGGCGAGACAGGACGACAGACTTCAAATGTCGCGCTACCAATCCATGTACCGTCATTGCTCTTCTCCTTCTGCTTCTCCAGCCCGGGCGGCTTTGCGAGTGACGAAAGAGATGGGGTCCAAGCGCCCGATAGACAATCGCCGCCTTACTAGAACCTAGGTTAGGACAAGATAACATTGGCATGCTACATACGGCACACTATGTGGTTCACAGTAACTCTAGTAGCGTAGTTGGCAGTCCTAGGTAGAGTATACGGCGTGTACGTCCCATAGTGATACTACTCTAGCTAGGCACACTCTGCTCTCTCTCCTTGTTGTAGCTTGGGATTCCCCACCGAACTGAACGTGCTCTTCAAGTAGTTGCTGTCCAGAATCAGTAGCATCCTTCACATCATATACAGGTATGCGCGACCAGTACCATGTATGTCTATCCTCCCATATGTAACTGCAACCCTCTAATCTGGCTCGATGTTACAAGGAACCAGGGAACAGCTGTTCGAACAGATTGCATGTGAAGATCAGGATTGTGGGCGCGTGCCTCGTTTCCTATTCGGGCCACGACGGCAATCACGGGAACGGGCCTGGGGCCTTGGCAATTGGATCCGACGCACAACACTCCACTTTTCTATCTTTCTTCTCATGTGCCTACCAACCCACTACTACTACCTACCAACCCACTACTACTACCTACCAACCCACTACTACTACCTACCAACCCACTACTACTACCTACCAACCCACTACTACTACCTACCAACCCACTACTACTACCTACCAACCCACTACTACCTACCTACCTACCTACCTACAGTACATACAGTACCTACAAACTGTGGCACCTGGGTATCCGCAATCGCCTCGCCTCCTCGACTAGGCCAAAGATGCATGCGGGTGCCGCGTCGGATAAGAAGCTTGGAAATGGTCATAGCAGGCAGTGTCCACACATGCTTCGTCTTGCGGGGCTGCTTGGCACTTCACCACCCATATTGATACATCTGGTCACCTAGCTAGCCGTCCCCAGATACCAGTATCCATCCCATCCTCGCGGACTACCTAGCATGGCATATAGACTGACATATCCATCGTCTGAAGACTCCCGTCCCTAAATCCATCTACAGCACATATCGGAACAGTGGGCCGTAGTTCTCGACACCGACTGCAACAGCTTTGCCCTCGCCCCGTGCCTCGGCCTCCTCCATCGCTAGTCGTTGTTCGGCTACCGTGCCATACTTCTCATCCAGCTTCTTGTTTTCCCATACCAACAGCGTTCGGAGTATCAGTGACAACGCGCAGAACAAAAACATGAAGCCCGCGCACACCGACTGGCCCTTGACGTAGAAAGGCCCTTCATGCTTCGGGTACAGTCGCGTGCCTAGCAGTGGTCCACACTGTCCAATGAGGTTCAACAAGACGATGCCGGTACCTCTGCGCGTGTCTGAACCTTGGTTGTTGGTGACCCAAGGTAGGACATTACCAATAGCCGGGAAAATGCCAGCTGCGGCAAGGAATATCGCAAAGTAACGCCCGGCCACATTTTTCGTCGTGGCCAGGATCACGTAGCCAGCACCGCCAATGGCTGACAATATAGCAATCACTATACCCCGCTGTTGGGTTCGATCCGCAATGTAGCATGTCGCAATGACTGTGAGGAACGACAGGAAGAACGGTGGAGCGGTTAGACCCTGGGCGTTGACGCGCGTGAAGCCCATCTCCTTCAGGATCGTCGGCAAAAACACTGGGAGTGAAGAGAACGCGACGTTGCCGGAGAAGTACATGATTCCAAGGATCCAGCCTTTCAGATCCATCAAACCTTCCCCTATTTCCTTCAAGTTGACAGATCCTAATCTTGACTCTGTTCCTCCAACCTGCTTTACAATCCGAGCTCTGACAACGACCTTCTCTTCTTCTGTCAAAAATCGCGCCTTGTCCGGACTGTCAGGCAGAAAGAAGAATGTAACCGCCGCCATGGCTACGGTAGGCAGGCCCTCCACCAGAAATAGGACCCTCCACTTAGCCATGCCTGTATCACCCTTGGTAATACCGTATGCCAAAGCACCAGCAAACGTGTTGGCCAAAGGGGCGGCCGAGAGGTAGAGGCCTGCGCGTAAACCTAGCTCGTGCCTCAGGTAGAAGAAGGAGAGCAAGAACGGTATTCCGGGGGCATAGGCGATTTCGGTCACACCCATCAGGAAACGTAGCACCATCATGGCACCCCACGAATGCGCGGCGGCCTGGCAACTAGAAACAGTTCCCCAACCCAAGACACAGAAAGCTGCCCTGGAGGTAGGAGTGCAAAGTCAGTTCATGTTCCACTATCATTTCGTTCATGCACAGTAACGTACCAGATATGCGGAGGCACAACCTTCCACATGATCGCTAATTGGTGTTAGTCACTCCGGACTGGCCCATCTCGTCATTTTTGGACAAGGCACTCACCCAGGAAACCGAAGACGATGTAAGAGATGTAGAATATGGTAAGCAACCAAGTATATTGCGAACTGCTCAACTCGAGATCTTCTTCCATACCAGCGATGCGCGCATTTCTAAATCCAGCCGTTTAGCACTCGTACTTGAGACTGGAAGCACATATACGAACCCTATGTTTGATCGGTCGAGAAATGCAAGCAGATATAACACCCCCACCAATGGGACCAGATGCACGTCCAATTTGCGTCGTACACGCCTCTCCACCTCTGGATCAATCTCCTCCAGCACAGGATCAACAGAGATTGCCTCGGCATCACCATGCTTGCTGTTTTCCATCATCTCAAACTTCCCTTCGTCATGAGCCTGCATCTTGTATAACGAAAAACGACAACCAGCCCTTTGCGCATGTAGAAATCCAGGTCGAGGCGAGATATAGACTGGTCGGAATACGAAGCGGCAAGGGGAAACAGGCTAATTAAGCATTTGCGCAAGACTCATCATGTAAAGCTTGAAAAGCGCCACGGTCCGATTGTCGCGGCGTCGTGGTTGCAGTGTTGCCGTGATGGGCATGTTGAGCTGCTATGTTGGGGTAGAGCCGGGAACTAGAATGACGTGGGATTGGTGCGATCGGCAATTAAGAAGCTCCATATATATCACGCCTAGCGGAGGAGTCGGAGAGTGAGAGTTTACACCACTCCTAGTGTCGAGTGCATGGTAGGTAAGCAGCGTCGGCGTTACTGTCCGTGAGCGAGTATCTTACCTAACAAAATCCTGGGTGATGGAAGTAGGTTAGAAGTATGCCAAAGGAAATGAGTCAAGTTGGTATTTGATACATCAACACGACGACTGTCTTTGATAGTTGATGAGTCTGGCATACGTGCGTACTGCGAGAGAAGACGCCGAAACGTAATGTCACTAGTAGGCGGTATAACAGCGCTGACATACTATAGCGACTGCTTACTATTACGACCGAGATGGACTATGGTGTACCAGAAGACTGTTCCGGTATGCTCCACGTCTACACGCCTACATTCAATGAAATCCCAACAAGCACCTCCATGCAATAGTCCCCTGCCACTACATTTGGCTACCAAATCCGGATACCTACATCTGATATCTCACTTCCTTTCCTGCCCTTCTCTTCCACTCTCCGACCCAGGAAAATTTCCGATGATGCTCCCCTCTCTCAAATAGCAATATGCTGCATCTTCTGCCCAGGCCCAACCTGCGGACCCAATCTCGGCAACGGCTTCGACGTCTTTTTTGCGGTAACTGGCGTCTTACTTGCCTGGCCTGGGAGTGTATTCGTGCCCGGATAAGGCTTGGGCGTGGACTTCGGGGTCGAATCGGTACCTTTGTTGTGCTGCTCTATCGGTAGTACAAAAGGTTTCGGTGCTCCGGGCCTGACTGCTGTCTTGAGTCCGCCCGTGCTTGGTAAGGAGGGCCTACTGGGTTTCGGTAGTGGGGTGACAGATGGATAGGAGGGCTTGGAAGGAAGGGCAGAAGTCGATCCTGGACTTTTCTGGCGTGCTGATGATGTTGATGTTGTTACTCCATTGAGGCCTTTTCGTCCACTTCCCACAACGGTATTTGCGCCATTTGTCACACTGCTTGATGTCGTGCTTTTAGCGCGGCCTACACTTCCTGCAACGCCTGTCTTCTTGCTCGCGCTGCCGTGGACTTGATTGGTACCAGGGTATTTCTTGCCACCTATCTGTTGTGTCGAACTCACACTCTTTGTTCCGCCGTTCACGAGCCTGCTCGATGCAGGAAGCGAGTTTGAGCGCTTGACGACTGGCTTGCGTGCGGTAGAGGGGAGGGCTTTGGGCGAAGGTTTGTACGTTTGTCCCGAGAGAGAGGACCCGTAGTTTGTTGCTTTTCTTTCGATGGCTAAAAAGGATCGGCTGGTGTAAGTATTGGGGAAGAAGACAAGGGGTATAGGATGAAGAAAAGAAAGAGGGACGTACAGTTTCCAACACCGCGTCCAGAGTTTTCAATCATGTCACCCGCTTTAATCAAAGCGTTTCCTGCATACTCGCCTGCCGACCGCGTTCCAGCTTCCACGAAGCCTTCGACCGAGTTCCAGAGAATATTTTGGATATAGCCTGCCATGATGTTTCCCGTCTGTATACAACAATGATATCGAGAAATACCGACGAATCAATGGCAAAAACGGCGGCTGAGGATGGTATTGCTACTATTGCTGGCAGTAGGCATTCGCAAGACTCCCAAGATTTGCGAGACAGTCTCGGATCATGATGCGAGATGATGGTCATTTCTCGCGCCACGCGAGCTTCTACATCCTGTTTCGTGGAAGTGGGATCTCTCCACATCAGGGTCGCGTCCCCTTGCCCCGCCACCGCCCATGACGTATTTTGTGGCACGGGAGGATTGGCAAGGGTATGCTGGTGGGTGATCATTTGCTGGTGGGACTCGGTTCGCCGTGGATGGTAGATGGAGTGTTTGGTGCCTGGTGAGATGGATGTGGGTGTCGCTCTGATTGCCTGTGGAAGGTGATACAGACGTTGCTTCTTTTACTTGATTTCACGCTGTTTCACGATTCTTGGTCTACACCTGTACAGCCTACGATTATCACACGAGATTTTGGCCACCTGGCCGGAGATGTCGAGATAGTTTGTCCCAGATGGTAAAGAAAGAGAAACAACCCACTGAACTGCCCTGAACTCCCCACTAAACAAACTCATTCGATTCATTATTACCATTTGAACTCCACAGCACCACTAACCACCTATGAACTCTGCCTAGCCTTCTCCGCACAAATCAACGCAATAATGCGACTTAACTCTGCACTCTGGGCAAACTGTTCCTGTTTCGTCTTCTCGTCCACATCCTCGCATGCAGCAATGTCATTGCTGACCTTGAGCATGCGGTTCTGCAGCGTCAGCAGCTTCGACAGCGTGTTATCCAAAAACGGCGCGCTGAATGTGATGTTTGTGGGTGAGGCGCCAGAGTTGGGGATGCGCATTTCGAGTTTGCGAGGGGCCTTCTTTGCGCCGGATGGGGAGGCGGTTTGGGATTCTTGTTGTTGAGGTTGGGGCTGGGGTCTGCCGTGCTTGAGTTAGTTTTGTTTTTGAAATTGGTATGGAGATGGGATAATGATTATATAGTGATTGTGCCGCATCGAAGCGATTATTCATAGCACAGCCGTTGTGTTTTAGGTAGCGGCCGCTAGGGAAGGCTAGTTGAGGAGATAAAAGGGAGACGACGTACTGTTGTCGCTCGACGAACGTCATGTTCTCCGCCATCTCGGCAACTCGATTCGCAATGCGCGATGCCATGATAGTGTATGGCGACATTTGCGGCTGTGATTCTTTCACTGCGCCATTCGTTTGGGGCTTATTTGCTGCATTCGCGGCGGGTCTCTTGGTTCGCGATGCGGATGTCTTGTTGGCTGTGCGTTTGACAGGCGCTGAGGCTACTGAGGCGGCTGGCATCTTGGATCAATGTGGAAGGAGGATTTCAATTGAGGACTATATGATATTGTTAGTCTATGTAGATTCTAGATTGCTCGCGTGCAGAGCCCCAAGATGGGATCCCAAGTAGATGACAGGGGTAATGTGGGTGAATACTAACTTTGGTCGTGAATTCGAAGGTTTAGCAGCGACGTTTGATCGTTGATGTCTGAGGAATCGCTTGAACCACGGGTATGAATAGTTCTAAGGGATATTGCAATGACCTAACTACGGGTAAAGGGGCCCTCGATATCTTGACTTGAAGTGGTACAGAAAGTGGGAAGCAAGCGCCACACGCGACGTCATCCAACGGCACGACAGCAGGGGTCAACGATCTGGGAGTGGAGCTCCATCTTGATCTCGACCGTTACCCTGAGCTGACGTCGGATGGTAGAGTGATGTTCAAAGGAGACAGCATGTCTGATTAAACACTGTGTTTCGACAATCGTCAAGATGCCGCAAGCCATCAAGTCCCCAGCACCAAAAGTACCAGTTGCAAAGTCACCAGCAACCAAACCGCCTGCAGCAAAATCTGGACCTATCAAAAAGAAGAAGAAAGATGATCTTGGCGCTGGACTACGAGTCTCAAAGGATAATCTCGAAGAGCATCCAGCGGGACCACCGCGATATGGCGAACTAACACAAGCGGAAAGAGCATTCACATTGGCATCAACCTTCCTATCGGGAGTCTTAGCGTACTAATTCCCAAATTTCTCAGACAGCTCGAAAGAGTCAAGCTAATCATGAACAATAGTATAAGCGCTTCGCAATTCCTGGGCGCTCCACTCAAGTTGATCGACCCTCAATTCTACGATGGTTACATGGCTTATACTAAAGAATGCTTCGCCATCCTAGTGACTTGCCTGACCCAATGGTGGGCACCAACAGTCGTCCGTGTAAGCGGCGACTCTAGTATGGTTGGTCAACTCATCAAGAAGGCAGACGGCAGTCTTGAGTGCAAGTTTGCAGACCGCATGATATTGATGGCAAATCACCAACTCTACACTGACTGGTTATATCTCTGGTGGATTGCATATACCAACAAGATGCACGGCTTTATCTACATTATCCTCAAAGAGTCGCTCAAGAATGTGCCCATTATTGGCTGGGGTGCGCAGTTCTACAACTTCATCTTCTTGTCCAGGAAGTGGGAGGAAGATCAGCGGACGTTTAAGAGGCATTTAGAGAAGTTGAATAAGCCGAACGATCCCATGTGGTTGATTATTTTCCCTGAAGGAACAAATCTATCGGCAAGCACGAGAGCGAATAGTAAGAAATGGGCGGATAAGAATGGCCTGCAAGACATGAAGCATCAACTTCTGCCAAGAAGTACGGGGTTGAAGTTCTGTCTGAATGAGTTGAAGGATACGACAGATTGGCTCTATGATTGTACAATTGCCTATGAAGGTGTTCCAGATGGACAGTTCGGTCAAGACATCTTCACACTTCGCTCGTCATTCTTCGAAGGCCGCCCGCCAAAGTCGGTCAATATGCACTGGCGTCGCTTCCACCTGGATGAAATACCGTACGAAAATACAAAGGCATTCGAAGTCTGGCTGCGAAATCGGTGGCGTGAAAAGGACTACATGCTCGAATACTTCCACCGCAACAACCGCTTCCCAGCCGAGGATTTCTGGAAAAACCATCTCGACATGAGCAGCCAAAGCTCGCACAACGGCGGCAAAAGTATACGAAGCGTACCCAAGCCTGCCGTGCAAATCGAAACTGAAGTCAAATCTGGAAACTGGAACGAATTCGTCAAGATCTTTGCACCCATCACGAGCGTCATGATGGCCCTCACAGTCGCCTATGGGGCCTCACCGGCAGACCTCCCAATACCCGGTGGGAAAGAGTTCTTCGAGCAACACATGAAGGCACTCCTCGGCCAAGAGGGTGACGTAAAATCCCTACCCAGTCCCGAACAATTGGAGAAGATGATTGAAGGGGCAGCAAAAATGGGCGCAGCACAAGCCGCAGGCCCACAGGAACTATCCGGCGTGCAGAAATTAACACAGGAGAACCTCGCTTTACTCGTCAAGGAAACTGCTATCAAGCATGGGGCTGTCATGCCTGGTGGTCTGCGAAGAGCCAGCACAGCACTCCCACGCGCACCCACAAAGACAGTTGCCACACCCACTACAACCGCACCACGAAAAGCGAAGAGCGCAGTGGATACACCAATAACAGGCACTACAAAACACAATCCCAGCGGCACCGCCGCCCACGCACGCGCAGTTCACAAACCCACCACATCCACACCCATATCAAAACCCAAGCCCCCGGCCCCACCACCACCAACAGGACCCATGAAAGAAGTAATGACAGCCTCAGGCATCATGATCAAAGTGCCCTCTTCCTCTGCCCAATTAGCGAAAAACCCCGGTACTCTAACCTTGGCAAACGGCGTACACATCAAGATCGACAAGCAGGAGATGGAAGAGGCACAGAAGACGAAAAAGAAAGAGGATAAGGAGAAGAAGGATCAAGGCAGCACGTACATGACATCGAGTGGCGTACCGATCAAAATCACGTCGGGAGGAGGCGCGAGTGTACCGGAGAAGCGGGTTGCGCCGGCGAAACCGGGTACCAAGGACATGACAGTGCCTGTGAGGAAGGGGGCGACGGGGACGCCGAAGAAGAGTGCAACAGGTATGGCGGGACAGAAGGCTGGTGGTGGAGTGGGGAAGAAGATTGGGAATGTTCCGAGGAAGATTTGAGGTAGAGATGGGAAGGAAAGGAAGGGAAGGGAGGGAAGGGAGGCTGATTCCTCTGTACTGTCGGGGTTACTAGGTAGGAGCCAATGGAGTACGAATGCGTAGACACAAGGCGCAGGAGTCGGACTGGACCTTTTCATCTGATGTATTATTACACGAGAACTATGCCATGTATGATCCCGCATACTCATGATGAAAAAATGCCATTGAAGACCAGCAGAATCCTTTAAAGCGTGAGGTGAGAGTTTCCACGGCTCAACATGTCTAGCCTCTACCCCAAGTAAAACAAGTTCCAAGCCGGTCCTTGGAGGATTATACCAAGTCGTCTCCCGCACATCCGTGGCCGTCGACTCAAAACGCTCAAGCACGCATCCATCATTAACTTTGGCATTGCTACGCAGATTAGTCACCACTACATCACTTACAGTCTAAGTCCAGGCGCAAAGGCAAAAGCAGCAAAAAGACATCTGACCGCAATGCACTAAAAACAAGACAGGAAAAATGAATGTGCAAAAATAACAATACAACGGGTGTGAATATACTGCAATTGTACGTTACTTCTTCGCCTTTGCCGCTTGTTGAGCCTGCAACCGCATCTTCGCTCTCGCACTCTTCGAACCACCCCATTTAGGGCCTTTGGACGTCTTCTCGACGCCTCGCGTGCTGCTGCTCGCGGCAGGGGGTTTGCGTTTGTGTTGCTGTTCCTCCAGGGCTTCGAGGTATTCGGCGCGGAAGCGTTCAGCCACGGCTTCGTCGTTGTTGCCGGTATTGGAGGTAAAAGGGTTGGAGGGTGCTGTGTCGTCGAAGAAGTCGACTAGACCGGTTAGTTGATAATTGTGTGCAAGGGGGGAGCTCTGCGGGGCGGCGAGGTAAACGTACGTTTTGCTTCTTTGAGAACGGCTTCTACCATTTGTTCCCGGCGCTCGGCATCGCTGTTTCTGCGCTTGTTCTTGCGCCCTTGGTAGCCGTATCTTCCTTTGCGTGGCTGATTCGCTGATTCCTCTTGCGGTAGACCGTTATCCAGGCGCTTCCAGGCTTCTTTGATTCGCACGGCAGCGTCTGGCCCAAGATCCACCTCTTCTAGTTTACCCTGACCAGCTGCTCGACGATTGATGTGCTCCGCATCCACGTGTGCATCGGAACCGCTCGTAGCCCGCACTGATAAGGGTTCAGTGAATGTGTGCTTCAGATCTGGCGCGATGGCTGCTACAGCATCTTGAAGGTGTTTTGGTATAGGCCAACCATATTGGCGGTGATTCTGTTCAGCCAGGCGAGCTTCTACATATTCCGACCTGGTTGATTAGCGGCTGTGCTTTGCTTATACTCATAACGGCAGGCTTCCAGCAGCCCATATTGGCAAGGGTTTTGTCCCACTCACATCTGAGTATCATCGCGATCCACGACCTGGCCAGTCTGTGCAACGAATCGGCTTGTGTATTGACCTGGCCGCGGCGCGTCGACCTGAACAGACTCGATCGTTGGAGGGGTCTCGACTCTGCGCGCAACTTCTCGCATTCTGTCGCGTGGTCGCTTGCGATTGCGGATGATGTCTTTTAGGTTAGGAACTGACTCTTCATCGTCCACCACGGTGGGAAGTGCAGGTGTATCGCTCGTGGTCACGACATCTGGAGAATGCAGTTCCGCAGATGTGGGGACTTCGCTGTCGCCATATGCTCTTTTAGGGTGTGTGATTTTGCGTCGTTTGAAGTGAACCGCGGGCACCGAGCTGTCGTCCATTCTTGGTAGTGTTGTGTGGAGTGGAGGCGGAGGTGAGGGTAAGGGTGGAGGTTCGGTATCTGCGGGCGCAGAGGCCGAGGCTAGGTAGCGCGTGTGTGCAGTCATGTCACCCCGAGGACGTCATCGAATTGCGATCCATGAAATATCTTGGGCACTTTATAGTCTATAGTACACACTACTACGATCTGCTTCGCTTGGTAAATGGTGATTGTCTGATGTCCATCCTATTCTGCGCCATTTTGATGTGAATGTACCGGTACTGTAGAAATTAATGTAGGCACTAAAAGCGCACACACCGCGTCACCGTTGCTCTCCACATTTCAGTACTTTTCTTGATGGTGGCGTGATACTCAGCTCATGAAGATAAATAATTTAAAATAAAGTCAGGTCTCATTGAAAGTACCACGTGAATACATGCATCAACGAGCATCCAGCTTAAAACTCGATGTTAAACTACCCACATTGTTTGCAATTTCAGAAAATCATCATGATACTCGGCCCCTGCTGCTATACACTGCAAACATCCCCAAGCAGCAAAGCACAGTAACGTACAACACTGAAACGCCCTAATCCAGTTCATGTACATTGAAAAGCAAAGTCCTGATTCAAAGCAAGTTCAATAAATAGGTTGGTTCTTTCTTATTTCAGCACATCCATGCCTTTTCTTGCTGGTATCATTCTCGCTTCCCCTTTCATCAGCTTTCCTCCTCCTTTTCTTCTCTTCACCATCATCTCTACACCCTATGCCGCGGTAGAAGACACAGTCTCAACCTCCACCTTTGGCAAAGGTGCCGACTTGCCACCGAGATCTGTTGCGCGCGCATTAGGATTCTTGGTGTAATAATTTGAGATGGCGGACTTGATAGCATCTTCTGCAAGCATGGAGCAGTGCACTGCAAACAGTCAGTAACAAATTCTTCAGCGCGATCCATTGCAGCAAGATCACTCACGCTTGACAGGTGGCAGACAAAGTTCCTTTGCAATTTCGGTGTTCTTGATCCGGGCCGCGTCCTCCAAAGTCATACCGCGCACCAACTCAGTCAAGTAACTCGAACTCGCGATTGCGCTACCGCACCCGAACGTCTTGAACTTGACATCGCTGATAGTATTGTTGTTAGGGTCGACGCGGATCTGGAGTTTCATGACATCGCCACATGCCGGTGCACCGACAAGTCCTGTGCCTACGTCGGAATCTGTCTTGGACATCGAACCAACATTTCGGGGCTTGTTGTAATGGTCGAGCAGTGCTGGGAGCGTTAGCTGTGCGTTCTCTCAAAGAGGGATTGCGCAAGCGATGGTGATCGCCACAGTGCAGTGCGAGCGAAGCGTCCCAGACCCCTCACCCACTCTTCGCCACCATGTCGACCACGGTCACAATCCACAGAAGGCCTACTTATCTTTCTCGTGATATTGGCGCCGTCCGACTGCTGATACGGAAGGTGCTGCTGTGCGAAACGGCGAAGCGACAGTTGGTCTGGCGGCCGTGCAAAGCACCCGGCCTACCTGTGTGGGCAATGCTGCTGCGACTCTCTTGAACATGGCGAAAGTATACTTGTGTGGTTGTAAGTCGACTAAGGTTCGAATTTACGGGATTTGGTTGGGTCTGTGAGTTTGTCTAGGTTGGTGTTGATGAGGCGGAGGTGGTGATGGCGGCGAGCAGATAAAGTGTAATTGAAAGCGATGCTCGGCGACATCATAATCGCCTCCGGTCCGTGCGCAACCCCACATTCATACGGAGAAAGCTTCAGTTCGCCGCCTCCAAACCCACATCTCCGAGCTGCCAGGTCTCATCACAGGGGGCGTTCACTTCTATACGTTTACTTGCTTGCTACTTGAATACCATGAGTGTGATTCGTGACTGTCTTGTTGTGATTTCTATACCCCTCTTCGCCGTCCTATAATGCTGTTCATAATCGTGCCAGTGATGACCCGAGGCAACTCCGCTCCCGCTATGCATGATGCAACTTCTAGAACACTCACCTTACAAACGCCTGAAGAAATACACATACGCGAACTTCTTCATTTCCTCAACGTCAACAGCCTTGGCAACCTTTTCGTCATTGAAGAGAACCCAAGATGCCATCTGCTCATTTGGTAGCTGTTTACGCACAAAAGCAACGTAATGACTGTACATGGTTAGATGACATGCAGTTGCGCTTTCAATGTGAACTCGGGACTTACCCTGCGTGGATCGAGCTTCCCTTGTGACAAACAATTGACTGCAGCTGGAAATGCGCTGGCATTTTGTCACTACCAGGCATGGCCTTTTCTGTAGCCTCAACCGGCGCCTGCAATGAGTCAGTTCTCTGTGAACCCCTCTATCACATGTGGCCTCAAACAGCATACCTCAGAGCCGCCGCCCTCTTCAAAGTCACCCGGAGCATCGGGGTGACTGAACAACCAATCTACGGCTCTCTCCATGTCACCGCCTGTCTCTTTGAGTGCCTGGCGTGCTTGAGGCGCATTGAAGCCCATTGCACCCAAGCTTTCAATCTTATCCGGATCCATCACGGACGGTGCACTACCTCCAGATCCAGGATTGAAGTCAACAGGGTCATCTATATCAGCATCTTCCATGTGTGCAAATAGCCAGTTCGACGCTGCCTCTGCATCTTCGTTGCCCGTTGCGTGGAGAGCTTTCTCGCATCGTACTCTTGGGAATCCCATAGCCTCAAGCATGGACAGGGCAGCTTCATTCGGCACCCACTTGCTTGATGATGATCCTGCCCCTGTATCTGAGTCCTCTGGTAGGAGCTCTTCGCCGTCCACAAGACCGTTGGATTTGTATGCATCGAATGAGAAAGGCTCGTCGCCCACGATGACCGGAACGTCCTGCTTGGTAGGCACCCAATTTACCAGCTCAAACCGACGGGCGTTGACAGCAAGTACTGCGGGGAATGTCTTGAACATGCTCCTCTTCATGAAGCCTTCTTTACTTCCACAAGCGCCGCAGGTCAATTCCACCAGCTCCTCTCCGGTAAAGATGTCGAGACACTCTTTTAACGTGACTGGCTCGAATTCCTCTTTATCTTGCGTAGCCTCCTTGCCACTACTATCAGTCACGTCCATGCGCGCCTCATTTGGTATCCTTCGAATGGGTACAGGAATGGAAATGTTTTCTTGCTCGTCTGTCCTGTATCGTACTCGCTTGCAACCGAGACACTGCAGCCGCTGTTCCATTACAAATCGAAATGCGTCCACAGGATCCTTGTGAGGCGCAACATGTTGAGACCGCGAGATCAACTTCAGCAAGTGCAATAGGAGCTCGAAGGCATCCTGTTGGCGCATGGTGGAGAACTCTGAATGCCCGCGTCCTATTAGATGTTTCAACATTGCAGGTGCAAGACCACGCTGATGGGGCACTTCAGGGCTATGCTCGGAGACGGAGACATCGCTATCTGGTTTTGAATATCGGCCAGATATCAGTCCGTCGGCCAGCTTGCGTAGTTGGGTTTCCAGGTCTTCGGCAGGTAGTGGTGCATTTGGTGGCTCTTGATCCGGCAGATAGTAACGGTCCTTGAACTCCGGCATTGCGAAGAGCGCTTGCAACGTGCTATTGAGGTAACAGCTGTTGCCTAGGTTCTTCAGGCCGGTCAAGCCGGGCCCAAAGAGCGGTTGAAGTTCCTTACCGTCCTCAGTGACCATGGCAAAGTCCCATCGCAAGTTCTGTTCCACCTGCATCTCAGTAAGACTCTTCTCGGTCTTGACACGATCCTTGATGTTGATTCCCCAATGGGAGAGGTGGTTCGGCAGCTCTGGATCAATGCGCTCTTCGTCGCAGGCGTAGCAATATATATCTGCCGTACCATCTGCTGTGAGAGATCCGAGCTTGACTGCCACGGGATGGCCACTCGACTTGGTGTGACCGACCCCATGTGAGTTGCCACCGACGCCTCCGAACTGTTGACGACCACAGCCCAGGTTCCCACAAGTCAAGCATAACCATAGATTCTCATTGAGCTCACACTGCGAACAGTGGCCCAGCCTCTGTGACTCGATCGGCTTTGCAGCGTCTTGTTCCAGACAGAGAGTGTGTTCACACGCTGTCAGCTCCTGCTCCCAGGCCTTGACCTCCTGCTGCGTCGCAAAGGTGTTCGCCTTGAGGACAGCGTCAACAATGCCCGCCAGTTTCCCAGCGTTCCTGTCAACATCGTCAATACCGCACTCGTAACACTTGATCTGTGTTGTAGTGTCATAGCGATCGGATTCGGTCTCGGCTGCAATGGCTAGCTTCGTGACTTTCTGTGGAGGTTCGTCGCGGCTGATCTTCTTGCGCGTGCGCTTAATGTTGAGAACAAGTGGGTGGCTCGTCGCGGAGACATGGAGGACTGAGTGGTTGCGGTCGCCCGTGCAGCCTCCGTTGAAGCAGTATAGGCAAACATCGAGGCCGGAAGGCTCGTCCTTCGCTTTCTGTCAGTATTGTGGCCAGAGGGAAAGCCAAGCCGGCTCAGGAGGGATACATACAATCGAGTCGAAGCACTGGGTACAGTCCTCTCGGTACACTGACTGCGTCGGTCCCGGAGGGCGTAGCTCTGAGCTATGTTCAGTACAACAGTGCTGCTGGAAATGGGCTTTGTGGGGGTTGTTACCAGTTGCATTTACGTGCTTGCAAGCCATGATCAGATTGCAGATGGCGCCAGTTGAGGCTGGAATCACAGTGCTGAAGACTGGTAGATTTTCACACGTCTGGTGAGGCGTAAGGAAGTACCAGCATAGGCAGGTTGACTAGTCGACAGTTGTGGCGGCTGCAGTTTGCTACAAGCTGTCGGTTCCTGAGCGGCGGGATGACGGAGCTGCCTAAGGCTGATCCGATTTGGCGGGGCAGCTTTGTGCAGGGAGGCAACAACAACCTTGGACGTGGTGGGGGAGTCTCGCCCTCGCACCAGTCTTGAGACTTGGGCTTATTTGGTCGTCCCTCTATGGCACGCTAGATATGCACCTTCAAACCAACAATATTCTCGACATTAGGCCATATGAAATTCTCTGTTACTCTATTTTCCCTGTTCTCTTGCGCTCACAGACCAGTTCTGGAACTGTGTGAACAACACTGGCTGCAGTCGCGATTTCTTGTCCAAGAACCACTTCTTCTGTGTTTCCGCGTACACGTCCACCACCCCAGCATAATGACTCCTGTCTAGTCCGACGAGAACCTTGCCTACAAAAAGACTGGCATTGCTGCACGCATCTGCATGTCGTTTGGCTCCGCCACCTAGCTTGGCCTCTTCATGAATCGCTTTCAGAAGCTCCCACACAGGCTCGACTTCTTCGGGCCTGGGCAGAGGAGCTTTATGCTTCGTGCGGGAGTCAAAGAACGTCCTCAACATCTTGGCTGCCTTGTCGGCTGTCTGACTGCTGGCACTGGCTCGGGTCTGCCGCAGTACAGGAAGAAGAACGTCAAGTGTGAGTACATTGGAGTACTGCTTCTCCAAGTAGATCGCAAGAAGATCAAGTACCCGTAATTTGAACTGCACGACGTTCTGCTTTGCGTCCTTACGTTCCTTCTGTTTGCTAGTAACCTGACTACGCTGTTGGAAAATCTTACTGAGGTGTGGGTCGAGCGCCATCATCTGCTCGTCGTCCATGGATGACTCCTCTGCGGATTCTTCGGAAGCGTCCCCATTCAGGTTGGGTTGCTCCGTCTGCAGTGTTATGGCTAGCATACGGTTGAATTGTGTTAGTTCGGCGTCATCCTCGCTATCGTCGTCATCGTCTTCTTCGTCGTCGCTCGATTCATCATCAGACTCTCCAGAGCCGTCGATCATCTCAACGTCTGAGCCATCATCCGACTCGTCACTAGAGTGGTTTTCCTCAGCATCCTCGTCTCCTTGGTTGAACAACTCTTTCTGTCCCTCTAGGTTTTCCTCCGTATCCAGGATATCAGTAAGAGACTGGATACCGTCGGCGCTGACTTCAGAGGAAAAGATGGCGAAAGCTTCCCCTCCTATTCGGCGGTACAAAGTTCGTGGGTTGCCGAGGAAGGACAGTACTATCTCCACAAATGCGTCTTGATCCTCGCTTGAAGGGTCTGCCTTTTTCTTCGACATGGCTTTGCGTGATGCATCGAGATCATCGAGCATCATGACAGCGTCCCCTTCCCCGTTGTAAACTTGAAGAAGAGTGAGTGCGTAAAGCAGAACAAATCCTTCTGCAGCCATTTTGCTCCCAGCAATTGTTCCCTAGATTCCACAATTAGCTAAAGCTACAGGCCGGGCTCAGACTGCTACATACCTTGGCGAATATAGCATCCAATGTTTGATGTGCCTTTTCAACTGTCTTTAAGATGGGAGCGTCGGCTTTGAAAGCTAGGTCTACATGTTTGGACGAAGCGGCCTTGGACTTGATCAAGTCTACTACCATCCTCGCAAAGGTGGATCTAGACCCAACCTTGACATCGAGGAGTTTGGTCAAGCATGAAGATAAGCGCTCTTGAAACATTACCTTGCTTCGTTCGCCGATCGGGGGCAGAGGCACTTTACTCGTCTTTACACTCTTACTCGGGATGAAGTAGGCAAACTCAATAAAAAGCTCCAAGATTCTTCGAAGCCAACTGTCCTTCTCAGCGACATCCACGTCAAGATCGTCGTATCGTTTATAATGTCTGACTGTGTTCAATAGCAAATCGGCAATGACCTGGCGACGACTGTCTGCTATACCTTGGTCCTCAGTCTCCGGCCGGAGGACCAGGGAATTAAGATGTCGCACCGATTTGCGTAAGCTCTCATCGTCTGCAGACAGGAGAATTTGCTCAAGTGTTTTTGTTTTGGTTACCCTGTCGAAATCAATGCTACCGTATTTCGAAGTCAGTGCAACAAACACTGGAAGAGCTGAACTCTGATCGTGCTGCACTCTGCTTTGGACAGCACCTAACGCCGCCACCGCGGCTGAATGAAGAAATCGGTCATCTTTCTTGGTCTGGTTGATGAGTGTGCGCATCAAGTTCGGACTAAAGAGTGCTGATATGGCCCATTCTGGAATGTGCGTAATCATAGTGCTCAACAACTTGAATCCCCACGCTTTTCGTTCGTGAGAAGCGGTGGAGGCGAAGAGATTGGCTGCTCTGGGTTAGCCATAATCCACAAGCAAATGGAGGTTCACATACTATCCACTACGTCTATCCAAAACTGCGAGAACTCCGACTTCTCGTGCGCATCTCTTCGGCTCACTTCGTCTCTTCTCAACATTTCGGCCAGCACTAGATCCCACGTGAAAGATGGGTTGGGACTAGCTGATGCAGATTTGGTGGTCTCCCCCACACCCTTCTCAGTCTCATTTTTAAAATTCTCCTTGAGAATCTTCGCTAAGCGGGAACGCTCCTTCTTGGATAAAGGGTCTTTCTCATGCCAAATGCCCTGGGGTAAGGCATCTTCGTAGCTACCCTGGACAGTAAGCCATATGGCGACTCCTTCGGGCGTGGACATGAGCTTGAATGCGCTAAGACGTGAGAGGACTTCTTGGGCGCATATTTGGTACTGAGCTTGAGCATCCAGACTCCTCAACGCCTCAACCAGGACCATACCACATTCTTCTCGTAGCCAGGGAATGTCGCGTGCCATTCCACAGACATGGTCCAATAGCTGAGTCCAACATTCCAGTAAAAGATTGGGCTGAATGACAATTTTCGATTGCAGTACAGCCTTGTAGCCAAATAGTCGGCCAATGAGATGGTCACGTCGCTCCTAGAGGAAGTCAGTAATGCCCATGAGTTGGCAGCTACGATTTCCATACTCGTCCTGGTACATTTCCCTCGACTTTTGTCTTTTCTTCGACAAGCTTGATGAGGGAAATCACGTCTAGATCTAGGCCTTCGATTGCATTTTTCCCCGACTTGAAGAGCTCTCGTAGTAGCTCGGTCAGGGTAAGAGAGAATCCAACTCTTGCCGCTTTGCGTTGACTACAGAGTCCCTTGATGAGACGACTCAACACCGTCTCGACGTCTTTTGCATGAGGCTTCGATTCCGGTGAGAATTTGAGAATGATCTGTTTGGCAGCCTCAAAACGGACGTCATCTGACTCGGCAGCTAAGTCTTCGTATAGCTTTGATAGCTTTTGATGATGATCTCCGTTGAGTTGCCGGCGTCGCTTTGCAGGTGCTTCGTCCCTATTATGTCCACTAGCGGAGTCGCGATCCCTTTTCTTGACCTTGTGCTCCATAGCCCTTCGCTTCGTCGATTGAAAATGTTTGTTTGGTGCAGTTCACCGAGATGAAAAAGTCGAAGCTTTGGGGGAAAATTCGCGAGCTAGACGCCATGTGTACTAGTGCAAGGGTCCAAACTCAGCCATGCATCGCTCACATTGTGGTCGCGCTGCACAACAACCGCTCCCCTTTTCCCTGGAACTGAATCGTGGAAGTCTTCTATGAAAGCCATACCCCTAGTCACCCCGGAAGGATTGACAACTCAACCAAGCTTAAGCCTTGCAGTCCTCGGCCAGCGGTGAGCGTTTCCATGGCAAGTTTGAGTTCAACAGGCCACGGTGGAGAAACCAATATGTTGTATGTGACCTGAATTCAATATATCTGCCCCTTTCTTGGAGATCCGTGCAACCTTGTCATTCACTTTGGTGTGCTAGATGGGTTCTATGGAGCCAATTGAACATTGTCAAGTGTGGCCTTTTGCGAAACACGATGAAGTACCATTCTTGGGCACCAGAGCGACCGAGCCTCAGTACCTGGGTCCTATGTCAATAGGGTCCGGGTTCGTCCAGACTTCCAGAATTGGTTGCGTGAATTAGCAGGTTGTTTATCCACATTGTGGCTTGATAGAACCAGCTAAGACTATACTGCCAAAGACATGACCGATGGCCATGTTCACAGGTGGGACGAGTGCATGAAAAGATTTACATAGTAGGAAGACGAAGTCAGCCGTACAGCACTGTTCAATATGCAGATAGTGATCAAGAGAGCAACGGAAACTCTGGTATACGAAGAGCCAAAACGTAGTTGCTCATAACATGGCCGAATGCATCAGCAAGGGCAGCGATGGTGGAACCTTGCAGAGGCCGGAAGGGTGTCATCTTCGGATGACATACAAGATCAGCACCATGATGATTTATCCGAACATGCCGCGGGCCAGAATTCATGCAGATCTGCTCTCCCCTTCTATAATATACTTCTACCTGGTGAGGATTCAGGAACAAGCAAAGTACATGCGATGGGGCATGGCTGACCCCCACATGGCAACATGCCGACGGTAATGGAAATCGTGCACACGAGCCGTGCATTTTGCGTTATCCTAGCGTTTCCGTTGGATTCGTCTCCAGGGCAGCCAGCACTCAACGTGCGGAGCAGAAACAAGGCGTACCCGGACGTGAAACCTGAGGTTGGTCCCCCCCAGACGTCCTTTGGGTCAATCAGAAGAACAAAGCGGCGACGGAGACATGTCAGGACATGAACAAAGAATTTATTTGGCCTATGGGTAGGGATCGAATGAGACGCCCGCGTAAGCAGAGGCGTGATTGTGCCTTTGTAGGTCTCAAGCGGCTGTCTCGAGTACGTATCACGGCTACGGCTGGAGCCTCTCTTGCCAAACTACTCACTTCTTCCGTGTAAGCGGGGCGCAGGTAGGTAGATTTGCAAAGGCGACCTACCACATGTAGGCGATTCTCGGTCGGTTGTTCTTCACAACCAGAAAAGGCGACAGCCTCGATTCTTTGTCTCGTCGCAAGCTTCCAAGGTTCTTGAAACTAACAATGACAGCGGCAGCAGCAATAGCAGCAGCGTGTGGGGCTGAGTGTCCCAAAGAGGGTGTGAGATGGAGCTGAGGGGTTGGGGGGGGGGTCAAGGTCATGTGATGACGTGTACGTGTCACCTCCTTTATAGGCAGTTTGTTGACTGGAAAGCAACGCGTCGCGCAGAAAACTGACGCAGATAGATTGCTCCATGCGCTTCAGAAGCGCCGCTCTCTTGGCCCGTTCTGTCCCACAAGGAGGGGTTAACCGGTGCAAGTGGGGTTTCCTCGTGAACGGGTGCTGGATTTTTATGAAGACTTGTGTCAGCCCTCCGGCTGCTCACTCGGCCCAGGCGCTCCATTCTCGAACCATGGGCGCCTTCAGCCCGCGTCCTACTCTATTGTACAAGACACACCAACACCCACCCCGCGACCGCCACCGACCGGGAGCCCTGACCTCTCCCCTGCCACCTGTTTGTTGTTGTAACTTGTGACTAGGTAGATAGGAGATAGTGCGCATGTACGAGCGTCTTTGTTCCTAGTTGTGATTGTGGTCGACGACAGAGGCCTCGAGCGGGCGAGAATCGGGTGTTGGTTTCATTTCCATACGGAAGCGGTTCCCAGTTGTTGTCGAGGATGGAACAAGCGGGCATTGGTGGAGATCAGCGTTAATGTACTCTAGGTCCAGTACGTAGATACATGGACAGCTAGGAGGCAGGGCGATGCCATGTGCAAGATTGCGCATATGACGTTGCTTCATGTCGCAATCGCGATTCGAGAGCCGCAGCTCGATCTTCAATACGGCACTAGGCTGATGGTTTTGCCATGGAGCAAAGGCTCTCCGGTTTGATGCCTCCCGATGGTGGGCTGGAGCTTCTTTTTTGGCAAGAAAACAGCCAAGGGCCCCCGCACCACTGCACCGCGCGCCTACGCTCGGCCTCACTGCAGCTGCTAGGCTAGGATAGGCACAACACCAGTACGTACATGCTTGGATTGCACACAATACAAATCAAGATGAAAATCTCCCGTCGGAGCCGAACGAGACGAGATGGGCAGCCCACGCCTGTTTGCTGCTAGTCGCTACTATCTTAGACGACCGTCGGCCCAATCACCGCCCCGTTGTTGCCTCTCGCCAGCCCTCACCGGGAGACGGTTTCCCTGCCAAAGAGTGCCAAGGGTTTCTGCTCTGCCGCGATGACGCAAAACTATGTCAAGTACGTGAGCTGACAGCGTCCAAAGCAGTCAAGCAGCAACATGGCCTGTCCAGCGCCTGTCCACGAGGCTCAAGATTCGGTTAATTTGCGGTCTCATCTACCTGTACAAGCTGAGTAGGCACCCGGTGCAAGCACGGATTGCTGAAGGGACGGGCTTTTGCGGGCTGGTGGGGGGGGGGGGAGCGAATCCGATGGATTCCAGTCACCTTGGGAACGGTTTCTAGGTGACAATACCTACACAGCGGCCCATAGGCCATGCCACGACTGTGGACGAGCTTGCACATGGCCTGAGTTCCTTTCACAAGGAGGAAGAGACCAGGAGACGACGAAGCCGGCGGCCGACTTTAGGTGGAGAAGGAAACTCTTTCGTTTCACCCCAATTCCCAGACGTGCAGGGAGGGGCCTCGCAAGGACATGATCCGTGCCGGCCTAGGTCAAACTGCTTCTCTGGCAACGGCGCGTGGGAGGAGACATGGCTTGCCAGAGCGGAGAGGGGCAGACTGCACAGCACGATGAAGGCCGGGCTGGGGCAGGGCAGGGCATGGCATGGGCATGGCAGAGCGCCCGCCCGGTGAAGCAACAGGCGTCAGACGTGAGCTGAGAAGTACCATAGTAACTGATATTCTTTGGTCCACAGGGACATTGATTACGTTGTGGTCTGCCATTCCCTTGTTGTGGTCAACCAGGTCGTGTGCACCGCGTCGTGCCCACGGGCGGCGGGACTGAGGTGCGTGAACGCTTGTTTACGAGGACAAGAGCGTGTGATGCAGGTGGGCTCTAGTTGCAGCAAAGTGGGCAGCTTTGTTGCCTTGTCTTGGCTTGGGTCATGGTCAAATCGCGATCAAGTGGGCAGCCGGCGGTACACTATTGTACGGAGTACCTGCGCAGGCAATGGGGAGACGCAGGCGATCAGCAGCAAAGTCCGCAGCCACACGTCCAGCCAGCCAGCCTGCAGCAGCGCCAGAACCGTCAAGACGAACAGGCAAAGCACAGTTTGTGTGTACCAGATTACGATGTGGTGTGTGTGTGTGTGTGTGTGTGTTTACTGTGTATGAGTCCATGTCCATGTCCATGGCCATGTCTGTCGCGCTTGGGTGGCTTCCAGTAGGTATTAGATAGGAACTGTACAGGAGAACGTACATAGTAGGTAGGTATTGATTGTACAATGGCGGTACCAAAAGGTACCCACACCCACTCTTCTGCTTGCTGGCCCGCTGCCAGGGCGCATAACTCAGGCATTGGTGGACAGCGCTTAGCCTACTAGGGCCCTTGTCGCCCTAACCTCACCCAGGTTGTGTTGTTACCAGGCCGACCTCAGACCCAGCAAGCTGAATGAATGACCTGCCTGGCTCTGTGCTTCTTCCTCACCTTCTGCAACCCCAAGAAGGCTCCAATCCCCTCTTTTAAAGAAGACAGGCTGAGGCATACTGGACGTTGGTCAATTCGCTCGTCGGACACACTGTTGGGGCAATTGCTACCCACCTTCACTGCCCGTCTCTCGACCACGCCTGGAAGCCTCATGTCGACGAGCCGATAAACGCCTTTTCCCCCCTCCTCCCCCCACGAGATTCCGGCCAACCACCTCGACCAGCCCGCGTCTGAGTCTCGAGACCATTTACCAGCGAGCATCATCTTCAGATTGAAATTAGCTTTTCTGTCTTTGTATATGCTTATCCGCCTGCTTTTGTCGCCTCTCTCTCTCTCTCTCTCTCCCTCTGTCTCTGTCCATCGCCCCTAGCGTGAAGCGTGAAGAAGTGAAAGAGCAGAGATAAACCAACGCAAACGCTCGCTACCGCAGTTGCCCGGCACAACCACGAGACGAACGAACGGCCACACACCGCCAACATGGAAATGTCGTCGCCTCTTGCTGCCATGCACCCGCCACCCATGCCTGGTCCATGGGGTTATCGCCGTGACCTGCCTGCATCTAAACCATTATTTGGAGCACATACTTTAGGTCCCAAGAGCTTCAACTTTCGCGACATGAGCATGCATAGCATGAAGAAGGGAGGCTCCGACTACTTCACCCTGCAGCCCATGCGAGGGTCAGGATCCTCGCCGACCACGAGTCTGGCCGCCGACATGTCATCTAACCTACATATGGACCAGAGGTACAATGCTCCCTTGCATACCCGCTTTCAAAGCTCCCAGGCTAACATTGTCTTCCTTTGTCACAGTCCTAAGCTTGCAACCCCCCGTCGATCGCTCTTTACCTCGAATCTGTTTCAGCAGCACGACGCTCAAGGTAAGCGGCTGTGCACTTGCTCTGCCGTCTGTACAAGTACTCACCACTCGCCCAAAGCAGGACTGACGACCCCGCAACTCCGATGGGAAGGCGTAACAACACCGCCAATTCCCTCTTCGTCGCCCTGCTTTGCTCCCGACTCCATGGACATTTCCCCTCTGCCCCACAAAGCTCCCTTCAGCTTCCTCAACAACGACAACTCTCTGCCGCTCCCGTCTCCCTCTCCTGACGTCACCCCCACCGCCGACGACGACGAGATGCTCTCGCCATGCAACGAGGCATCGTCCCTCGAGGTTCCCAGGCCCGTCTCTGCCGCTGAGTGAGTGGTGCTGGCATCAGGAACACAGTCCAATCTTTGCTAACACACGCCTAGCCGACGAAAGTCCATCCTTCTCCGACCATCTCTTTCGCGTGCTAAGAACTACTCGACTAACACAGTATCCTTCAAGTCACAAGAGAACAGCCCAGCTTTCAAGTTCGGTAACGGTGATTTCATGAATGCATCTTCGCTCAGTCTGGACGAATGTTTCACTGCTTCCCCGCCTCAAGAGCGCCGCCCCACCTCCAATGGCTCGCTCTTTGCCTCGAAGTCTAAGCCTTTCAGCCTCAACTCGAGTTCCCTGTCGCGTGCTAATGGTTCACCACTTGCTGTCCGGAAGCCTGCTGGTCCCCCATCCCGGAGACCAAGCAAATTCCGAAGGTCGCTTAGCATGTTTGAGCATCCTGGCGACGTGATGAATGCCAAGCAAGATCAAGAGTGTATTCCACCCAGCAGCATTCAACCTAGTGCCCCCCAGTCAAGCCAATTGCAGTCTGTCATGGACATGGATGAAATCCCTGCACTCAAGCTTCCTCACTTCACCACTAACGAACCTGAGAGCCTGCCTCGCATCACTCGTGAAACGTTGATTGAGGTGCTTGACGGTGCTTACGATCACTTGTACGACAACAAGGTCATTATTGACTGTCGCTTTGAATATGAATACAACGGAGGACACATCGAGGGCGCGTTGAACTTTTGTGACAAGGAGAAGCTCGCAGAGCGCCTCTTTGAAGCTCCATCGAGTGCTAATACTCTACTCATTCTACATTGCGAATACTCCGCACACCGTGCACCTCTTATGTAAGATGCATCCCCCTTCCACGTCCAGACAAGTCTAACAAACCACCACAGGGCCAAATTCGTACGTTCCCAGGATCGCAAGGAAAACTCCCACCAGTATCCTCACCTCTCGTTTCCTGAGGTCTATATCCTAGACGGCGGCTATAGTTCCTTTTACCACGCGCACGCAACACGTTGCTTCCCGCAAAATTACCTCCGTATGGATGCAAAGGAGCACGAGCAATCTTGCGAACGCGGATTGAACAAGCTCAAGCAACGTGCGAAGCTGAGCCGCGCGCAAACTTTTGCATTTGGACAACATTCTTGCCAGATGGAAGACAGTCCTACGGCTCTCGGTCGGGCAAAGAGTGGAGGCAACATCTTCACTCTTGGCAACGACGACTCACTCAACTCTGGACGAATCGGCGCGTCCCGTCGTATGGCTTCTTATTGAGACCTGCGCGGTAGTGGCCTTAAATTTGACGATACTCCCCTACTTCACGGCGGATCGACTGAAGGCGTACATTTCGTTGCTGCATTGGGCTTCCACAGCATTTGGCGTTTGGTCATTCCACATCCTTCCTACGGCGTTCAAGCGATTCCTATTTTCCCCTGCATCAGCCCTGGACCCATTGGACGAGTCAGCATTTGCTCTGACCCTCATTATGTTTGCATTCTATACCCAGTGCCTAGGTCCTTGTGGCCAAGCATAGTTACCCTTTCTCAAGAGGGCTTGTTGCATACCCATTTTGTTTCGGTAAGCGGTTGTGTATTGCCACAATCGCTTTGACAGTCACCTAATTCCCTTTGTTCACACCATCCTCAGACGGATCTTTCCTTTGCCACCCTGTAGAGCTGAAACATGCTCTCAGGAAATCTACACATCATCACGAAGCCACATACAACCGGGTCTACGTGCCTTCACCCTTCATCCCCACCACGACATTTCCTTTCATTCCAATATTTCCCATCCCCAATTCCGTGTCATCCCTCTAGACACGAAGATCTCTTTGATTCGAACCTCGATTACAGCCGACACAGGCTTCTCTAGGCGTGTGCTTATGCTCCACGTACTTCTATCAAGTTGCCGCTTGTATTCTCTGCAGGTTAGGATGTGCTTGGTGGTGTCGTTGAAGTTGTATAAAAGCAGCCTGCTTTGAGATTGAGGACGTAATCAGATAATCAGTATGGGCTTTGTTATCAGGAGGAGAAGCTAAAGTAACTTGAAGAAAAGTTGCACGTGTTCTTTAGCCAGTCAAAATCAAGTATAAATATCAAATCGACTTGCAATATGATGTCCCTATCCTGACTTCTCCGCATTCAATACATGCGCTTTCTCAATAAGACGAAAAAGATTTGGATGGTGCCTTCACGCGATGAAGAGCCAACAGCATAGTGATAGTCCTTAAAAAAAGCGCGACGCGTCACACTAACTTTAGTTGACAACGCCCCGCAACGACACCCCGCAATTTCCACACATTTCCTGCCAACATGTCTAGCATGCATCGCCTCTGATCCACGGTCGACTTGGCCACTAAACAAACTTACGATTACAATTAGCTACCAAGTTTTTGCTTCTAGGCCCATCTCCCTACCCCAAGACTCGCGCCCATCACTCTCAGCCAGGCCCAACGCGTGTGGCCCTTGTTTCCCGAATCACCACACGCCTTTGGCGCGCCCCAATGGACATCGATGACCTCCTTGCCGAAGTTGCCGCAGACTCGACGCCACAGGAGACACATGATCTTCAAGAATTGACACGTTGTTGGGTTGCAGAGCGCGTTGCGCCTGAGATACTGCCATGGCCAAGTGAGTTGATGGAAAGGGTGTTGGAGAGAATTCGACGGCAGGTGTGTCAATATCATGGCTGACATGGGATTTGGTAGTCATACTAATGGCGCAGCCAGATTGAAATGGTGGAAGACCAGACGGGTAGCATGGATCCCAAGACGAACTTCAAGTTGATCATCATACAGACGGAGCTGGAGAGGTTCAAATTCCTGGTCAGGAGCTTCCTGCGGGCTAGGATAAAAAAGGCATGTCGTGCTGCTCCTCGTCGACCAAGGCTAGGGGTGCTAATTGCGCATCAGATCGATGCACATCCACTCCACATCAAGGCACTGCACGAGAACTCGATTGATAGCGTACGACCCCTTCTCTCTTCCGCCGAGTATCAGTACCTCGAATCTCACCAATCGCTGCTGTCGGCACATTATTCTTCCTCCTTCCTTGGCCAGTTTCCTCCAGCGTTACGGCGACTGGACGATCCCTCAGGTGGAGTCAGCATGATTGAGAAGCCAGACGAGGATAAAGCGGTGTTTGTGCGGGCGCTTAGAGATGTAGGGGATATCTTTGTGGAAGGCACGGATCGAAGATTCCAAATGAAGAGAGGGGATGTGTGGGTGGTCAGATGGAGCGCGGTGAAAGCGTGGACGGTTGGGTCGGGGACGGGAGACGTTGAGTTGATCTAAACTCGCTCCACATTGATGAGCATTGAGATACCCAATCAACGGAGCGCCTGGGTAACGCTTATGGCAGTGTGATCAACTTCATGCTGTCGAATGAATCATGTCTCGTGCGCCATATGGGGAGTCCGTCGAAGCCGGCTTTCACAACATCGACAGGTTGACGGCGGGAAATTCTCAGACTCCAGTCGTGTACGCAATTTACATTTCGAATAACACACGACCCGACATTTCCACCCCAGACGAAACAAAAGATGTTGGCTCCTAGCAGCAATCCATCAACGATTCCAAAGCATCAGTATCTTTCAAACCCCCTATAAGCCGGCCAAGCACCACCCTTCAAAGACAAGGAGACCTCCTCTCAACGCTTCCCAGCCATGCATATTTATACTAAAAATGTTGGAATGAACGAGGCCGTGGGCCGTGTACAGTGAGACACTCCTTCTATCCAGATCTGCTCATGTGGGAATTGTATTATCAGGAAGATGATCTCGCCTTTGCGAAATATATGTTTTGCAAGATTGGTAGATTGAGTCTGTGGTCAAGACGGGGCTGGTACCGCGGAGGGGAATAGGGAGGTTTTTAAATTGTATGCCTCGTTGTGTTCTACATGATGTCCTGTAGTCGTGTAAATCGTCCTGGGTAGGAGTATCATGGGTTTGTGTGCACCACATACGTCTTTTACAGATATCAACGATGCAGGCGAGTGCACGACTACGGCTACGGCTTAACGATAGTAAGAGTATATGATGCTTTGGTTGAATGAAAACCCAGCTTCTGCTGTACTGCATTGTAGTACATAAGCTTTTTCTCTATTTTTCGGGGGAAAGGATGTGGACAATGCTGGTAAGTTGGTGTTGGGTGTTTGTGTTCACTACACACAAGTTTATATCAATGGACGGGATAGTAGGCACCAGACGCGGAGGCATACCTGTGTGGAAAGCAAAGTTCACATATGGTAGGCTGCTTCTCGCCTGCAGGACAGGAAATGGCGTTTTCGTTGCCCGTATCGTTGGCCCTGCCTGCCCATGGGGCATTTTGCTGCGGTACGAAGATATGGGGTGGGGGGTGTCCACGATATATCATACACATGAAGCATAGTGAGTAGGTAATCAGTCTGGACCTTTGAAGTCGTGTATTATTTACGCATACCTGGTTTTTTCGCAAGATATGCTGATTGTGATTTTTTTTTCATGCTATCGTAATCCTGTGAGTCCCATCGCAAGACGTATTCGTTTTTCTCTGCCGCTCTTGTACCCATCTGGCATGATACCGTGGCAGCGACTGTGCAATTTTTCTACATTGACTGAGGTACATGTACATGTGTGTGAGAAGTGAGAGTCGGGTGTACTTGATCTACGTTGCCTCCAAGTACATACTTGATGTTCTCAGGTAAAACAATGTCCATTCATTGTAACTAGCACTCGTAGTCTATGGAGTTGAGCGTATGTCTATAATATGGATGGCTGCTCATTGTGCGAGATCTGGGTGCGTGTTGATCATCCGGCCTGTGGAGTGGGTATACCATGTGGATTAGGCTGCCTTGGGTTGGTGGAGGGCGAAAAAGTAGCATCTGAACGGAGGGGAAAAAGCAAGGCTAGTGGAAACAGTGGACGCATGGTCCGCAACGCAACATGTGCGGAGAAGTAGATTTCAACCTACAGTACTATATCCTGTACTGTGATTTATCCTATCATCATCTCCTTTAAAGCATACGTCGACCATATTATCTATTTGTCTCCCAAAACCATAACGATCAAGTCAAATCTGTCCATCTCACCAACATCTCCAACAAGTCCAAAAGTACTCTGCTTTTTCTTACTTTTTCCGTCGAAATACCCTTCGATCCCCAGCAGCTTACACATTCCTATCCCACAAATAATGTGCTCAATGTAATGCTAGCCCCATTGATCTACACATCCTCTACATATACGAGGATCAACCACCGCTAAAATCCCTCCCATTACGGCGCCCCAACACGTCAGAAGAAGAGACAAAAAAACGCAATATTGAAAAAAAAAAGTAAAGGACAGAAACTAGAGAAGCAGAAATCGCAACACTAACCCCCATTCAGTATTCCACATTCGCGAAATACCATGTACAATCACATGTGATGTAGCTATTATCCACTGTTCTAGATTCCCCTCCGCTCAGACAAAAAGTCCGCCCCATGTCAAGGTAAGTGAGTAGCTAGCCTGCCGTCCCCACGGTACAACCAAAACGCAACACTCCCCACCCACACCCACCTCCAATCTACCCAAAACATAACTACGCACACATATACCTAACCGCTATGCCCATGCCCATACAACAAACACGCGCACACAGGCACACAAAATGGCGCGTTGCGCACAACTTACACACAAAACGCATAAAAGCACGCGGCACAAAACAACACAATTACAGAACAGACTACCGGTATGCGTTTTCATGTAGGTACATACCGATACCAAGTAAGTACCTTACCTTACCTAGCACATACTGTACAACAAGGTCCCCCGGCCCCGGACCCCCATACATAGCATTCTCCCCTCCCCTCCCTTCTCTCAAACCGAAACTGTACTAGAGAGACTATCTCATGGTGCGGTGCGGAGGATGGAAACCATGGTTCGTGTCTGCGACGGACGCTTCCGCCACAGGATACTGTTACTGCATATTGCCTAGCTTGGAGGGACTACTTTGTGCGGTGGGCGTCAAGGCTAGACTATTTGGATCCTGGGGGATTTTTTGCTTTTTGATAGTGGGAGTAGTCGTGAGGGTGCTGGGTTGGAAGAGGGGGCATGTGTGTGTACCTGTGTACCTGTGTATGTATGAATGTGGGAGAGAGAAAATGTGTGTAGCGCAAGACGGGCAAATCATGGCAGGGATCGCGGCTATCAGATATAGGTGAGGTTGGAAGAGTATACGCTAGCATGAAGAGGGTGTTGCATACACAGTAGTCTCTATCTGGGAGGAAATCTAGGATCCTACCTACTGTAAGTCATGTGCATGTCATGTGTCATGCAGGTCAGAATAGCTCCCAACTAAACCCCCGGACCATGTTCCATGTCGGACATGGTTGTCGGTATAAGGTACTGAGTCGAGCAAGTTTCGCCGGTGATATTATTTGTTTATTTGCTTTCGCAATAGTTGCTAATATGCTGATGGCTCGTGGCTGGTTGCTATGTATAAAGCCGTACTGTCGCTCGTCGGGCACTTGGCAATTTGTTCATCCCTGGCCGGCTTTCTTGGTCTCCTGCATCTCCAAGACGCTATTCTGAGACTGTGAGGCGAGTTTCAAGGGCGAGAAGCGGGATTCTGGGAGCCGGCGGCCAGCCTTGATGCTCTCGATGACCCTGTTGAGTAGATTGGTCAGTTCATGAGACATTGTCAACGGCTGCATGGTTGCGTGTCGTGAAGACTTGGATCTACGTATACTCTATACGTGTGCTGATGAAGGCTAGCCACTTACCATTCGGCAGTGATGAATTTGACAGCCTTGCCCCCGGTTCGTGCGATTTCTTTTTGCATCTTGGTCGCGGCCAGTCCGCCACCTGCGCCACCGCGTGTGTTTGAGGTTCCGAGTATGACATGCGTGACCGTTCGTCGACCTAATGCAATCGAGTGTCTTGCGCCATAGAGGGCAAGGGACTGTTTGAGTTTGTGATCAGATACTAGGGGAGCTGTAGAGCCGTTGACGTAAAAACAAAGACCAGTGAAGAGCTGTTTTTCTGCCGGTTGCGCAGGCAGTTCGCCTCGGCAGCTCTGAAGGTCAAGATCAGAGTCTATGTCTTGTTAGAGCTTGTTCTTGCTAGCAAGTTTTCTTGCGAAGCGTAATTAATGTGTGGGAAAGATCATGTTCACGAACGGTTCACGAACGCAACCGTTCATGGAACATTCAACAGAAGCTGTTTTCCCCAATAATGATGCTCAAGGACGTACGTACCTTGGAAATGATCTTGGCGTCTGTCTGTCTGTGCCGACTTGGGATCTTGCACCTTGACAGAAGCAATATCTTTTTCATGACATTTCGCCTTGCTCGCTTTGGAAGCACCCCAGGCTTCCACAAGACTCTTTTGCCCCCGAGGCCTTAGACCCTTTGCACCATGCTCCCAAGTTCCGTTCTCTTTGCGTCCGTTGTTGCCAAAGTCGGCACTGCCTGCACCCACTGTATCTGTAACCCTCTTGCCGCCATCCAGCCCGGCCCTGTACTGTTCCCCCAGTTTGAGGTTGCGCGAGACACGCCACGACGTCGATCCAGACAGGCGATTCTCCGCGCGCTGGTGCCCGGTAGAACTGCTGTTCCAAGGGTCGAAGAAGGTACGTCGGGCAGGTGCCGCGATGTCGACAGCCGTTTGGTGGGGTTTCGAGCGTGGGCGGGATGTGTTGATCGTCGCACAGGGAGTCGACAATGAGGGGTCGTCGGAAGAGGCAGGCGGGTGTGATCGGCGGCCGGCATCGCGCATATCGTACGAGCTCTCTTGCAGCAGGCCGTCGAGGTGACTGGCCTTCCTCATGTTTGCGCATTCAAACGTTATTCGCGTAGTCGAAGTCAAGATGACGCTGGGTTGTGCTTTGTCGTGGTTGTCGTGGTTGTCGTGGTTGTCGTGGTTGTTGTTGTTGTTGTTGTCCTAACGCGCCTCGCCTCGCCATCACAATAACAATGCGAAGTGGTCGCTTCAAGTGCAAGCCAAAGCCTCTTCTACTGTGGTATACTCGAAGTACAATGTACAATGTACAGTACCTATTGTATCGTCCAATAGCCGTAATGCACAGCTCTTCCCTCCCAGCTGGGCGTACTATAATAAGCTTGTGGGCCTCGCTGCATGCAGAGAGTCGTCTTGGCGCGACTCCATGGAGAGTATACGTAGGTACCTACTATACGGCATGTACCGTCTCATGGATGTAGGTACCCACCCAAGCTGCACTCGTTTGCGTCTGCATGTGACTGCCATGTGCTGACTGTCCACTGCAGCTCAACCGCCCATGTCAAGCTTGTGAGACCTGCCACGCACTCTTACATGGACTGCATCAATACATCGAATAAGGTTTGCTGTCGGACCTCGGAAAACGATTCATGACTGTTGTCATTTTCCAGCCTCACTAACGTCCTTTTCGCCGGACTAATCTAATCCACTCAAAGAAGCACTCTGAACATGGAAGACGGATGGTAGGGGGTGTGGGGGGTAGTCTTTCATTTTTCTTCAACGAAACTACGAGTGTCACCAAGACAGCAACACAGTACTTCTCACCCTGCATGTGAAAACTTGTACAAACACGACTGGCCTCGCTCAAATGCCTCGTCGCGTATTGGAAAAGAAAAAAAAGGAAAAGAACCATGTCCAATGTAACACCACGCCATGCCCATGCTGTCCAAACGCCGTGCTGGTAACCATAGAGACCCACAGAAACTTATGCCCTGCCCTGTATGAACATGTCAAAATATGTACCCATGGCACAAATCCGAATTTTGACCGCGGAGGGTCTGGAATCTGAACGCCCGCTGAAAATGGTAGAGAGGAAGAGAGAACAGCCACAAGGAATACGAGCAGGACACACCGAAAAATCGGCCGTGTATTGAAGAAATAAGCAAAGGAAAAAAGTAACCAGTCTCATGACGAGACCCATCGGGTCGGGTTGTGATGATATCATCGCAACTTCCGTCAAGTCGACTAGATGTAGAATTAGCGTCTGCCGTCCTGAATCAAACATCAGTTTTCGTGAACGCTTCCGTGTATGTCGCATCGATTCGTAAACAAAAAAGGTTGTATCTTCGTAATATCGTAATGCAGCTTTCAGCTGGTCTGCGGGCCCGTTGCCCAACTTAGGCGAGTCCAGTGGTGTTTTTGAGCGAGGACTCGTACAGTAGCCGATGCTTCTTCATCTGCTCTACATCGAATGGAACAGCATCGCTGCCCTTCCTGCTGTTCACAGACAACGAGCTGCCGTTACCAAATCGGAGACTGGCCAGTGACCGTGCCTTCTTTATTGACTTCCTGTCGGCAACTGGAGCCTCTGTAGCTTGGGGGGTCACATGTATGATCTCCTCCACTTCTGGTCGTGGCTTTACGCGCATGCGTTTGAACTCGCGGGTTATCCTCTCGAGCTTGGTCATAGCCTTTGGCGCAGGGGCCACGTTATTCACTGGCTCCAAGGTTTGGTAATCCTGGAGCGTGGAACCTACGCTCGGTCTTCGTTCGGATCCAAAACTTACACCGGAATCGTGCTTGCTCTCCTTGCCGTAAAGAGTGGCGTAACGATCGAAAGATTCCGGGCCAGCGGTAGACATGCAATCCTGGATCATATTCATGGCTACCCTCAGGTACTTGTCAAGGATCTTCTGAAGAACGGGCCAACCAGTCGTGTCATTTGGTCCCTTGTGCTCATTCATCAATGGACGCAAGACTTCAGGCCCATGCTTTTGGACACGACCAATAAGTTCAAAGAATAGATTGCGCTCTTCTGTCAAAGATTCTCTAGTCAAGAAGCTACAGGGCAACTTTGTGTCTTCATAGACCGGAGGGAACAACGTGTTGAGCATGCTCAGACAGGCGAGCTTGTTGAACGGTTGCTCAGATAGTTCATTGATCAGGATCTTTGTCAATTGCCGTTAGTCAATTAGAACAGGCGGCATAGAAAGGCTGGACTTACCCAGCGACGAAGACCTTTCCAGATGATGGCGTAAAACGTCTCAGCCCTCTTGTTCTTGCCTTCGATGTTGTTGATCCAGAGAGCGATACCAGGAAACTTTTCAGCGATGTAAGCCATGTCCGCAGTCCATGTCTCTTGGTGGATATTGAGTCGTTCGAACGCAGCAAAGGTCTCCTTTCGCCGCCTCGTCTCTAGGTCTTTCAGGTAGTCCAGGGCCGTCAGTGTCTGGTGCCAGTCGACAAGATGTAGGTGAGGAGCGAAGACACGGCCAACAAAGGTGTTGATGAAGCTAGGCGGCAGCGAGCTGGTTCTTGTGGGTAACGACTTCAATTGGTGCATTAGCGATGCTTGGAAGCTCACAGCTGCCGTCTCCGAGTTGGTCCATGCAAATTGACCGGTGATGGGAGATGCGCTCTCAGATTTGGGCAGGAACTGGGCGCGATCTAGGCGGTTGAGTTCCCACATGGTCTTGAGAGGAAAGTCGTAGCTACCGGGATACTCCAAGACATGATCAAGAACATAGGCCATCGCCGAGTTGTTGGACTCGTCCGAGGCGCTGCGCGAATGGGACGAGGCCATGGTGGGGGGAGTGCAGGTCAGCTTGTCGATTTGGTAGTCGAGTTGCGTGTTGAGTGCTTGGTGTTCTTTGTTTGGCGGTTGGTGAGCGCAGGGCTGTTGTTGTGGCAGATGCCGGCGCAGCTACACTGTGGTCGCGCGTACCCAGAACGCAACGCAGGTCGGTAGGGAGCTTGGCTGCGCGTGATTCAAACTGAGCGAGGTTTATAGTTTATGAGAAGAGGGAGTGGGAGCAGCGGTATGTGGGTCTATAGAGGAAGCGCGTGAGGTGGCGGGGTCCGTCACAGCGTTTGCGTTTGCGTTTGTATGGGCGACGAAGGGAAGGAGCGCCGGAGAGAAGAAGGGAAGGAGCACCGGCAGGACGGGGCAGGAGCACCGAGATAACGAATGTATAGGCGAGGTTCGTACGGGAGCAGACAGCGGCGAATATAGGTTAGCTGGTGTAGTGAAGGTACATATCACGGCCGAGTCTTGTGTGGTTAGGCGATGGTTCCAGATGTGCACAGGGCGCGATGGGTATGGCCAGAGTGCTGGGTCGCGTGGCTGGTGTATGTAGGGGGCAGCTGGTAAGTGAACTAGCGAGGGAGTGTGAGGTGAAGGTGAAGGTGAAGGTGAGGTGGAAGTACAGTTGCAGTGTCGTCGCTGCGTGGATATAGAGACAGAGAGAGAGAGAGAGAGAGTAGGTGAAAAAGGAAAATAAAAAAGCTGAGAGCGGGTGGGATTTCACGGGTGACGAGTTGGCGCCATGGGAGGTTTTGGATTGCTTCTGCTGGGAGAGGGCCGCATTTCCCCCCCCCCCCCGGGTCCCTTCACCCCCTGCGCGCTTCGGCGCCACACATGCACACCCGCGCGTCATCCCTGGCCCTTCACCATCGCTCACTCACTTCATCACTTCACGTTCTCGTAGCCCATGCTAGTGGGCGGGGAAGTGGACGCGCACCTAGCAGCTTGGCCTCGCCTCTGCAACAGTGCAACGCTTTTTCAGCACACGACGTACCTCGACTCGACCCCACTGCTCAAGCACAGGGCCTGTCGCAGACACAGTGCATAACACAGTAGGCACACGCATACCACACCTACTCTACACAGACACACACAAACACCACACACCACACACAGCTAGCTCCCTTTCCAGCTTCCAGCGACGACGCTTTGGGTTGTGTGGCGCACGCCGTTGTTACTACATGCAACCTGCTGGCCGTTTCTGCCTGACCCAGAGAACCTTCTCCTCCAGTCGCCCTGCATGCCACGAGGGCGCCGACGGGGAAGCTGACGAGCTGACGGCAGCAAGACTACGGCAGAAGCTGGAGAAAGCGCCGAAGTGTGTTCTACGAGTCACTTTACCATGTTCGTAAGCGTATAGAGCCAGTGGCACACAGCAGCTAGCCTCAGCGGAAGGGGGGGTTCTTCGTTGCGCCGCCGGTTTCCAAAGCACTGAGTCGTGTGTACTATGTACTACGGTCTACCGTACCTTACCCCATGTACATACTCCGTATCTACTACTGCCTACATACAGAAGAGCTGCCCAAGCGCTGGGCCCCACTCGTACCTCCCCATCCATTCATCTAGCCCCTTCTGTTCTGTTCCCTTGACCTGGCCTGCCCAACTCTCTCTTCAACACGGGCTACCAGGACTGGGAACGCTCTCCTTGAACTCTTCTCCTGCGCCTGCATATGCAACATGCAAAAAGGTACCGCAACTCCTCCACTCACAGGTCAACAATTCTGCCGCACAGCCAATGACAAAATTCTCGACCCGCAGGCTGCAGTAGATGAGGTACTAGGGCAAGCCCGTGTCGGCCCTTGTTGCGGCTGGCCTCTTCACCCAAACCGCGAGGGGTAGCTGGACATCCTCGCCCACTGTTGCCAAATAGCCTAACTCGTGTCATACTCTCACCTAGACGCACTCCATGCCACCCATCTTTCCCCTCCTCCTCTCTCAGCCGCAGCTAGCCATAGTCCATAGGTAGGTGCCCATGAACCTTACCTCATATTTGTTGCAACGGATTGGGCATAGGTATATGACCCCTGATCTGGTAGCGAAAAACGTAGGATTGCGGCATAGCAGAATAAACTGCGCTTATCTGGCACCTCAGAGTTGGCTTCTGAAGTCGCCTAGACTCGCCAATCGTCGTTCCCTCCGAGCTTGAGCAGACCTGGAAGACGAGGGTACCTTGCAGATGCACATCTGTGATCAATGCGAACCGATCCTGTCCAACCGTGAGCCCCGGTACTCTCGAGATCCCAGCGCCCGATTTGCACTCGATATATTGTATATCCTCAGACCACATTGCTCATGTCAGCGGGGTAAGACCTATTTCAAATCTGCATCGGTCCATGGTCCATAGGACAAGCCTCTATCGACCAGACAGACCTTGCACCTCCAATCCAGGAACGATGCGGCGATGCGATAATTCCCCAGCCGATAAGTGATATTGAAACAGCAGTCAGATTCCCGGACAGGATCTGTATTTAGCTGATTGATCCCCTGGTCTGTTCAGCCGTTGCCGACTGTGCAGTGTGCACCTGGTCAAGCTCAATACATGTAATATTGCATGACTGACAACGATTGAGGCGAATTTCGCGGTATTACTCCAATACCCAGCCCTTGCTGCCATGAGTAGCGTCTCCTCATGAGCCAATTCAGCCAGGGCCTGCTGATTTTTGATTTTCCAGCAATCTCGGGGCTATCAACGCGCTTGGATGCCCGTTTCTTTACTCATCATGTGCTATAGCTATAGCACTCGTGCGCTATACGATTACTCTTATCTTGAGATCCAGATCAACACGCAGAGATCTACGAGCGATCGTTAGACCAGGTGGCGACACCCGCTCATGTTAGAAATTGCCCAATGATTTCTCATGCTGCCAATGGTCACCGGTGTGGTGGCCTTGGTACGTTGAAGATACTAGTGAGAATCAACATTGTCTCATCGCGTAGGTCAACAGCCCAACGGGCAACGCACGTGTTTCGGTCAATCACAACGCTCAGAAGTAATCTCCGAGTCGATCCTTCGGGGAAGCCCAGCCCGCAGCCCAAGCAAAAGGAGCCAACAATGGCATCAGACAAAGTCAATACTTTCTCAGGTCTCCACCACTCAACGTTCCGACTGCTCATTCGCCACGGCTTCACGTCTGCTCAAACACAGATACAATACTAGATTCCCGTGGCGAGAATGTACTATCTAAGAAGCTATCTCCTATGTACAAAGGCGACTTGCCACCTGGGCAAACCGAGCAACCTCGGCCAATGGGCAGAACTTTGACTCGAGTCGCCAGGCAAGGTTTTAGGCTGACTTTAGGTTGCGCAAACTGCTGCTGTACATAGTACAGTGTACATAGGTAGTAGACTCTGGTGACATTTGAGAAAGGAGGTTCAAAAAGGGTCAGCGTCAGCTTGGTCCCGACCCTGAGCCTCGGATGCTGCCTACCCCTCCTCCGTACACACAATACTCGCCCGAACCCTATCATAATCTTCGCATCAACTTACCAATACAGCTGTGTCGCCCACTGTGTAGCTTTGGGCATGCATTAGTCTTTGCGCCCAAGAGTCGTTGTTTGGCCAGCCTGTGTGCACCAAAGTGAGACTTGTTGCCATAGTCCTTTGGAATAGCAGACCTGTTCTACGTCACATGACATGACTTACTACGTTACAGCAGCAGCCCCTGAGGCAAGACGCACCTGAGGATGGAACTTTTTCCGACATTGGATCCGGACACAGTCTATAGGGCTTTATTGGCTTGCATACAGTCCATAAGCCATGATTACCAGCCAAGTGCATAAAGTCGCGCGTTTGTGTACGACGATGAGTCCACGCGCGGGGTACGGTACCTCGTGAGAGACGTCCCTTTCCGCATTCTTGATGAGTCATCTCAACCGCGCTTGATAGCAGGTAGAGCATCCATGAAGGATGCAACGACTTCAAAATGGTGGCTCAACATTCTGGCATCGCTTCACTCCATCCCACTATGTCCTCTTCTGCGTCTCAACTGGACTTCGTGACAATCGACGTCTTTACGAACCAACCATATGAGGGAAATCCTTTGGCTGTCGTACGCATTCCACATGGGCGAACTGTGAGCCAAGAACAAAAGCAAACAATAGCTAGGGAGTTCAATCTCTCTGAGACTACCTTCCTGCATGAGAGGGACGAGGCTGTGCAAGAAGATGTATGGGCCGTTGATATCTTCATGACGACGCGAGAGTTGCCTTTCGCTGGACATCCAACCGTGGGAACGGCTTGCTACATCTTAGGGAGAGTGACGCAAGAGCGTGGCATTCAGACTGGTGTAGTCGAAGCGGAATTCAAATTGAAGGCGGGTCCAGTCGGGCTGAAGTATGACGTTGCGAAAGGGACAGCGAAAGCTTCCATTCCACATGATGTGTGAGCTTTTGAAGGTTTCCTACAGGTGGACACTCAGCTAATGAGTGTAGACATATTCATAATAGAAGTTACCGACGTGAGGAGATCTTTGAGCTGCAGCCCCAACTAGCAGTCGCACAACAGCAGAATCAAATTCACGTCAAGGAGGACCATGCTATAGTATCCATTGTCAAAGGCATGACATTCATTTTAATCGAGCTCGAGAGCATGCATGCGCTGGAAATGGTGTCCTTGACCGGTCGGAGTGTTGTTGTCGATGGGTTAGACGAGAATTGGAAGGACACGTTTGTGGGCACGTACTTCTTTGTACGCACTGGCAAACGCGCAGAAGGAGTAAGTACGTTACGAACTAGAATGATTGAAGGGCAGCTCGAAGACCCTGCCACAGGAAGCGCGGCCAGCGGCCTGGCAGCATTCTTGTCTCTCACAGAAGGCAACGCCAATGAGGCACTCAAGTTCCACATCACACAAGGTGTCGAAATGGGAAGGCGAAGCGAGATCTTCATCGACGTTGAACTCGCTAGTGATAGGTCGATTTCCAAAGTGTATCTTGAAGGTGGAGCAGTCGCGGTGATGGAGGGTCGTTTACGCATCTGATAGTCGTTTAGATGGAGGGAGGGTACGGCTGGCACCTGAAGTGTGACCAGATGGTACAAGCAGTTCATAACCTAGTCTGCAAGGAAACGGTGTCTTCTTCTCTACCTGCTTCTGTGTCAAGTCTAGGTTCGATTTGCACTGTGGTAGGAAGTGTGTCGAATGCAGTGATGATCACAGCCAAGGATATCCGCACACAAGCCCGTGTGAATACGATCTCAAAGCGGCTCAGATACAGCCGGTGAAATGTGGGTCCTGAGATATCAGGCTGTTCTTGGTACCGAGAGGTTGAAATGGATAGCTGAAACGCGTGACAGCTTTTGACAAGGCATGTTTCAGCCATCAGAAGTCGAAGGGCTGGTGGTTAGTATGGTAATGGTCCTTCTGGGTGCGGTAGATCCTATTGTGATCGTTTTAACTCTGGATAAACGGATATGGCAACGATTTTGCTTGGTATTCGGAGTGTCGGCAAATGCTTTACCTGACAGAGAATTAGGAAAAGGTTCTGAGGCAAAGTGGCCATGTACAGTAACCGTAGGATGCCACACTCGATTCAGGAGATGGCTTGCCTTGAGCAAGTGACGAATCTAGTCCAGGTCTTCCTAAGGATTGTCAGCAAAGCAGTCTCGATGCTAGGAGGTATTGTCGTGAGATGGAACAGAGCTCCAAGACCAGAATGAACAGAAATCGTATGTTTTTTGGGGAGTCAAGGTTAACAGACGAAAAACCAACAGACGGGGATGCGTTATGAACAAGTCGCGAGGAGTTCTGCCACCGCCTCAGGAATTGCCAAGGTATCAGTGATTTGATTGGATATTTTACTTCAATAAGGAACAAACTATCCTTGAGACTAACTCGGCCTGGAAATTCAATCAGTAACCGAAGGTTGTGGATGTATATGGGAAGGCCGCTAAGATGGCCGTTGCGTGCAGATCAATCACTACGCCACTCGTGCAGCAGGTGTTTTCAGAGATCAGAAGGCCACAAATATTTCTGCCACGCCTTCGGTTGCCGATATCCGCATGGTAAGGCATCATAGTAGTTTGACTTCACCATCCTCGAAATTTGTCAGTGTTGGCAGGCCCTAGGTTGAAGATAGCGCTAAGGACGTAGGATCGTCCCAGACAGGGCTAGCGTGAACGCTTTCTGGCACTCCGTGACGCTATGTGCATGAGCCAATCCACACCTCACACATCAACGGTTTCCAGCACCTCATTCTCAGTGCCTGGCACATTCTCTACCCGTACAGGATGCAATAAGGATACGAGTGGATGCTGTGGCGCCTGATGATGCCCGCGCACCGTGCGCCTACTGAGGCATCTCGCTTTTGTGGGTTTGAGACGTTTATGCCTTCATCGTGGGTTTCATGCCCGAGGAAGCACAAGCCGCCTCGCATGGCCAAAGTCCATCATCTAAGTCGCCAAGGACTTAAAGACTATGCTCCTCCTCACAAGTTTTTGGCCTCGTACCATCATCTGTCGGTTGGAACTTCAGCACTTCAGGTTTGTCAATTGAGGGTTACGTTCCTTTCTTCCTTCCTTCCTCTAATATTCCAGATCACGTTGAACGTATCTGCGTTTTTTTGCCTAATCTCCCGCTAGTCGGATTTCACTCTTTTGTTTAAGGTCTTACTTTCTACCCGTACCACCCTCATCATGCGCTACTCTACCGTCTTATCTCTGCTTCTCGCAGCCGGAGTTGCTAACGCCCAGTTCGGCGGTCAGGGTGGCTTCGGTCAAGGTGGCTTCGGTCAAGGAGGGCAGAATGGCCAGGGTGGACAAAATGGTCAGGGTGGACAGAATGGTCAGAATGGTCAGGGCGGTCAGAATGGTCAGAATGGCCAGAACGGTCAGAACGGCCAGAACGGTCAGAACGGCCAGAACGGTGGCAACAACAACAATGGTCAGAACGGTCAGAACGGCGGCGATAATAACAACAACAACAACAATAACAACAACAACAACAATAACGCGTTGCAGCTCGACCCAGACAATGTTCAGACTGCCAGCCAGGTTGATGGTTTTGACGGTGGTGAGGAGGAGGGACAAGCCAGATCCGCCACGTAAGTCTATACGGATCTTTGGAGAACGTACCATACTAATTCCGCAGTGATGAGGCCAACTTCATCAACTTTTGCTCGGGCAAGACGCTTACCAATGGTCTCCAAACTGCAACTGGCTCGTGTAACGGAATCGGTATGTGATACTTCGTAACTCGAATAGAGTCGATACTAATGTCATTCAGTGATGGGTGATATTCCCGCGTCAAACCAGATGATCTCGGTCGTTTTCCTAAGCCCCCAGGATGGTCAGGACGTCGAAGAGAATGCAGCTATTACCTTCTCTGTCAAGATCGATAATTTGCAAGCCGGAACATTCACCAACCCCGACAACACGTACTACGCTGCGCCTCAGAGTCTTGAGGGGGGTCAGGTTGTTGGCCATACTCACATCTCCGTTCAGGACCTCAACAACCAAAGAAACCCCACCGAACCACCTGACGCTGAGACATTTGCATTCTTCAAGGGCATCAATGATGCTGGTGATGGTCAAGGTACCCTTTCGGCTCAACTTGATGCGGGTCTTCCCGCGGGCCAGTACCGTGCTTGCTCCATCACTTCTGCAGCCAATCATCAACCGGTGATCATGCCCATCGCTCAACGTGGTCCCCAGGATGACTGCATTCGTTTCACAGTCGGGCAAGGTAACGGTGCTGATGGCGGCAACAATAACAACGACAACAACAACGGCGACAACAACAATAACAACAACGGTCAGAACAACGGTCAAAATGGTCAGAACAATGGCCAGAACGGTCAGAACAATGGCCAGAACGGTCAGAACAATGGCCAGAACGGTCAGGGACAGCAAGGTCAGGGACAACAAGGCCAGCAAGGCCAGGGCCAAGGCGGCTTTGGAGGCCAAGGTCAGGGTGGTTTTGGTCAGGGAGGTTTCGGCGCTGGAGGCGCTGGACGTTTCGGCCGTCCCAAGTTTGCCGCCCGCGCGTTCATTGCTTAAACATGGACAATGTTAATCTGGTGTGGCAGTAGCATGAGCATGCGACATCACAGGGGTTTGGAATGAGTACGAACGGTAATGAGATGCATTTCTTGAAATAACACTATCTTGAATAACACTATCTCGTATAGGCAAACATAGATTATACTTCTGGCCCTTGAGGGGTACCGAAGGTCACTCTACGGAGGATGAAGCGGTAGCGCTTCGTAGGACGGGTTCTGAGAGTGCTATTTTATTCATCGGCGCTTTTATTATTTTGATGAAACGTAAACACTACCTATATACTATTTCTTTAGAGAAAGAAAAATCGTATTCAGATCTTTCGTGCATCACATGGTGGGCATGGGCGGCGATCTTGGGATCGGTTGGCTATAACGAGTTCTGCATTGAATGCAATGAAACTAGCATGTCTCATAACACCAAATCTGTGTCTTTCATGCAGCACAACTGGTAACAGCAACATCTCTTGGCATTTATGCTTTCTCGTGCAGGAACAGCATGGCTTGCAGGAAATGCTGTAATTTCCCCTGTCCCGTGGGCACCCAGTTCCTGATATTGTGACAAATTGGGGAGATCTTGGCACAGCTGATACGTACATACCCTCCTACCTGACATGCAGAGCAAGAGTAGTGGAGCATTATTTCAATGACTGTTTTGTGCGACAACACAATCAGTGAACTTTGAAGAATGTACATTGGGTTCACCGGTGGTCAAATCGTTCATGTGACGATTGCCACCGAATTCTCAAATTGATTAGCCCCGACAGCGACCAAGCGCTTGTCATACTGCCCGGAAGACCGCTATACACAGTATATTAGAGATATTGTGAGATAGACTTTGATCGATCTTGACGGCACATCTGAATCGAGACGTTTCTGTGCCTCTTGATAACCTGTGTAATACACGGTAGTCGAGGCTAATAATTTCTGTTGAGATGGTGACCACGTGAATGTAACTGATGAATTCATGAATTCGGGAAGGTCTGTATGAAGGGAATCCCTCCTAACTAAATACAAGCGGGGGCTTGCTACATCAAATCTCATGTATATCCAGTAATTTCCAATTCGGAGTACAGTTCTTGCACACGCCCAACATGGTTCGGAACACCAGGGCTAGATAGCTGAAAAGCGATCTTGCAGGCAAAGAGGCCTAAGCCCAACATACTTGCGCACACAGCTCTGAAGCCTCTGCGGCTCCAAACTATAGATTAGTGTCCGATGCACAAGAGTCCGTCGCAGCGGCAGGGAGCCGGCAAGAGAGACGTTGATGTCATATTGCTCCGTTTGAGGAAACTACCATATACCACAAGAAGGCGTGCCGGCCTACTCAAGATTCTGCGAGATGTTATTGGGCATACGGTATTGTGTGTCACCCAGCCTCGCAACAAGTGGATTGTGCTACCCGTGATGATAAAGCCGCATTTGCCCACAGGGTAGCAGCACAATTAGGATTGCTATAGTTCCCTTGGTACTGATTGAGTTTACAATAAACCCTCGGAGAGTGCTATAAATGGATCATGGGCGGAGCACCTTCGCAAACCAAGTAGACCGAGACTTGGGTAGCCCAGGCGTTGAAGTCCTCAATAAGGCGGAGGGGACCCATGGCTTGTAACTGACGCAAAAGTCGGCGACTGGCAGGTGCAGTTGTAAATGACCGTGATTTTGAGATTTGCGGACGCGCTGTAGATTGGGGAGTATCTGAAGGTTTCGGCGCATCATGCTGAGCGAAGCAAGGATTGATGAAGTTACTGAAGCTGCTCTTTGGATATATATCGGTATGTCGGTTTTGGTAAGCGCTTGGTAAGGATGGGACTACGCGCCGGTCGCCACTGTAAATGTGTGCCAAGGAAAACCACATTGCTAATCTTCGGTGACATGAAGTCTATCTAGAGGAAATGGACTTGGTGGTTTCTTCTTTAGAATGAAGCCAAATGTCGTCGTTCACGTCATCGTTTACCATGCACCTATTCACCTCGCTAGAGTGATCCTGTTGTTTTGGCAGAAGCCATGCGCTGAGCTACCAGGCTGAAGACGGCAATTGACGACATGAAAATGGCGAGATTATAGAACTGTAGCAGTCAACAATTGTGTACAGGTCTGAATAGCACCTTAGGTACCTTACAGCATTTCTTGAATATGCGCTCTCTTCCGCGTCAGAGCGCGCTTCGACGAAAAGACGCCGCAGATTTGGGAGGTTCGATGGCTACTTCTGAGTCAGTAGGTATCTAATGGAGGCACTCTAACATTTGGCTCACCATGAGAGGGAATCTCGTGATTCTGTGTAGTGAATCGCCCGCGTGCCTGAGCATGAGATGCAGAGGACGTTCGGTAAAGGCGACATGTGCACGGACCACTCAGGGTCCAGTGGCAGTCGCCTTTCGGTGAAGCTGCACGAATATCAACGTTTCCTCCAGTAAGCATTCACTGTACTTTCGCGTCAAAGATCATACGAAAGCCAACTCTTCCTTAATACTTGTTCTCAGTAGAGACGCCATCACGCGTGCAAAGGTTGGGCCGCCCGGACGCCTACGAAGTTCAACGTTACCGTCGGTACAGGGAGGGGTGTCGTTGAGGCACTGGCCTCCGCCTTTCAAACACCAAGATGGCTGTCAACAGAATACGGGGCGCTTTTGCGCCTCCGAGGAAAGGCGAAACATTTGAATTGAGGGCCGGTCTGGTGTACGAACCGCCCCAGGAATCAGTATAGCTGTGTATGGCTAACAAGTGCTGTAGCTCGCAATATGCCTATGAACGGTGAGCGCATAACTCGACCTGTAACTCAGAATGGTACACTAAGACCATTCTAGAAAAGAAGCCATTCAGAAAACTATCATGTCCATGACGCTTGGGAAAGACGTTTCTGCATTGTTTCCGGACGTCTTGAAGAACATTGCAACAGCAGACTTGGACCAGAAGAAGCTGGTGTATCTATATCTCATGTACGTCCTCCTGGAGACAAGCTCGGATCGGTGAGGCTGACTATATTCAGGAACTATGCCAAATCGCATCCCGACCTTTGTATTCTCGCTGTAAATACATTCGTACAAGACTCCGAGGATCCAAATCCTCTTATCCGAGCATTAGCAATACGAACGATGGGCTGTATTCGGGTAGAAAAAATGGTCGATTACATGGAGGAACCACTGCGAAAGACACTACGAGACGAATCGCCCTATGTTCGAAAAACAGCAGCACTTTGCGTGGCTAAACTCTTCGATTTGGCGCCTACGATGGCTATGGAGAACGGCTTCTTGGAACAACTACAAGAACTGGTTGGTGATCCGAATCCAATGGTAGTTGCGAACTCCGTCACTGCATTGGTGGAGATCCAGGAAACGGCGCCAGAGACAAAGGCACTCGTCATCACCTCGACAACACTCAAGAAGATGCTTTTGGCACTCAACGAATGTACCGAATGGGGACGAGTGACGCTCCTGACCACATTGGCAGACTACAAGGCAGTCGATGTCAAGGAAGCAGAGCACATCTGCGAGCGAGTTGTTCCGCAGTTCCAGCACGTCAATCCCAGTGTTGTGTTGGCTGCAGTCAAAGTGGTATTTCTGCACATGAGACACATCTCACCGGAAATGAATAAGTCTTATGCTAAGAAAATGGCACCACCACTGGGTATGATCCCTTGTTTGCGAGTGCTTCCTTTTACTAACTTCTCGCAGTCACACTTGTCTCATCTGCGCCAGAGGTACAGTACGTTGCGCTCCGAAACATCGATCTCCTCCTCCAAAAACAATCCGATATTCTCAGCAAAGAGATGCGAGTATTCTTCTGCAAATACAATGACCCGCCGTACCTCAAGATGCAAAAGCTAGAAATCATGGTTCGGATAGCAAACGACAAGAATGTGGACCAGCTGCTTGCTGAGTTGAAAGAGTACGCTATGGAGGTGGACATGGACTTTGTGAGAAGAGCTGTGAAGGCGATCGGGCAAGTTGCCATCAAGATTGAGAGTGCGAGCGAAAAGTGCGTGAACACACTTCTTGATCTTATCAACACCAAGGTCAATTACGTCGTTCAGGAGGCGATCGTAGTTATCAAGGACATTTTCCGGAAATACCCAGGCTACGAAGGAATAATACCGACCCTGTGCCAGTGCATAGACGAGTTGGACGAGCCAAATGCGAGAGCGTCGCTAATCTGGATTGTGGGAGAATATGCAGAGAAGATCAACAATGCTGGAGAAATCTTGTCGAACTTCGTTGACACATTCGCGGAAGAGTTCACACAGGTAATTTATTCGCATGTCTCATTTCTGTCACAACCAAATACTAACAGTCCTTAGACGCAACTTCAGATCCTTACGGCAGTTGTCAAGCTGTTCCTGAAGAAGCCTGATCAGGCTCAAGGCCTGGTAACCAAAGTCTTGCAAGCCGCAACTGCTGATAACGATAATCCCGACATTCGAGATCGAGCTTATGTATACTGGCGATTACTCTCCAGCGACCCTCAAATAGCCAAGGCAAGTTTACTAAGCGCATCATATCCTAGGCACAAACTGACTTGACCATAGGACATCGTGCTCTCAGACAAGCCTCCCATTACGTCAACAATCCGATCATTACCGCCTCAGCTACTCGACACACTGCTCACAGAACTGTCTACCCTCGCGTCCGTCTACCACAAGCCCCCAGAGGCCTTCCTCGGACAAGGTCGTTTCGGCGCCGAAGCCATGCAACGCGCTGCCATCGAAGAACAACAAGAAGAGGCTAGAGAAAACCCCATTGCTGCCGCCGCAGCCGCCGCAGCCGCCAGCGGCCAAGCGCCCACCAATCTGGAAAACCTCCTGGACATTGACTTTGACGGCTCTGCGCCCGCTTCCATGCAAAAGCCACCACACGCGGGAGACACCGGCCTCGAAGGTCTCGCGGGCACCCCGCAGCGTGTTGCCTCGCCCGGTGCACCCGCACAGTCGCAGTCCAACATGGATGACTTGCTCGGCCTGTTTGGCGATGGGGGCGGTGCAGCACCGCCGCCTGCGGGTGCGAGCCTGACCAATGCTGACATCATGAATGGGTTTGCGAGTCTGAGCGTGCAGGACAGCCAGCCTCCGCCTGCGAGCCAGCAGGTAGGCGGTGAGGCAAGCAAGAAGAGCAATCAAGATCTGCTCGATTTATTTTAGAAACATGGTAGCTAGTCTAAATCGAATTGTAGTCTTGAGGGAAAACGAAGCAATCTTCATGTGGACAGGGGTGGGGAGAAGGAAATCAATGTTAGCGTCATCGATAGAGATACAAAGAGTAAAAAGACAAAGGTGGCAACACACGTCAATCACAAGGAGCGGCATCATGTGCTTTCTCAACAGCGGTCTGAGTGGGGTTGCAAATGTCTATATCATTTTCACTCTTTTTATTCTCGTTGATGAAATCGCAGTGTCCTAGCTACCACACACGCACCCACCCATCATTGCCTGCTAATTCCAGCGGAGCGCCATGCCAAGTGAATGCCGATACTGTATACTGGGTTCCTGCAACGCTAGATTCGGGGAAAGGAGGAGGACGGTGGGGTTGTTAGACTGTGCTACAGAGACCAATACACGCTGTACATTTTAGTTTCATCATGTCAACTTGGTGCGGTACCGTGGACTGCGGCAAAACCTTAGATTCATATGTCATGTCGGTGCCATGAACCCAGCATGCCAGGCCCTTGAAGCTCGAAAACGCATGCGGCGCACACGCCGTGTGATGAAGAATTGTGTTTGTATGTATAGCTAGCTTGTCTAGGTAAGGGAAACATTGAATTCCCAATTCTCTGTACGTTTGTTAGTGCGTGTTGGTAGAGAGGGAAGAAGAAGCATAGACCGCTATTTGTCATGCATGAATGATAATAGCACGTACCTGATTTCAAATTCTCCGCCGTATCATTCAGTAGGATGATGCGCCGTTTTGTGCAATATGACGTCCTGTCCAGCATATCGACCTTGAGGTCTTTCAGCTGGTCAATCGGCTTCTCAAACATTTCGCTAAGGTTCTCGACAGCCATTTCCAGATCCTTCTGATTGTCCTCGAAGATTTCGGTCAGATTGTTGCGTGCGAGGTAATAGGCAAAGGCGTATGTCCATTTGAGGACCTGCCGACATTGTTGTAGTGCTTGGGATGCCTGGTCTAGGAACTGCACTTCGATCCAAGACATGCCTATGTGATACTTGTTAGCACTGTGCCCACGAGTGTTTGTCCTTGTGATGATTGTGGTGCTTCAAGCAACGACGTGAACGGCTCTGCTCTAGACTTACCACTTGAGTTTTGCAGCTGCTGCATTTTCTTCTCCGTCTTGAGGTAAATATCCTTGTCCAACTTGGCGGACTGCTCGTGGTTTGCATATCGATTGTAATAATGTAGATAGCGTTCGAGCGACTGTCGCGACTTTGCCTGGGCATCCCTGGCGTCCGAGCCACTCTTCTCTTCGAACCGATTACAGTTGTACCAGCTGGTGCCATGTTCGGACCATACGCCCATACACATCCAACAAAACTCATTACGACACTTCCGGCATGTCATGTGGTTACAGCCTCCGTTCTTCTCGATTGTCGAATTACATTTGGGGCATTCTTTCGTATTAGCAGATATCCAATTCGCTGTCTCCGAGTCGTCCTCGCATTTCTTCAGCCACCGTTTTACGAGCGAGCACGGCGCGGGCTGGTGGTTGTTCAGTGTACACCCAAAACAGAAGTCGTGTCCGCACTCGCAATGCACCGTGGGCACGACCTTGGTGAGATCCTTGGTCTTTATTGGACATTCTACAGCGTATTTACAGTCGGGCGCCGGGCACCATTTGAGATTCTCTTTGTCGTCAACGTATGTTCGTGTAAGTAGGACGTGGTATCTGACACCGTTAGCAAGAGAAGGGATATAAAAATGAGCAAGGTCCAGAACATACCTGTCCTGAAGGTCGGCTGTGACTAGCAGATCCAGCGACTTGGAGTCGACAATGCGTGTGCAGCCTTCACCAGGACATCGTATCCTGGCTGCCTCTCCTTCGTCTTGAATCTTTGTTCCGAGATATTGCCTGTAGCAGTCGACACAGAAGCGATGCCCACACTTCATCGCAAACGTATCCATGTTGGGTGTATCGTCGCAACAGATGTCACATACAAAGCCGGGCATCTTCTGGAGCCTTGGAGGATTCGTTGCCGAGTCCTGACCCAGCCCAGCGAGCTCCAGAACCTCCTCCGTCTTCTCCATATATTGGTCGATCAGCCGCTCCTTATTCCATCGTAGATGTCGAAGGAGAATAGCGGCGGCCTCCGGTGGCTGACCGAGTATGCTCGACACTTCTTCAATCTGCCTGTCTTGTTGTGCTTGTATTTGGATCGGATCGTAGACCTTGAATTCCACCTCGTAAGCTTGTCGTGTAGTCTTGATGTCCTTGTCCTGTGATTCGAAGCCAACGTCGTCTTGGTCCATGTCGAAGTCGGAATCTGTGGCAAAGTCAGTGCTGACAAGGACAACAAGCAGAAAGAGCTGACTTGCCTTCTTCAAGGCCCAAATCGCTGTCTTGGTCATCGAACTCGTTGCCGCTCATGGAGCTGTTGAAGTCATCGTCCGAATCCATCTTGCCCGCGTCTGTGTCTGGGGTTGCGGGCAGGTCGATGGTCGCCGTCTTTGAGAGATGCTTCTTCTGGGGAGGCTGTTCTGCAGTATTCAGGTGATGTGCTGCCTCGGAAGCCTTCCGCTTAAGCGTCATCCAGCATTCGGCGGCGAGTACGGGTGGGCAGCTGATGACGCAGTAAGGCCCAGGCTGGGGTGGGAGCAAGCAAACGTGCAGACGGCCTTGGGCGGGTGTGCTGAGAAGCACGCGGGCAGTCTTGGGGAATACAGACAGGCAGTACAGGCAGACAGCAAGCAGAGGGATGAGGGGGGCGAATCAGTCGGGGGTTTTGGGTCAGCGTATGGAGACACCGAGAGTCACAAGCGTCGCGTTGAACAGGGTGGGCGAATGCAGAGGGGTGCTGGTCCATGTGAGCATGGGGGGGGGGGGTTGAAGGGCAACACACCTAGGCCCGGATCGGCTAGTGGTTCCGGAGCGCGAAAGGCAGGAGCAGCCGTACTATCTAGTCTAGGCGTACTCTAGGTAGGTGATTGCATGCATGGATGCATCAGAGATTCTTCTCGTCCATATTGGAAGTGAGCCGTTCAGTTACCGTGTCAATTCACAGACTTCACCTACTGAATACTTCAAACACACCCAGGGCTTCACTATTCGCAAACCACCGATCGCACTTGTGTCACATGATTCCAGCTAGCAGACTACGAGTAGGAACCTAAAGGCGTTGCCGACAAGCTCGTGCATGTTAGTCAGTTGATACTAATCCGACTCTTCTTCCTCGCTCTCCTCGTCCTCATCTTCGTCCTCCTCACTATCTTGCTGCAGGAACTCAATCAACGACCTCGTCTTTTCTCGCACCTTCTCCATCTCCTCGTTCTCCCTGCTCTTCTCATCCTCCCACCACTGAATCATACCCTCTTCTTCGACGCAGTCCAGCTCCACCAGCTTTGTTGCAGCACTTAGCAGGATCGTGTCCCCATTCTCCTTATGACCCAGATCTGCTTGAAGGAGGAGCATAAAGTCGACCTGATCGGCCTTCTCGGATGCATTCTTGTCGAATATCGACCGGTCAATGAGTTCCTTGTGTTGCCCAAAGACTTGCGCGACTGCTTGTTTGACTGCTGATCCAGACTTGATGAGTTGTATGATGCGTTTCACAAAAGACGTCACCACGGCACGACGAACTTGGTGATCTGATGCGTTGGTGCTCATGCGCAGTGCTGTGAGCTCCAGCTGGATGTTCGCAGACTCGTGACCCTCAACAAGCGAATCGTATATGCTCGCCGAGGCATCGTGGTCAAAGTTGGCCGCGTGCTGGCTGTCTGCGGATCCAACAGATAAGAAGCTGCTGGTCGCTGATCTGTCGTGCCTTATTTCGAAGCCATCAGCTTCCGGTTCAGAGTTCAATGTCGATATCGAATCGTTGGAGAGATTGTAGACTGGTTTGGTCAGCTGCTGTAGCATTACTTGGTTGGCTTTTGGCTTACTCTGCCCACGCGAGACAAGACCGTCAACCAGTTCGTCCTCATCTTCCTCTTCGGAGTCCTGAAATTCGAACCCGCTGCCTGTTGGTCCTACTATGGCAGGGTCTGCGTCTCCTCTTATGAGCTCTCCATCGCGATCCCGTCCCCGTTTTGTTCTTGTGATTCGGTGTTCTCCTTGGATGGTCATGCCCTCGCTGATGCCAACCCCATACGAGATCAACGCGCCAGCCTCCACTGTACACTTGCGTCCTATGGTAGCTTCATTCGCGATGACTGATTTTGATATTATGCTCCCATCGCCTATGCTAGCATTGTCCCATAGGTATGCACCATCGATCCTCACGTTTCGGCCGATTTGGCAGTGTCGGCCAATGATGCTGTTGGTAATAACAGTCTGTGAGCCAACACTGGTGCCTCGTCCTATGACAGTCTTCGAACCAATAACGCAGTCTCGTGCTAGTATGACGCCCTCTTCCTTGTAGATGTTGCCTTTCTGTAACCGATATGACTGGCCCTGGACTAAATTGCTGTCAGGACATAGTGGATATGCCCAACGCGACACAATATCTTTGCTCACAGCGTCGTACGCGTGTAGATTTCGAACACGTGCTGCGTAGTGATTGGCGACGATATGGGTGTGAAAGGTCTTGCCGTTGAGTTCGTAATCCTTCAATACACTGTGTAGAAACCCTTTCCGTGGTGCCTGGAAGTCGAAGTTATCGCTCCATAGTGCCAGGACTTCTGGTGTGCAAATGTCGATGCCGCAGTCGATCAAGTCCTGTCGTACTTCGAGCTCGTCGTGCAAACACAGTAGCTCGGGATCGATGGAGAGGTAGTGCGTTTGATCTCGGTTGGGCATTTGTTCAAAGTGCAGACACCTGTCTTTGGTCGGGTCAATGACGAACACCGGTGAGGTACCTCGGGCCTTTGTCCTATGCGTATTTCCAGCCTCACGCAGTACCATGGTCATGATGGCATTTTTGTCCTTTGCCCTCCGCGCCCTGTGCGCAGCCAAAGCAGATTCCAACGGCAGGTTGCTGACTACGTCTCCGTAGACCAAGAGAAAGTCGCCGACCAGTAAGCTCCTGCTGTCCAAATCTCGCATAGCGTCACCGATTGAATGTGATGTCGACTGGATGAGCTCCAGCTTGGAGAAGGGCGAGGATTGTGCCGACCATTTCGAACGTGTAATGTACTCTTCGACCTGTTCTCTGTGTGCGCCGCAGTATACAAAGACTTCCTCGACGCCGGCGTTGGCGAGAAACTCGAAGGTGTATTCGATGAGCGGGGTATTTGCGAGGGGCAGCAAACACTAGAGAGCCGTCAGCAGGCGCCTCCTATAGGAGAGGCGTATGACTGACCCTCGGGCGCTCGAGGGTAAAGGGATTGAAGCGTGTCTCGAACGGGTCTGCGAGTATCTACAGCAGTTAGCCAATACGGTAAGTGAGCTGCAGGCGCGTGCATGGAGAAAACCTACTACAGCCTGCAGCGGCTCGTCGCGATCTTCCTCGCCGGATTTGCCCTTGTCCTGGCCCTTCTTCCCTTTCGGTGGCATGGTGACCAAGGCCTGTGTGTATTGTGCAAGTTAACAAAGGCAGTGTAGTGATGGTTCCAGATGTGTGTGCGTGGTGGGGTGGGACTGGACACTGGCGCGCTATCGGTACGGGACCGGCAGGCACGTAGTAGGTAGCAATATGAACTTCGAAATGCCAACGCTGACTCACAGGGCCTCGCTCTTTCAAGATATCGAGACCCAAACAATCGGGACTTACTCGCGTCGAAAGATGCCTCTAGTGGTGGGGGTGTGGCTCTGCGGGAAGGCCGCATGAAACTCCTTGTGTGCGCGTGCACGGCTTTCCTGGCCCGCCCACAGTGGTCTGGGCCTCGTGGACTTTCAGGGACAACATACCGGAAATGCTTATTGTGACCACAGTCCTCATGGCTGTCGCGTGTGGCCCCAGAAAGTCTGTTCACCTGTTGGCCCTGGATCCTCTAAGAAACTGAAATCACTTGGTTACGGCGACATGTCAAGAAAGCTTTCTGTTCACAAGTGTTTTGTCACTCATATGGTACCTATGTGCGGTACCGGTAAGAATGTTTGCACGGGCAAGCGAACATGCCATCCCAGGATGGAGAAACCGAATATATATTCTCCGAATGCTCCATGTAATCCGCTCCCAAGCTACCATAAGCCGAAGGAGAGTGCGGAAATGCTTCTGACCCCAGCCTCAATCTTCAAGCAGGGTACTGTCCCACTTCTTTTTCCGAAATCTTGCGCTGCTCACACGATCAAACGATGGAAAGAAAAAAACACCTTTCAACACCCAGAGACCAAGATGTCCCTTATATTCTCGGGAATTTTCGTGTCCTTTTACCTTCAACGTGCTATACTCCAGCGGGCACTATGTACAGCAGGCACGACTCGGCGCTGTAGGCGCACCGACCCAGGTTGCGGAAGCGGTCCTTCGAGCTCCAGCTTCCAGCCAGTGACTTCTGTTGGAAAGTCAAGCTGAGTTTGAATGGCTGGCTTTGACTATTGCCTGCGCCACCGTTGTGACGGGCAGTCTCACCATTCGTTGCGTTATCTTGGACGCGGTTGCATCTGATTCATCTGCGTGGGTATTTGTGGCGCATACATTTGTTGTCGCTTTGCCGGATTATTTAAATCGTCTCCTCCCGAGATGTCAGATATTTGCCTTCTATGATTGGGAGGTAGTTGCTGTTGATGTTGCTGTTGCTGCTGGTGCTGTTGTTGTTGTTGTTGTTGTTGTTGTTGTTGTTGTTGTTGTTGCTGCTGCTGCTGCTGCTGCTGTTGTTGTTGTTGCTGCCGGGCTTGTATCTGCATCTGTGGCGAACTATTGTATCCTACAGACCCTTGCAAAGAGTTTACACCGTAAGCCCCGGGATGCTGTACCGACTGGCCTTGCATAGCCTGCGCATACTCGTCCGAGACGTTATTACCGACGGGTGAGACACCAGGTAACTGATTAGGGGAATTCCAATTGCTCACAGTCGCTGGGGACTTTGCAGGCGAATCCTCCTCTTTCAAGACCAACTGACGAGCAATCTGTACGGGTTGGGGCGCCGCCATTCCCTCGGATTGCGCCATTGGCTTCTTCAAATGAACAAGATGCTTCTCAAGCATGTGCAAGAGACCTTCCTTCGTGAATGGCTTTGGAAGCACATCGTTCATGCCTAGAGGAGTAAGCACACGGTCAACTGCTGCACGACTGGCGACATACCATGCTGAAAGTACATAGAAATGTCATCACTCCTAATGTTGGAAGTCATGGCGACAATAGGGGTTGTGTCAAATTGGCGAATAAGGTGGCATGCTGAGACACCATCAAGATTTGGCATGATGATATCCATCAAGACGAGATCGTACTTGTGCCCAGAGTTCATCTTGTTGACAGCCTCCAGGCCGTCAAGCTATGGCATTGTCAGCGCGAGCTTGCAAAGAATGTTCAGGGACACTTACAGCGCTGTCGATAGAGCAGTGAAATGCGTACAGGAACTTGCTTCCGATCCGTCGACACGTAGGATCATCTTCGACTAGTAATATCTGAGGAGGACGGATCCATCCAGGGTCGGGAATAGTGCTCTTCTTCCTTCCTTCTTGGAACTTTGGCTCGGCCACGTCTACAGCCTTCGGTGGTGCAGCGTACGGGATATTGTTGATATGCTCACTGTACATGGGATCAATACCGTTCGAAGAGCCAACAGGGTAAACGAGATTGTCGAGATTCTCCAGACGCATCGAGCCCACAGAACTGGCCGATGGTGGCCCACGACTCGTTGGACGGACTGCGGCCCGCGCAAAGTCCGGTGGTGGTGTGGTCAAGGTCCCGTTCATCCTCATTGTGATTTCATTCATGTGCTCCAAGTTTCGAGGATTTAGCATTGCATCGGCGTTGGTTTCGCTGAGAAGCTTCGAAGCGTGCTGCAGAGGGGATGCCGGATTGTCATCAGCTGATGCTTGATTCGGCGCATCCACGCCGCCATTCTGTGGGAGCGCCCCGTTCTGGAAAACGAGTTTGCTGTTCCGTCTTTGTGTGGCATCTACACCATGCAGAAACGTCATGATCTGTTGCATTACATGTTCGTGGTTCACAACCGTCTTTTGCAGGCCAATGACTTCTTGTAATAGCATCGAGTGATGGATGCTGAGTTCGCTGTACCGTCCCTCAAGCGCGTGCAGTTGCGCCTGTGTGGCCATCAACTGACCACTGACCATGTCCATCTGTTGCGAGGGAATCAGCATGTCGTCCGCGGTGGACTGGTTAGGTTTGCGGGGCGCGGGCGCCTTTCTCCTGATGTTGTCCAGCGCATCTTTGTTGTTCATCTTGAAGTCGGGATGCTTAAATTCCCAAGCCTGCGGTCCCGTCAGCATGCGCCCTAGCGGCAGAGATCGTGGCGCTGCGCCCGACGATAGCACTGTTAAGACGTACTCCAGGCCCATATGGCGACTGTCCATTGTCCTCATTATTGTGTCGGACCTTGTGGAAATCGTACTTGTTCAGTTGGCGGACGAAGCTGGCAAAGTTGCTGTGCTTGAAATGTTTGGGTAGGATGTGTTTTGTGAATTTCTCGTTCTATGCGTATGTTAGCAGGGTGATTGGGGTTGGGGTCGCGCAAGAAGGATTGGGGGATGGGGGAGAGGGGAGGGGAGGGGGGAGGGCCCTACTTCTAGTACGACAAAACTATCGCCATCATTTCCCCATCGCACAACGCTTTCGTCGCTTGGACTCTCCAACATCCTGTGTCGCACATTAGCATCAGCAACGGGATTCGTCATGAAGCTCAGTGTCCACCTACTTGTACAACTTGCGCACCTGGATGAATGTTAATTTGAGAGCTTGCATGGATGCGGCCGTGAACGTACAAAATCGCTCGAGTTGCTCGACCCGGCACCCCCGGACTGGTTGGTCTCCATGGTGACTGTGGACGAGATCAATGAGTTGACCGGGTAGACTTGATGGTAGCTGCAGTGACTACGCGCGACAAATGACAGGTGCTGCGCAGGTCCCAAATCGGATGCGAATGGAGGTCAACGACGACGCCCACTTTGCGACAGCCACCACAACCACAATCGCAACCGCAACCGCAACCGCAAGCACAAGCACAGACTCGACCGGTTGGAAGACGGCAGCGAGAAGCAGAGCCAGCGATGGCGCAGGACTCAGGCTAGGATTCAGGCTCCCCGATGGATGCGCTTGGGGGCTCTCTGGGCCGAGGCGATCGAAACGGGGTGGGTGATGACGAAATCAGCGAACATGGGCGTGCCTGAGTGCAGGCGGGCGAGATGCAGTGGACGAGATCTGGGCCTTTGGGTTTAAAAGACAAGGAGACATGGGCTCGAGGCACTGAGCGGGCGCTTTGAGTCTAAGAAGGCCCTAAAGCAGGTTAACACGAGCTTGAGAGGAATGCACGTAGATGTCTGCGCTAGGATCAAGCCAAGCGGACGCGCTGCCGGGGGATGTCGAGGCACCCAGTTCTCTGCAGGGTGAGGGAAGCGAGGTGCACAGTGCATGTAAATGATGGCGGCCCGAGTGTTGTAGTTACAGCAAGTATGTGTGTGTGTGTGTGTGTGTGTGTGTGTACTGTACCTAGTAGAGTTAGGTTGTACGTGTGGATATGTATGTACATGTACAGTATGTATGTGTACGTTGTGAGTTGTGAGTTGTGAGTTGTATGTTTGTATGTTTGCATGTGTGCATGTGTACATATATGTGCAAGAGACACACTGACGAACAGCGTATGATAACTAATTACAGGAGTCTACCGTGTGCAGGACGGTGTATGGCGCCGAAGGTACAACATGGCTCACTCCCCTCATTACCGTATGCGCTGATTGCGCAGTTTCCCCTCGGCCGCCGCCGCCGCTCCCAAGCTCGCCGGTGCCTTGAGAAGGGGGAAGGCTGCGGTGCTTTGTGCTTTGAGACCCGGTAGAGAAAGAGACAGGCAGAGAGAGAGAGAGAGAGAGAGAGAGAGAGAGAGAGAGAGAGAGAGAGAGAGAGAGAGAGAGAGAGAGAGAGAGAGAGAGAGAGAGAGAGAGAGATAGAGAGAGAGAGACAAGAGACAACGCTGCCCGCTGCCCCGGGGGAGCGCCATTGACGACTTTTTCGGGGGCCCTGGTCGGCCAGCTGGGGAGGCGATCGGCAGCCCGCAGATACAACCGTCCGAATGATGGCAGGCTAGAACACGACGAGTGGACCGCCCTCATTACCTGCAATATCTATTCTGCCGCAGCCACGACATGCCAACTGAGTGCAGATAGGACCTACAAGTAGTACTCTAGTCAAAGCACCCTCCTCTAGCCATCACAGTGGCCCTGAGCGCGCGCCACCTGTTGATGCATTTTCTTTTTTGCATCGCCTCACCACGGCAGCAGCAGAAGTGGGAGAGAAAGACTCGAGAGTTAGTTGCAGACTGCCAGAACACCGTCCACGCCGGGGCTGCTCTTGCCGAAAGTGAAACCGCGCGTGCCGTGTGAGAGGAAAGCAGCTCGGCCGGGCGTGTACCGGTACTGTAATGATCGGACACACTTGCCCTGTTGGAGTTGCCCCGGGTAAAATAACCTCTTCCCCGCTGCATCGAGCTCCAACCACCAGTGGCCTCCACCACCCACCAAAACGATGACCAACGTACCTTGACAGACAGACGGCATTGCCCATTCTACACACGACCCTACCAGCCAGGAAACATACCAACCAACCAACCCCATCATGAACATCATGTTTCCAGCCACCCGCCGCCTTTCTCTTCCTGCTCGCTCCATGCCAACTCGACGCCAATTCCATGCCTCGGCGCCCGCATTCGTCAGGGTGGGCGACAAGCTCCCAGACGCTGACCTGGTCGAGGGCTCACCTGGCAACAAAGTCAACCTTGCCAAAGAGCTAAGCAGCGGCAAAGGCATCGTCATTGGTAAACACGCAAGAACCACATGTCTTTTTGCACCTGCAAACACTAGGCTGACTACCGTACGCGACGTGTGAAGGTGTCCCCGCAGCCTTCAGTCCCTCTTGCAGCGAAAAACATATCCCCGGCTACATCGAGGCGAGCAAGCTCAAGGATGCCGGCAAGGTCTTCGTCGTCTCAGTCAACGATCCATTCGTGTGAGTCCTTTTTTCCATTTCGGCCTCAACTTGCTCTTCTACGCATCGGGCCTGAAACTGTCTCGGCAGACTGCATCTGCGTCTTCATCTGCGTTGTTGCGACCATGGCCGGCCACTGCAGTCTGAGACCTCGGAGTATTTTCGGTCCCTGTCGTCGATCTGTGTTTCACCAGCACCCTTTGTCCTGGTTCAGTAATTTTCTTTTTCCCACGGCTGACCAAAAGTAGCATGAAAGCGTGGGCCAAGTCACTCGATCCATCAGGTTCGAGCGGTGTGAGTTGTCTTGATGGGAGATCTGCCTGCCCCCCCCCCCCCTGGGGGTTTCTGAATTGGAAAACCTAACAAGACTGAATATATCAAAACCCCTTTTTCGGTGAACCCAACCCGGCGTTTACAAAAGGTCTTGATCTTGCCCTTTAAGGAACTTCCATCTTTGGAGGCCATCGTTCCAAGCGGTACGCCCTGAAGATAGAAAACGGTGCGGTCAAGGAAGCCCATGTTGAGCCTGACAATACTGGGTTGAACGGTTCGTCTCTTCATGGTCGCCCGACATGGGCAAACATAGGTGCCAGTTGCAAGATTCTGACCAGAAAATCTAGTTTCTGTGGCTGAAAAGGTTCTCTAATCACCTTGCCCTACGACTCTTGGGCCCCCGCATCTGGCCAATGCGGCTGTGTAGAGAAGAAGGGTTGTTCGAAGCGGATTGGGTGTACAGCCTACCAAGTAGACATTCGCCTAGTGTTGGTTACTCACAATGAGGTGGATCAATGTGGGTGTAGGCAAGGATTCATCTCAGGATTGACCTTTTCACTTGTGCCATGTCATCAAGAGTGCCACTGCCAATGCAGCACACCTTTCCGTCGACTCTCTTCTTCTCCAAAAGAATGGAAAGCCGCAATTCAAGTGCCACGACCGAAACGACCTACATGCCAAAAATAGTCATCAAACAGACTCATAGAATTGCCAACACATGTACAAATCATAGCTCCATCACAAAACACCTCCCATACAATAGCATGCACCTCATCCCATCCCAACAACCTTCTTCCCGCCCTCGCCACTCTTTAACAAATCAAGAACTTGCAAACGCACAAGACCCCAATTCCCTCTTCTCCACGGCCTGCTGCGGACTAATATCAAAGTCGAAAATATCCATGGGCAACCCCATTGTTGTACAAACATTTGGAACGTCCACGACGCTTGCTAAATGGCCCTGAACCGGGGCGCAGGACAGCAGGAGATAGATCTGATAATCGCTGTATCCTGTCAATAGCATTAGTCCCACTCTTCCTTGTAGCCCACAGGCTTGAGCGAAGGGTGTGGGGGGGTGGGGGTGAGACAGAAAGAAAAGAAAAGAAAAGAGCGAAGGAGATGAAAAATATGCAAGCAAGGGCAAAAAAGGAAAAAGGAAAGAAGAAAAGAAAATAAAATGCACGCACAAAAAAAAGCAACCAAGAGGAAGCAAGAGGAAAAAAAAAGGCCCACAAAACTCACCATAACGCCTCAAGTACTCAATCACCCTCAAACACGTCTGTCGATAGGCAATCGTCGCATCGAGGTAATGCTGCTTCCCTTGTTCGTCCACGGAGAAGCCTTCAAAGTAAATATACCGCCCCGGTCCAAACTGCGTCTCCACGGGCCCCGGTATGTAGATGGGTGACTTCATAGCCAACTGCTTCATCCCGTCTTTCATTACGCTGAACTTGATCGTGATGACGCCCGCCATTTCAATGGCGCCGCAAAAGGAAATCTCCCCGTCACCCTGGGAGAAGTGTAGGTCTCCTACGCTGAATTTCGCGCCGGGAACGTGGACGGGTAAAAAGACCTTGGAGCCGCGCGAGAGGTTCTATTATACCGAAAAATGTTAGTTTCTGTAAATTTGCCCAAACTCAAGAGTCTGTTTACTTTCCTTTATGTCTGCATTTCCGCCATGCTCAGGCCGTCCAGGAATGGTCCGTGCACCCTCTTTCCCAACCTTCTCCTTGAGTGAAGCGCTGGCGGAGCCTGCGTGTACGTTTTTGGGGTTGGGAGGCTCAGCAACGGTGCGGTTGAGGTGGGTGTGCGTGGAGATGAGCTCGCTCTCGCGCTTGTTCCATGTTTCGAGTATCTCAGCGGAAGGCGCGCAGCCTAGAATGCCGGGGTGGATGAGGCCTGCAAAACGGACGCCAGGGATGTGACGGCTGGAGCAGAAGATGCCTTCGAAGTCCCAAATGGCCTTTGCACTATGATGCATTGCGTCAGTAGCGAACATTTCTTAAGTAAAAGGGTGGGCAGAGTGCGAGAGGGAAGACATACGGCTTTGGATAGATTTCATCTAGGAATCCCCCACCATTCTCTTTGGCGAATATACCAGTGAACCCCCAGGGCTGGTGTTCGAGCGGCTGCACATCCTGAATCTCAACCACTAGTACATCACCGGGCTCTGCTGTCTCGATGTCAAAGGGTCCGGTAAGATAGTGGATCTTGGTTAGATCGACATCACGCACGTCGTCGGCGGAATCGTTATTCCCAATCTGACCGCCAGTCCAGTCTACGCACTCAATCTTGACGACCTCATTGTTTTTGATGGTGCCGTACGATGGAACATCGGGATGCCATCGATTCTACGCGTTGTAAGCTCACTGCCTGAGAGATGGGGAGGTTACGTGTATACGTGAAGGCACTCCTGCTCCGCAGCATCCTTGTCCAGTGACACTCTCGCAGCGTATCGAAGTCCCTCTTTACCCATATTGAGTGAAATAAAGGAGATTGTCAGACACGAAGAAGAAAAGAGTCGAGTACCCAATGTTTGGGGGAACGCAAAGGAGGGGTACGAGGTATGTTTTGATACTAGACGAAAAGGAATCACTTTCCAGCCTGTCAATTACGAGTTTTTAGTATATTCTTGTCGCCCGGAGAGCGGCAACAAGCCGTGGATAGCTACAGGGAGATAGATAAGCTCATGATACCACTCTTACGTTACGTATTGTCCGATGGAGCTCCAAGCTGCCTACTACATCTGGAGAACATGACCCCGCTGCGGGGTACACAGGGTGCAGACACCATCATCCTGCGACGCTAACAATTGAAATGGTTATCAGTCTGGTCGGCCAGCCCTGCAAGTGCCCAAGGTTTGTGGTTATATTCCAAGAGGGGTTCGCGTGGTTTAAGAATCCGGGTCCGCAATATCGTGCACGCGTAACGCTTCCTGATCAACGAGAGTCAATTTCTTGGCTCAACTGAAAGTCTTTCGTGGTGTCTGGCGAACATCTGATTGGAATGCTGGCTTGTGTCGCGCGATATTGTACTCGTCCATGTGCTGCCAAGGAAGACTCAAGAACTCGTGCTTGTTCTTCCAACGAATCGAGTCCGACTTGAACTTCTCTGCTTCGGTGGGTGGTGGCGGTGGTTCTGTAATCTTGGTGATAAGATATGCTGTAGACGCTTCTGCCAGACCATATATAAGTACACCCACCAGCGGGATCTTGACGAAGACGTAGAATCCGAGGCCGAAACCGAAAAGTACACCGGCTCGGTCCTTGAACCAAAGTTTCTTCTGGTCGCTGTTGTACCGTACGCGAGTGAAGTAAGGCTCCAGCTAGAAGACCAATTAGTTAAGCGCATGCTGCGTGTGGCTGAAATACAAGGCATGACTTACTAGGTCACGCATGAGTGTGCGCGAGGAAAAGTAAGCTTGCAAAAATGTGACTAAATATCTCCGTGGAAACAAGAGTGAGATTGCAAAGATTGCGGCGGCTGGCGGAGTTCCAACTGACTTTCTGAAGGTATAGAAACTGGCAGCAGGCAATACGAAGCGGCCGACATAGGGTACGTATGACAATGCGAATACGGCTAGCGAGATGGCTGCCTTTCTGCCCTGCTTCACTGCGTAGATGATAATAGCTTGCTTGAGCGGTGTTTTTCCCTTGTTATCTTCTGCAGCCCTAGGCGCATGGGCAGGGTATTGTTCGAGGTTCTGAGCGTACATGGCGCGGAGGTTCTGCGGATCTTCGGTTTGGTGCTTCTGCACATAGGTCGAATCGACCCAGCGGAGGGAGTCCATGAACCTGGCATAGCCTGTCAGATTGATCTCTGCGCAAAACAAATGAATACGGAAGACATACATTTGGTCCAATGTGGGAGTCATGTAGCGCATCATAGTCATGAGGAAGAAGGGGACCTGGAGCACAGTGTGCTCAATGAAGTGCAGGCCGTCTATGATGGAGTCGTCCCAGTGGGCGTGTTCCATGTTCACAAGCAGCGAGAGGGTCCATAGCAGCAATCGTACTGCGATGACCTGTAGCAAAGCTCAGTACTGCTCAAGGGTGTTCCGATCTGATAAAGTTGAAGATGTAGACGACATACAGGGACAGCCACGATGATGCGAATAGCAATACCCGCAGCTACGGCAATGGCAGCTTGGCGGTAGTGGCTTGAAGTGAAGAGGCCTGGATTTTGAACGGCACGGTTTACTGGGAGTGTCTGTTAGTGTGGTTTCTCTGCGTGTAGGCAGAGATGATGCGAGGATAGGTACCATGATGGGTATTGGGCACCACAACATACCACCAACCAATGTCAGTTGTGCTCCACGCAGGATGGCGTTGATGTCGAAATTGGACACATCAAAGTTGTCCATCTTCTTTGGCTGGGACAGACGGCTGTCAGGTGTGCAGCGGCGGCGGTGTGCAGTTGAATGACAGAATCGTCCGTCCCAATGGACGCTCTGTGCTGGTAGGTAGAGTGTCAAACAGGCGGAGCAGCACGCATGACGTAGGTGCGCGCGGTGTTTACGGAGGAGCGTCGTCCATGGACTTGACACGGACAACAAGTGAAAGTCGAGTGCCGGCAAGTGCCTCTGGTTGTACCTAGAGAAGTAGTCGCGTGCTGCTTGCTGTCTGTCACAAGCAAGAAAAAAGAACACACATGCACACACGCGTCCATACGGGCTACGGTTGCTAGTCTTCGACGCGGACTAAGGCAGACTACTGCGACAACTTTCTGCTGCAAAAAGGGCGTCATTTTGGGGTTGTGGGCGCCAGTAGTGAGAGTAGAAGCGCTGCTCGCATCCCCACCCCCGGGGCCATAGCGTTCCGCAACTGCTGCAAGGGACCGTAACGCCGAACCAGTTCCAGCGTGCACAGAAGCTCGCAGACAACCGCAGACACTTCTCACACCACCAAGCCATAGCACACAGTCGCACGTCGTGCTGCCTGGCAGAAAGGCTCGATCGCGACTACGGCCAGACGAGATGACCACATAAGAGGCCCACCATGTCCAACCCGCCCTCATCCCAGACCCGCGAGCACGCGCCGCCCACCACGGTGAACGTGCTCAACACCCGACGTAGCTTCACCCTCCCTGCGCGTGCAAACAGGCCTCCCCCGGTGGCGCCTTCTGCAAGCAGTGGTGATGGCATCGAGACGCTCTTCATTTGCAACGCCTCCAAGATTGTATCCTTCACAGCAACGCGCCCCTTGCGCCGACCCTCGCCGTCGCGCTCAGCCAAGGCTGCCGCAAGCGATGCAGTACAGCCTGCAGCATGGACGACGCCGACGGAACGTACTCTGGCAGTGGGTAGGTCGCCATCGTCTACTCCTGTACTCCCCACATTCACATGCTGACATGCCACAGGTGTCCTGCGCATATATCGCGTGACAGCCTCCAACGTCTCCTTCCTCAACTCTGGCAACCTCTTGCACACCATCTTCCCCCGCTCACAATGCTGGTGCGTGGACGGGCAGTCCATCTTCGTTCTGCGGATACGCCAAGACTCGTACTACCGCATCGAACTCCCCTTTGAGTCCGATCAAGACAAAGAGAAGACTGCGCAGTTCAAGACAGTGCTCGCACAGGTGCTGCAGTACGAGAAGACGCAGTGCCCGTTTGCAAGAGGCTTTGAGGTGGACGTGCCCGAACGCCCAAAGACACCGCCGCGCAAGACGCTCCGGAGGAAACCTTCCCAGCAAGCCAAAAAGTGGATGTTTGACAAGACCTGGGTGCCAGAGACAGGTTCTCGACCGTCGACGCCGAATATGGCAGGTTCAGATTGCGGTACCGCTTCTTCATATGACGATGACGACCGGTCAAGTATTCATACCGATACCAGTGAGGTGGTTACCGACTGCAGGTCAACACTATCGGACATTGCGCCTTACAAGCCGAATTTGCGCAGACCATCGGTAGCAGAACGAGCAAGTGTCTTCCAAGGATTTCGGGCTCGCTCTCGATCGGTAACAGCACCTGTGAAAAGTGAAGAAAGTGGCTCAATAGCATCCTTGGGGCGCATACCTGAGTCGCCAAGAGTTATTCAAGCCAGCGAAGCCGAGAAACCTATCCTTGAGCGTCAAGTCTCGGAAGCCGCCAGCTTGGTATCGAGCACTGGTTCTTTCTACTCGGTGGGCGACGCCAGCGATCGTAACCCTCCGACCCCATTCTGGGATGCTGAGGCTGAGCTTCTGAACCCTTGGATGGAAAGCATGTCAAAACCTCAAGATGAGCTTCGCGGACGCTCGACGCACCGCCGGCAGGTTTCCGAAATCACAGTGCGGGCACAGTCAGCTTTTGGAAGCATTCCATCTGCCCCAGTGACACCCACAGCTGCCCACCACACGTCGGCCAAATCTACAAATGGGGCCCACCCTTGTTCAGCTCCGTCGACACCTCCGCTTGTCAGCGACTCGGACGACGACAGCGTTGAACTGCCAGCACTAGACGCCCCCACACCTCCAAACGCGATTCGCATGAAGAGACTTACCGGGGCTTCTCAACGGCGAGCCTTTTCACCTATGCCACAGGCACAGAACCTGTTCCGCCCGCCGCAGCGCAACGTGGGAAAGAACTTTACGAGCACGTTGGTGCGTAAAACGTGCGAACTCATGCTTGGGCCTCCATCCCACTTGGTCTCCATTATGTTGCGCATCGCTGCGAGCATCTCGAATGGCTTTGGCTTCAGCACCTATCGCGTTCGGCCGGCGGAGAAAATCCCCTGCTCCTGGGAGTCTGACGATGACGCTGACTGGCAAGAGGAAGATGACTTTGGGATCCCCCTTGGCACTGTCGGCAATCCCGCTATACGCAGACAGACGTTTTCTGCTGGGGAAGTTGATTGAGCTCCGGAGACAGGGATGGGCGAGGTTGGGTTGGATTGGAATGACATGACTTCTTGCTTACCTATTTAGAGATGATACTAGGCGTTTTTAATGTCTTACGTTCGCATTTACCATGGCAGGCGGATACACCTCGCCACTCATTTGCGTATACACAGTTACGGCGTTTTAGAGGGATGACAGCATTTCTGATGGACTGCAGGAGTGCGTACTTCGTGGCAGCATAACTTAGCGAGCAATGTGACAACGTTCGAAATACCAAGCTTGCCTCGTGATGTGGTCCCATGGTCATGCATGTTAGCTTACATACACCGCATCTTGCCTCGCCGCAACAACAGTGAGGGCGAGGCAGTGTTTTGGAGAGGCTGGATGGTTAGAGGGCTCAGGGTCAAGACGAGCTGATGGTTCTACAGCGTAGACAAGAAACAATGGCCTCTGTGGTGTTACTCTATGATGAGTTATCCCCCCCCCTTGTTAGAAGTGGAAGCGAGCGCCACTGTTGCTAGCCGCAACGTCGAGCACTTGAGGGAAGTGGAGACAAGCGTTGGGTTGATATGGTAGCAAGCACTGCCTTGCATTTTGCAAGGTCACTCAAGACTGGCCACAGCATGCAGAAAAGGAGAGGGGAGGGGTGGAGGAGGGGCATCATCAGTCTGGCAAATGAGTCAATGACCAACGATTGGAGCGCGTCCAACATCGTGGGGTTGTTTGAGCCTCGCACCGTTGCTCTCACCCGCAGCACGAGAATTTGCGTCAGGATTCCACGTCAACGTCGAAAATCTGTCTAACACAGTAGTCCCGCAATCCTGGCAGAGCTGCGGCGACGGTCGTCCGGTCCCATGCCCTCTTTGTCGTCCGTATCGCGCCGATGGGTTGATTTTCGATCAGATTCCACACCACACCACCAGCACGGCCACCAGCACCACGCTCAGCTCCGTCTCTTCTCACGCTCGTTGTTCAGCCAGCCTGCGAGAGATGAGATACAATAAGCAGTGCGCAAACCGCTAATTAGATCTGAGCCCTGCTTTGGCTTGGCCTTAATTGGCGGAATCCGCGATCGTTCCCCGCTGGATGAGGTGCATTTGGACACCACAGGGGGGGGGGGGGATGCTAGCAGTCTCGCAGCTAGCTAGAGTCGGCCTGTTCGCGTCGAAGGCTCGAAGCCATGCCACCTCGTTAACTTCTCACCGTATCTCTCAGCCAATGGAGAGATGCAGGCAATTTCTCCTTTTCACGCCGCACGCATGCTGAGCAAAACAAGTCCTGGCCGACCAGGGCGCATGATGAAAAGGCCTAGAGACTAGGGGGCCATGGCGGCTCATCCCGCCTCCTTGTTTATTACTTGCCTTGCACCCACGCGCGCCGACGTTTGCTTTAGGGCTCTGACCACCACTCGCTTGCTTGCTTCTATCACCCTTCACCAAATCCACACATGTCGCTTGTCGGAACCAGTCAACGATCATCACGGAATAGCCTGGGGACGTGATCACAGTTGACAACTCCAAACCAGAAAGAAAACGAACATGGCCCACAACTTCTCCCTCTGCCGGACACCCCCGATACCGCGCAAGAACCCCAAACGATACGTCCACTCCAAACCATTGCCGCCGCTGCCTGTCGGCTCGCCCATCCAGCCAGAGCTTCTGCCCCAGCCGCTGTTCAGCGGCGGGAAGAAGACACGCCCCCAACAGTTACGCGCCCACACCACTGACTCATCGCCTTCTCCCGTCTCATCCACGCGCTCTTCCGTCTCGACACCGACGACCTCATCGTGGAAATCATGCCGTTCCTCCATCGCTAGCGACTACTCTGTTTCCTCCACGCCGGCCACTTCGGTCGCCAACTCGCCCTCTGTTTCGCGCACACAGTCACTGAAGTACCCCTCGGCTAAGCCGCAAACCACGTGGATAGTCACCCCAGTGACACCAGACCCAGGCCCAAAGCCATCACTACGGCGGAAGAAGACTCCTAGGAGGGATACACTGAGGAGTCTGAGAGAACGGGAGATGGAGAGCCTTTCCGAAGAAGGCGGCTGATGAACGACCTTTCCACCCTCTGACCTCTGAACACGTACCAGTCTGCCGGCGCGCATGCTATTCTCCACTCCACCAAAATCCAACGGGTCTCTGAACACACACGATGCACACCAGTACGACGGCGTACTTGTGAGTACAACTGGGCAATCACCCCCTCATGCCTCAGACATTCTGACCCCTCAGTTAACGAATCACGAATCACTCCCTTGAAGTGGGCCCCGGACAAGTCGAAGGCCACTGGAGATATATATTTGATTTAAGCGACTGCATGATACCCGGCTCGGTGTTCTTTGTTTAGGTCCTTGTCCTACTTTTAGGCAATGGGTAATGGGTCACGGCGTCCAACGAGAAGACACTCGTGTAATATTTGCTTTTTAGTCAGACAGACAAACATGGCTTTTCAGCCTTTCCACATAGATTTTCTCTACTTTGTGCGCCTTGCTGCCTGATGTGCGCGTGTGCATATTGCAGAGCCTCATGTGTGTGTGTCTGTGTGTGTGTGTGTGGTTCATGCAAGGCTAACATCAGCCAGACCCATCCACGCTAAGCCTGCTGACCTCCCCATCGCAGCATAACTGAAGACGTAGCAACGTCATACGGACCTCTTGACCAGCCAAACCCATCGCGCACTGTCACTACAATGATCGTTGAACCCCAGCCAATCTGTCAAACAATTCTGCACTACCCTTTCGCGCCTTTGAGTGTTCACCACACAATATCTCTATACCCCGAGGCATCACATCTCACTATCATGATTTCAAGCAACTGCGCCGCACATCCATAGTGGCGCAGCGAGTAACTCTATGTGCATGAAGGCACACCACCACTAGTATCCCTGTGGAAAGTGGGCGCCTACTTGCTACCCTCATCGAGTCCTCCATGCTAAACTGGGCAAATCACAGCATCCTGTACGGGGGCGGATGTAACAGTGTATATAAAATGGTGAACCCGGCGTCTTTGCATTTGACAATGGAAAGCATCGACTACCGTGGACGCGTACACAAGTTGACTCACCACATATCTGTCACAGCCGAGTAGGCAACCGCATCCAGAGGACCTGCACTCGTGACCTCAGCCGGCTCTTGCCACAAGCACACGGCTCTGGAAACTTCAGCAACAACATATATAGAAGAGCTTGGAGTCTGACGTGGATATCCGATTGAAAAGTACCCGTATAGGTTGTCCTGTTCGACTCAAGTGAGCCGCCATCTCCTCGACCGGGCACTAGCAACATACGGATCTCATACACTCATTTGCAACAGTGGAACCTGCCGCAATGGGACCATCAAACCAGGAAAGGAACCCACAGGCGCCGTTGCGTTTACTATCCCTAGATGGGGGAGGTGTGAGAGGACTGTCGTCCCTGATGGTGCTCGAGGATCTGATGCAAAGTATTGCCCTCGAGGAGAAACGGCTGGGTCGTCGTGCTCAGAACAATCATGAGCCCCTGAAACCTTGTGACTACTTTGATCTGTAAGCATCGACAATGCCTTATGTGTATACCCATGAGTTTTGCTAAGTGTTTTATAGCATCGGTGGCACATCAACAGGCGGAATCATAGCAATCATGCTCTCTCGGTTACGGTTGGACTGTAAGCAATGCATCTCAGTCTACAGCAAATTAGCCCAGCAAATCTTCAAGCGAGATCGATGTTTCAAGGCGTTTGGCTTGAAAATCCCCACAGGTGCCACCAGGTTCTCGGGTGCTGTTTTGGCGAATGCAATCAAGACCGCACTCAAAGATCTGGGCTATGATGAGAACGAAAAAATGTGGGACGAAGCTCTGTTCGAAGAAGTAACAGAGGTGAACGATCTACCGGCGGATAGCATCTGGAAGGATACTGCCTCGGAGTTGTTGCTCACCGAAAGTCCCACGGCCACTCACAAGGCCGCCGTGGGCGCACTGGCTTCTGGTCCCTCTGCAGAACATAAGTCTTCTCACACATCACTGCCATCGTCGACCTTGTACAGTGACAGTCCCTTTACGCCAAAGAAGCTTCCTTCCCGGAGCGAGACATGGAAACTACACCCGCGGCAGTCTGTCCATAGGAAGGCCAACGTCGCAGGCTGTCGTGGCTTTGTCCTCACTTCGCTCAAGAATGCATTAGGTCTTCCCAGAATCTTGACCACATATGACCCCAACGATCAGACGACCCGTATCTGGGAAGCGCTGAGAGCGACATCAGCCGCACCTACATTCTTCGAAGAGATGCAGTTCGGCACCCCCAAAGTCACCTATCTGGACGGCGGCGTAGGCTTCAACAACCCTTGCGCCGAAGTCAATTATGCAGCGAAAGCTCTCTGGGAAGGACGCTCGATCGGTATCATTGTGTCAGTGGGTACAGGTCTTCAGAGCATACCGAGCGTGAAGAAGATTGCGTCATGGCTGCCCTTTGGCCTTGGAACAGACATCTCTCTTGCTTCTGCACTTGCAGGCATGGCTACGAGCACTGCTCGAGTCGACAATGAGATGAAGCGCATGTACAGCGACACCGACACAAAATACTACCGCTTCGACGTCGATCGGGGTCTAGCAGACATTAGCCTTGAACAATGGATGAAGGAAGACGAAACGGCCTCCTTGACAGAGCAATACATGAACGACGGACAACAACTTCGCCGCACACGCGAGTTTGGCGAAATCATGGCAAAACTCTCTGCCCTTCCTCCCAAATTTGAAATCAGTCCCCGACACTTCAGACTCGGCATTGAAGGCCGCGGGCTCATGGACCAGTCCTTCGAGATCCGCCGCCTCGATTTTAAAACAGGCATGCCGCTCGGCGTTGCGAGTTCCCTCGCAGACATCCCTCGCATGTCGCAGTTCCGCAACTCTTCGCCCTCTGGAGAAGGCGGATTGAGCATCGACAGCGCTGGCCGCGTCAAGGGAATTTACCCTGTCCCCGAGGATCTCGATCTCGACGGTCGCCGCCAAGAGGCAGCCGTACATCAGTGTATGAAGGCCGACAACATCTGCCTCCGCGCTATCAAAACGGGCATCCCGCCAGGGAAATACAAGGTGCAATTCATCATCGCCTTGCACGAAAGCCAGCACACCCCACCGCACAACCTCGTGTGTAGCGTGGGGAAACCCCTCGATCCAGCAACGTTTACAACGCGTTTTGTCGATGTCAAGATCACGCCTGATATCGCTGCCGTGCTACTGCATCCCGATGCTGTGCGCGTACGGCTAGGCAAAGAGCGCTACGACGAGTTCAAGGGACAAGGTTGGCTGGAGGTTGAAGGCGATATTGCCGTGCCTGTCGGTCTGGACGGCGCGTTGGGGTTCATTGTGAGTAAGAAGTTCAAGGAAGGCGTGTTTGTGGATGGCTGGAGTTTTGGCGGTGTCAGACTGGAGCCGGTGTTTGCGTAATCGGGGTGACTGGGGGCAGCCCCGCGGATGTTGGTTTGACTTAATGGGATGATGTGCGGAGGAAAGTATCTTTTCTTGCTAGGGGGCTGGGAGAGGAGTTGCATTTGGAAACGTTCTATTACGGGGCTGGAGTTGGGAGCATATGACGTTTTTGATTATAGCTTCTGTTCAAAAACAACTACGTACTGGTACGTACATGTATTCCAAAACCATCATCATCCAACCAACCACCAAACCTCCCAAACCACACCCCACAATAATACAGCCTTGGCGCTAAGTCACATCAAAACCGTACAATTCATGTAACACAACGTCCACCCGACCTTCCACCTCCATTCAGTTCCTACAGCCCCCCCCCCCCAATCTCGACATCCGCTCCCTCTAGACCTGTGCTATCCATGTACAGTACATCACAGTAGCATTATGGCTGCGAGCCCGCATACAGCACAGATCTCGCGGACATGGGGGTCTCGGATCTCCCGTCCTTTTGGTGCAAGCCGCATCTCGATAAGCAGGCAGGCGATGGGATGATGGGGGGCGGTTGGGTGAGGGGCTCTGGGCATGTGGGGCTGGTTCATTGTCTCATGCACATGCAGATTGAGGGGGGGGGGCATTGGATGGCTGGGGAAAGGGGGTGTTTGGGGTGGTGATGGGGGGTTGGAGGGGAGGGTTTGGCGCTGTGGGATTGATTGGTGGTGGTGTGTTGGAGGGTTTTTGGTGATCAGGTTGAGTTGGGTTGGATCTGGGATAGTTTGGTTGGTATGAGGGTGGAGGTTGATGTGTGGTCAGGTTGACGAAATAGATGATGTGTGAATGATGGGTAGTATAACATGTCTTGTCGCTTATTCTGAAGTGTTTCTGACGGGCGATGATCACTAAACGATGCCTGTATTTCAGTCTTGGGTGTTTGCGAGGATGGCGAATGCGAAGTGGGGGCCCAAAGACCGTATCGGGACCGGGATGTCGATGTCGTTGAATATCCACAGCCTATCAAGATATCTAATTCAGACAGCAATTGTGAATCTCACGACTATCAGGGGGGTCAGGCGCTAGATTCAGGTCTGTATGCTGTGTAGTCGGAACGCGTGCCCCGAGTGGGTGAACTGGTGATACAGGCGCAGTGTTTGTGTTGCAATATTGGATCGGATCGAGAATTGAGCAAAGACCCCCTTTATTTGCTCCTACGCAGGAAACAAGTGCGACTCTGTCGTTGAATTGCTCGGGTGTTTGGAAACAGGGGCAAAACTCCAGGCTGTCCAGGATCAAAGTATCAAGACTGACACATGGAAGGGGAGCATGGAAAGAGAGTCCAGTATGTACCCGTACATGGTATAACCTATATATGGCTAGGGCAACCCGCGCCGTCTAGGTTCCGTTCCGCGCACGGCCTGCCGTGCTGAGTGGTGGGGGAACTCTCCCAAGAGTCAAGACCCACCACCCATCCATGACATTTCCCTTCCTCCATCACGGTGTTTGCTAAGAGCAGCCGACCCTGTTCCGTTTGTGTGGCCGGACCGATATTCACAGCAGCATAGCTCAACACGAGGGTTCCCCAGCTATAATCTCACGACAGGCCCACCCTCCTCCCGGGAGTCTACCGTGCTTGTAAGGTATCAGCAGCCTCCCGATCGGTCTTGCAACCCTCGAGCTTCCGTGAACCAACCCATCCTGCTGGGAGGTCCCTCGAGCTCTCGGTCTTCACCTGCGCATTGCCATTGGTTGTGAGGCAGCTGTGCCGTGGGGGAGGCTTGCACCTTCAATACCCATACGGCGGCTTCAGAGCGGAAGAAGGGCACTGTCGTCTGCAGGTGATATCTGCGCACTACAGGCCGTCTCAGCTGGCAAAGGCCGGGTTCTCAGCGAGTGTCACCGGAAAGGACTTGTACCTAATACACAGGATGGGTAAGTGGCCCTCGTGCTTCCGGTGCTTCCCCTCCTCTCTAACCTCGCTCGCCCCTCGCCATCACGGTGCTTTCTTTCTTTTACCATTTTTCAGACGGCAAGCTCACCTGCTGACCTTGTTCCTCAGATCAAGGAGATACCTACCGTCCTCAGGACCAAGTAAGTGCCATGCAGTTTCCCCTGTGTTGCCTTTTTTTGTTGCGCCATGCGCGTTCTTGGGCGAAGAGCAAAGTTGATTGTGGTTGTGGGGGATGCCATTGGGCCTCGGAATGGCCCATGAGAGAGATGAGAGAGATGAGAGAGAGCGTTGACACGGGCTTTGACGAGTCTGCCACGCCGCCGCCCTTTCGCAGGGGACGCACGCCTTCACGGTGTGGTGAACCGTGAAGTGTACCCGTCTAGGCTGGGTGGACTGACAGGCCACGTGACCTAGGCCGGACCGGAAAGTGCCGCCGAGCTCCTCGCACCTGCCTAACTAACTTACCTGGCTCACCACAACATCAACCTCTCCCACCTCAACCACACAACACACACGCGCCCGCAGCAGCTTGCGACACACACAAATCCGCACTCACACTGCACCTCTGACTGATTGTCACTTGTTGCAATCATGTCGTTCGAAGCTGACAATTACCAACAGCGCGATCGCTCACCTCGCAGACGTTCTCGCTCGCCGCGACGCTCTCGCCGCTCATATTCGCCTCGCAGTCGTTCTCGCAGCCGCGAAGACTACCGTCGCAGTGACCGTCGCTCGCGATCGCCCAACAGCGGTGCGCAAGGTGCAGGAGGCTATCAGTCATACGGCGCGGCGCGTGGAGGCTCGTCGCGACCCGCTGAATCCAAAGACATGATGCAGAGCATCCGAGATTCCTCGCAGCAAGACCGTCGCGTCTACGTCGGCAACCTGTCTTACGACGTCAAGTGGCACCACCTCAAAGACTTCATGCGCCAAGGTACGTGACCAATTGCGCCTGGTTCAGAGCTTTGCTAATCGTGAAATAGCTGGAGAGGTTCTCTTTGCAGACGTCTTGCTACTCCCGAATGGAATGTCAAAGGTAATAAAAGATGGCTTGTATTGATTGTGAGAGGAGTGGAGGTCTGACTGGCTTTTGCCCTGGTATAGGGCTGTGGCATCGTAGAGTACGCAACTCGGGAGCAGGCGCAAAATGCCGTTTCTACTTTGAGTAACCAGAACCTAATGGGTCGACTCGTATACGTTCGCGAAGATCGAGAGGCCGAGCCTCGCTTCAGCACTCCTGGCAACGCGCGCGGTGGTTACGAAGGCGGCATGGGCGGTGGCCCACGTGGAGGCGGCCATTTCGGAGGCGGCGGTGGTTTTGGAGGTTCCCCTGGTGCTGGTGCTGGTGCTGGTGCTGGTGGCAGACAGGTCTATGTTGCTAATGTTTGTGGCCCCACGCTTCTACGTGTTTGAAGAGGATATTGCGCTGACATGACCATTTAGCTCCCGTACAACGTAGGCTGGCAGGATCTCAAGGACCTGTTCCGTCAGGCTGCTCACACTGGCTCGGTCATTCGTGCCGATGTCCACATTGCGCCTGATGGTCGCCCCAAGGGCTCTGGTATTGTCGCATTCGAGACGCCCGAAGATGCTCGCAACGCCATCAACCAGTTCAACGGCTATGATTGGCAGGGCCGCAACCTCGAGGTCCGTGAAGATCGTTTCGCTGGTCCCCCAGGTGGAGGTTTTGGTGGCCGTGGCGGATTCGGTGGTCGCGGCGGCTTCGGCGGCGGATTTGGAGGTCGTGGAGGCTTCGGCGGTCGTGGTGGATTCGGTGGTGGATTCGGAGGAGGCCGTGGCGGTTTCGGTGGAGCTTCTGGAGGCTATGGCGGTGGTGCACCAGCTGGCGGCGCAGGCTTCGACCCCAACGCAACCTCGCAGCCCCCGAATCCTTTCACAGACTTCGCTGCGTCTGGCGGTGAGCCCAGCAACACCATCTACGTCCGCAATCTTCCCTGGTCGACTAGCAACGAGGATCTGATTGAGCTCTTCACTACGATTGGCAAGGTCGAGCGCGCTGAGATCCAGTACGAGCCCAATGGTCGCTCCCGCGGAACTGGTGTAGTCGAATTCGAGAAGGAAGCAGATGCTGAGACTGCAATCTGTAAGCTAATTCGAGATATCTGCTAAGCAACTGCTAACAAGCCATAGCCAAGTTCACTGGTTACCAGTACGGCGGTCGTCCTCTCGGTCTGACATATGTCAAGTACACCAACCAGAACAACGGTGATAGCATGGAGGGCACCGAACACACTGGCGGTGGTCTGACACAGGATCAGATCATGTAAGGTGGATCTCGGTCAACTCAACTGCACGTCTGGAGGAGCGATTCGGGATTCTTTTTTTCATTTGCCCACACTTGTGAGCGTGATTATGTTGGAAGTCATCGTTCATATATACTCGAAGCTTCTCATCAAACTTGGAGGATTGGGGGCGTACGGGAGAAAGAAAGCAAGGGACATTCAGCAATGGGCAAAATTTCCTTTGGTATCTCAAAAGGCTAGCTCTTGAAGTACGAATTCAAGATGGAGTGATATCCCATGGTTCTTAGCTACAGTTGCAACATCTTGATGTCAAATCCTGTTCTTCTCCGTTTTTGTTCAGGGTAGGCCATGCTGCTACACTGTTTCCAACACTTTAGATTCTGGAGTTCATACCGGGATATCGATTGGCTCTTTCCTCTCCTACTGTGGCTGGAGCAGACGCATCATCCATTCATATACAGCCCACTGTACGGCATTCACCATGAAGGCTCGTACACTGCATATTCCCAGTCCTCGAAAGAAGACGCTCACGCCTTCATTTCTGTAGGCGTGCTTGGCGATCTCAAATGAGCTGAAGCGTTGCTTTGCTACCTCGGCTTGCAACAGCGAGCTTTGTTCACCTGACCCTCTTGGATCAGGGCGCAATGCCTGTGTCTGAACTCTCGTCTTGATGACATCAAGCGGGAAGACGGATGCCCAAGTGATTACACCGGCCAGCCCACCACAAAGCATTATCTTCACCGCCGTCTGTCTATCCGTATCATCTGGCGAACTCCAGGCCTGTCTCGACCATTCATATGACCAGAAGCTGCAACTACTGTCAGTTCTCCCTCCTTGCCTTGGCCACCTCTAATCAGACCAAAAAATACTCACTAAAACCCATAGCCAACAGCATCCCGCACACTAGTAATCCCGCCACCATAATACAGTCCCCTAAGTCCTTCTCTCCTCCACGTATCCCTCGCCACCGACCAACTCGTCGTATGCGTTTCCCTGGACACCTGCGCACGGCACTTGATCAATTCGGTAGGCGCAGAGACGACGAATGATGCGAGGCCGCCGGTTGCGCCCGCAATCCAGATTTTCGCAAGATCTGGCGCGGTCAAGGTCGAAGGCGATGGCGTGAGGAGTGCAAGGGTGCGGTTGTAGGTTACGAAAAGGAGAGCGTTCAAGGCGCCATAGGTCAGAATGGGTGCTGTAGCGCCTGTACTGGTTTGTTCACCGATAGTCAGTGTTTTGCTGGTTTAGGATGACATTTTATCCTCCTGTGCCAGTGCTCTCTTTGTGGGAGTCCAATGGATGAAAGAAGCTTGAATTTCCTGACTAACCTCTGACCAGAGTCCCCGCGCTATCAAAATGGGCCCGGAAACCTCGAGGGCTAGCCACTGTGGCCTTGGTGGTGGATGTAGCAGTGTCGATAATTGCTGGCGTCGGCCCAGCTTGGAGGCGCGTCTTGATCAGATCAAGAGGGTTGCCGATTATGATGCCTGCGGCACCTGACACGTAGCCGGCCCAGAAGTCTGCGGACATGGCGGTGGGTGGACATTGGGAGGCGTGTGGGTTTGGAGAACGGGATGGAGGGGAATGCGGGATGTGTGGGGCTCGCCGCGGGAGGGAGCTCGGTGGTTGATTGAGAGAGCTCGATTGGGCTGAGTGTGGGAAGAATGTATACTACCGTGTGCTCCAAAGTCGAGTGGACAGTGTATGAGCATGGTGTGTAGGTCAAGTCCTTGTCTATTGTTTGCAAGTGTTCTTGGCGTATGCTATACACTTTCTCTATACTCGACACCATTACTCGACTTCGGTAGCGATTCAAGAAAGGGTCCAGAGTGGTGGCTGCATGGTGCATTGGCCCTAGACTCTGCAGTCCATGACGCATAGCAACCAAAACCTTCAAGGGTCTCATGCGAGCGCATCGATCTGCTTCTTTATGTAGAGTACAATAGTCACAGGAGGCCCTCTTCCAGATTGCACTCGACCATGCCTAGCGCAATCGCTCATGTGAGGTTGCTGCGCTGTCATCCCGGCCTTCTGCCGCCATCGGATGCATGTGCACCCAGCCGGTCAAAGCCTGGAGTGCTCTAAGGGTTGTGTTGAGTCTCTGGACACGGATACCTGCCACAAAGTGTGGAAAGAGACCCGTGATGTAGTGAAGCATTCCACCATGAATAGGATGCGGTTGCGAAACAGCACTGAGCCATCAAGTGTTATCAGTAGATGCATTCGTGTTTCAAGCACTGGCAAGATGGCAAGATGCAGGTGAATGGGGCCCGCATGCGGTGGCGAATCTCGACCCGACCCGATGATTCGTGGCGCACGGACCGCAAGGCTGACACCCAGTGACAGTTGCTGTGGACCACACCTCCGCCTCCGCCTCCGCCACTCATACACACTACATCACCACCACCACTCACCCTCACTTTCATTCTTCGTTCCTTGTAACTCTTTATCTTTGCAATCTACCTCAGCAACACCAGCCATTTTTTTGTCACGGCACCACTTTCTCCCTTCGGCCGGTCCAATTGATCATGAGCGTGCGATTGAAGCTACTGTTTCGAACCCAGTCACACGGTATGTTTGGTCTCTTGCACACTCATTGCTTGTCTTGCTTCGCATGGCCCGCAGTCGTGGGCCACCAAACCTGCGACTGCAGTGCCCTGCAAACAAGTTGAGCCTATCACTACCTGCTGCAGTGTTGTCGCATGATGATAGCTACTCCTCTTGCCACACCGCTCACACAACTAACTACCCAACAGCATCTCCTACGCTCTAGTAACCAACCACAAATCACAAATCAATTCACATCGACTACGCTAGCCAGGCATGCCTTCAACGCCACTCGATTCGGGCTGGGACTTCAGCCCAGTCATCGACCTGATAGACTCGGACGTTCAAGATACTAGCTCGCCCAAGCTCACGCCCAAACCACGCCCACTTGCCTCGGTACTCCAGAATGAAGGCGGAATACGTCTGGGAAGCTTCGCAAAGGTGTTTGAGAACCTGGGTCTTACACAAGACGCACCGTCGTTACCGCCGCTAGATTCCGAATCTGAGCTTAGTACTTCGGACGAGGTTCTACTACCATCTCCGGTTCTTCAGGCTGCTCAAACCCCAGTGGAGCTCGAGGAAACCGAGGACAGCGTGGCTGCTACAGCTTTGACTAAGAAGCAACGACAAAAGGCTCGTAGGAAGGCAGAAAAGGAGCAACAAGAAGAGTTGTTGAAGACCAAGTCTTTCCAAGAGGAGCTTCAGATGCTCGTAAACGCTGCACAAGCAGAACGCAAACCCACCGAAGCAGCCTCTCCATCGAAGCCCTCCCGAACACCCTCTCGATCAAATGTGGGCGCGAAATGTAGGGCCTCAAACCCAGTTTCGCTTCCAAACTCAGTTGTCCCTGTCATTGCTCCGACGTCCCCGCAGAAGCCCAAGACGCCTAAACCTCCACGTCCTAGCATATTGAAACGACCCTCATCCATGGCACAGCCAGTCACACCCACACCTCAACCCGTCCGCCCAGTTGAAAATATTTCCATTGTTCAAGATGCTCCCGTGCCAGTGCAGTATTCAACATCTGGTACATCGGCCCCAACGCAGCATTCATGCAATGCTCAGCTACAGCCATACTCTCCACAAGCGAACACATCAACAGAGCAGTATGGGCTTATTCCATCAAACGTTCGGCCAGTCGCCATGCTTCGAGGTTCACAGCGTGCTGTTGCCCAGCTACCGTCCACACCCACCCCTGTTGCACTCTCACCACCTGCTTATGCGACGCCTATGGGCCCACGGACCCAGTTGGTGATTCGGTCTCAAGTGGATCGCCATCTTCATTTTTTGCAAAAGCTGCTGCACTGCTTTCCAGACGACCGAAAGTGGTTGGTATCGCCTATGCAGCTTATCAACGAGAGGACGTCTTCACATGGACTGCATGTCTTTGTGGACGCGTCAAACATTATGATCGGCTTCAAAGACATGCTTCGATATCGGGGCATTCAGCCATACCAATACGACATGTCTTTCGACAGCCTGGCCCTCCTCATGGAACGCCGACGACCGGTTGCAAAGCGAGTTTTCGCCGGCTCGCAGCGTGAGGCCAACCCACTTCCCCACGTCACAAAGCTTGTAGAGACCTCGAAAGCGGTTGGCTACGACAGCGTGATGCAGGAACAGGTGCTCATCTCGCGCGAAGATTCGAAGAAGAAGTTTTACAACGATGTTAAGAAACATGGTTGGCAGAAAGCTGCTCAATTGCGATCAGGCAGCGGCAGTGACTCTGAAACAGGTGCACTGCCGGCTTCGAAGACTCCCTCGGCCCCGAAATGGGTTGAGCAAGGGGTGGACGAGATTCTTCATTTGAAGATGTGCCAAAGCATTATTGATAGTGAAGTGCCAAGTACCATGGTTGTCGCGACGGGTGACGGTGCCGAAGCGGAGATGTCGGATGGGTTTCTGGCTCATGTGGAGCGCGCGTTGAAGAAGGGGTGGAAGGTGGAATTGATCAGCTGGAGACAGCAGATGAATGGAGGATACAAGAACCGCAAATTTCGAGCCAAATGGGCCGACCGGTTCCAAATCATTGAACTGGATGCGTTTTTGGAGGATTTGATTGACACGCCCTAGGACGGGAGTCGGACGTGGTTGGATGTGTTGATTAGGGATCTGGTGTGAAGGATGGGGCATTGGCGGACTATGGAGAGTGGTCTATGCAGCGATTGTTGTACAGCAGGCCAATGGCAGGCTAACTACACCAGTAGAAGACGACACTGTCACATGCATTCAATGTACATTTTACAACCCAAGCCCAGTGATGTTTCTTCTTCTTCTTCTTCTTCTTCTTCGCCATCATCATCATTCCTCCGTCTTTCGTATAGCCAACAAGCAATTGAGTTTAACAAGCAATTGAGTTTGTACTTGCCCTACCATATACCCACCAGTACAACGGACCTTGCCTCTTTCCCTCGAGGGCAAGGATGGCGTACAAGTAACCAGGAATTGCTTTCTGAGAATCCGTTCGAATTCAGGCTATATTTTGTTGAACATTGCGATCGACACTACTCTTCTGTCTGTTATTATTATTATTATTGTCATCATCATCATTGTTGTCTGCTGTCTGTTATTATTATTATTGTCATCATCATCATTGTTGATGTTGATGTTGATGTTCTCGGATAGCGATGCCGGTGCCGGTGCCGGGCGGGCATGGATGGCCAGATAGACAGTACGACGACCGCGCTAATGAGAATGATGATGTTTTAGCATGTGGGGTGGGTAGGCAGGTACCTAGAGTGTGTTTGTAGGCATGTACTCGATTGTCAATGTAGTTTTTGATATAGACATGGGTGTTGGGGGCAAGAGATGGGAAAGAGTCAGGTGGAAAGGGGGAATGTTTGAGATTGCGATGGGCGATGGGGGTGGATACGGATGGGGGGGTGTTGGGAAGTTTGTTGGTGAAGTGCAAGGTGGAGCTAGGATGAGGCTCTGCGTTTTTTCTTTCCATTTCGCTTCGGGGATGAATTGGTAAAGGATGAATTGGTAAAATTTACTGTTGGTGTGGATAGTGGAGAGGAGGATGTTTTTGGTTTTGTGTTGTTGCGTTTAGCCTCCTCACTAGCGCTTTGCACAAAGAAAGAAAAAATCAAGGAGGAAAGAGGAAAGATACAGGCCAGCAGCTGATTGGATGGTAGAATGTTGTTTTGTCAGACCCACCGGGGCTCCCAAGGAAAAAAAAAAGTTTACCGCCAGTCTAGCTGTGGCCAGGCCGCAGCGGGCGCCAAAAAGGCCAGGGATACGGGCGAAAGAGGAAATTGCAGAATACGGAAAGGCGTTTTTTTCATCCTTGCTGCTTTCTTGCTTTGCTGTGGTGGACAGAGCGGGTCTGGTGAGCAAGGGCACCGGGAGCATCGGCGGTCGGGCTTGGTGTGCCTTGCCAAGGCGTGGATTGGTGAGCAAGCCGTGAGCAGTTGGTGAGTTGCGGACCGGGATGCGGATCATACGACGTACCGAGCGCGTTACCCCATTGTACCATTGTGTGTAGGCCTGCAGGCCTGTGCCTATCTATTCCGACCACCGCAGCTACACAGTCAGCCCATCAGGGCCTGGGGTCATGGGGCTTGGTGATTGGGCTTTGGATGGAGAGGGTGGAGTGGAAGTGGTCGAGAGAGGGACAAGGCGTGTGTGTCTGAGCGTTTTTCTTTTGCCCAACGGTTGTGAGAGGTAGGTAGGAAAGAGGCAGGGCGTGTGTCGTGTACCATGAGGCTGGGGTGATTGTGAGACATGGGCGACGTGGTTGCTGCGGTAGAGGTAGGTACCTAGTGCTACGACAGACTGGGTACTACCTACTAGGACCTACTGCACTTGGTGGGTGTAGCAGCTACAACGTATGACAACAAGGCAGAGTGCTTTGGTAGTGGAGGATGGATGATTCGCAAGAGACCAAGGCGGCAGGCTATTGATGTCATGGTGGGCATTCTCAACGCATCAATGGCAGCAGGCAGCGCAAGCTTGAAGTGCACGCAGGTCCACGGCTGGGCGAAGTGACAACCAATGGGGCAATGTGTGTGTAGGGTTAGAGTATAGTAGGTGGTGCTAGGTAGAGTACATGCTATTGCTTAGGTGGCACGTGGACAGGGCAAGATTTGGCGAGAGGCAGTGTGACGATAGTGTATGTACATGGAGGTACTAGGAGTACTAACTCATGCGCTCGGGTAGTTTGAGTATCATGTGATTTGCCACTGCTACATCCTGGCTATTTTCCTAGCACAAGACAAGTAACATGATCCTCACACTAGCCGAGATAACTAGTACATGTGAAGGTGTGACATACAGGGTGGTGCTGTGTTCTCTTGTTGTTCGTCACGCACGCGAGCTTGCGACACAGAGGAGAGGACAGACGGAGAGCACCACAGGTAGCTGCAAGGGGAGATGCATGGGAATTTCAACACGGCGAATGTCAACACACACTGTTGTAACCACAAGTCATAGGAGGAGGAGAAGAAGAAGAAGAAGAAGAAGAAGAAGAAGAAGAAGAAACAAGGTGGGTTGTTTGGTGTGTGAATGGGATTAGCATCATCATCATCCTCCCCATCATCATCATCATCATCATACAATCGGGGCTGTCTGGGAAATTACGTGGCCCGCGCTCCTCCATTGCCGGCGCATCCCTCGCGCCATTCCCCAAACAGTCTAGACCGGCGTCAGGCTCCCAGAAACTCAAGTGCTTGTGAGAGAGAGAAGAGAGAGAGAGAGAGAGAGAGAGAGAGAGTGGGCCCTTGTTGCAACGCCTCAGCCATCCGAGAGCTTCCACTCCTTCCACTCCTTCCACTGCCGCCTCTTCTCTGCTGTGCGCGCTCTCTCTCTCTCTCTCTCTCTCTCTCTCTTTCATAATCAGCTTGGGCCGCCCTCTTCCGCGCCGGCTTCCCTTCTCTCCCTCCTCTTCAACCCATCTCTATCCTCCTACCCTCCCGTGTCCTCCTCCTCCTCCTCCTGCTGCTGCTGTTGGCTGTTGTTGTTGCTGTTGTCGTCGTCGTCCTCGTCATTGTGCACGAGTCAGTCTATCGCCTCCTGCTGGACTCTCCTTGCGCCACTCCTCTGCCACCCCCCCCCG